CCCAGAGTAGAAGACTGAGGTAAGAACATTTTACATTATGATTTTAACTCATAGCTAAAACACTACCTTAGAACATTGTGTTTATTTCTACAGGTAGTTAATATATCACAGTCTGTTATTGCAAAGACTGAGAACATTGTGTTTCTTTCTACAGACATAAATCTCATTACTTATATATAGCTGGTACATGTAGGCTATGTCCTAGGAATATCTCAGTAATATCTTTGAGGATATATCACGTCTATATCTCACTGGCACACGACTGACACGTCTCTTGATGATACTTCAGCGATATCTCAACTATAAATCTTTAATTGGCGCGCTCGACCGCTGCCAAATCTCCGTGGGATATTGTTGCTATACTCAACAAACAATATCCTTGTAGTACTATCGTTGGACACCGGATGCAACCGATAAGAGATATGCACTTGGCTCAATGATCACTGTACAGGTAGCTAGAAAATTGTCAGATGTAGAATATAGTATAAAGAATATAATTGTGAAAGAATTTAATGAATAGCTTATCTGTAGCAACAACGACAGACCTGACACTATGCTCTTGAACTCCAGAAGTGTGAATTTTGAGGGAAAGATGGCCAGATTTGACCAGATCTCGTGCTGGGAATATTGCAATATCTTTCTAGAAAACGTCAATAGGTAGGCCCCTACAATGCCAGATACTTACTGAGCTGATTGGGGCCTCAAAACGTCTGGAGAAATGAAAACAATGATGGAGTCGTGACTAGGCGACCGAAACAGGCAATCACACACCAAGATAATCAATCAAGGACCGCTAGCTCCGCTTCGGTACGTACCGCACATACCACCAGCGTCAGGACTTGGTGTGACCTGGCTGAATTTGACTTGTAAGCTCCGCCTGATTTGGTCTGTGAGTGCCGCTGTGACCCAGCGTGACCAGAAATTGCAGAACCATTCCAAAACATGTGTTGTCTTTTCAGTTTTGTTCCGCTGCTCCAATGCTTATTTTTCTACATAGGCAGCTAGAAAACTAAAAATTATATCTCCTGGTCAAGTTCCGACAGTCTAAAGCTCAGCGACTGGTGAGTTATTCAACTTCTCCCCAGACCAATTGACCAATTGCACCTATTGTCCAACGATAGTATTCTCGGAATTTATCGGGCCTCTATGGCGGCTAGCTACTACCGACCCCGGCAGCTATAACCCAGCAATCTTTTTCCCAATATATCGAAGTCACATACTACCCGAATTGCCGTGTAAGCCGACTATATATCAGCATTTACTGGCACCGAATGTGGGACACCTGCACGCCACCCCATAGAGGACAGGCTGCAGTGCTACATCATAATGAGCTTCGCCAATTTCCGCCATTTACCTGCCCACTTAAATGTCTGGTCTGTCGCATAGGACTCGCATAAAACGATATAGCATGAAATGTACATGATACAATGGATATGATATCGACGATGACGATCATACATATATTTGACTTCATAAAACTTCTTCCACTCCTAAATTAACCCATAGCATTCAGCGTCATCTCGTGACCAAGGTTGATGTGCACCGCTTTGACGTTGGAATAGCTAGCAAAAAACCCACATTAGTGAATCATCGGTGATCATAATTCGACTAGAGCTATCACCCACTTGTGCAGTGCATACTCTCCAAGTTCACGGCCAATACCACTCTGTTTGAAGCCTCCGAATGGCACGTTCGAATGCAACTGATTCACACAATTGATCCACGTTGTACCAGCCTTAAGTTTGTGTGCCACAGAAATAGCCCGGTTCAGGTTCGTGGTGAACAGTGCGGCAGCAAGCCCGTACACCGTATCATTTGCTTGGCGCACCACGTCTTCGTCGTCTTCAAATTTGATCACAACGCCCACAGGTCCGAATATTTCTTCTTGCACGATCTTCATATCAGGCTTCGTGTTTGTGAAGATGGTTGGCTGAATGAAAAAACCTTCGGTGCCGTGGCGCTCTCCACCACTATGCACCGTAGCACCTTCTTGCTTTCCAGAATTGATATAACTCATGATACGCTGCAACCAAAGGACTCAGTAGCAGAAATATAATAAAGGTGAGGCTTTACGTTGTACTGGACTTCTGATACCTGTGGGCCCTGGAAAGTCTCACGTAAGAAGGGATCGCCAACCTTCAGGGACTGCGTCTTTGCGGTGAATCGAGCCAAAAACTCGTCGTAGACTTTCGCATGAACGAAGATCCGTGAACCTGCGCAACATGTCTGACCATGATTCCAGCTGGCAACAGGTTGCTTATCAGTGCAGGAACATGACCGGCCACCGGGTAACTCACAATATACCAAACGCTGCCCAGTTGACGGCCTGATCCAAATCGGCGTCGTCAAATATGATGTTTGGACTCTTTCCACCAAGTTCGAGCGTAACGTTCTTCAGGTTACTCTTCGATGCAGCCTCCATGATCTTGCGACCCACAAGCGTGCTACCCGTGAAAGCCACCTTTTCGATTTTCATGTGCGACGATATGGCGTTACCGACGGTGTGACCATATCCTGTGAGTATGTTAACGACACCCGGGGGAAAGCCTGCTTCATTGATGAGCTGACACATCCGAATGGCGGTTAGGGGCGTAAACTCAGAGGGCTTCAAAATAATCGTGTTTCCTGTCGCAAGGGCGGGGCCGAGTTTCCATGAAAGCATCAATACTGCAGATCGAGCAATATAAGTTTTGAGCTAGCTATGTGCCAGTGTTGAATGGCATATACGCACATGGGAAATTCCATGGGATGATTTGACCCTAATAGATACTTAGAAGCAGCGCCTTGCTTTGATAGAGGGAATATGCTTACGACAACGCCCATTGGTTCATGGCGTGTGTAGACGAGCTTTTTTTCGGTGGTCTATATAAAATGTGAGTCTTCGGAATTATATATATATTTGTTCTGCATTGAGGCACCTCGATGGTTTGTCCTGAAATTTTGTCTGCCCATCCTCCATAGTACCGAATACAGTCGATGGACCCTGCGACATCAGCGTTCCGTGCCCAGCCAAAAGTCTTGCCTGAAATAATCATATGAGTAGACAGATCTGCTTTAGAGTAAACAATGACTGAACCGTTATCAAGAGCCTCGATGGCTGCAAGTTCATCCGCATGTTCGGCCATAAGCAATGAAAGCTTTGTGAGGAGTTTGCTACGCAAAGCTCCTGGTGCGTTCAATCCCCAAACTGTGTCATAGGCCTTTTGGGCTGCTTCAACTGCGATGTCGACGTCATTTGCTGTTGCTTCTGATATTTTAGTGAGGACCTTCCCATTAGCTTAAGGGCGTCACGATCAGTCCCAGGCCGATCACCCAACAAATGAATTTCTATCACATACTGGGATTGATCACACTGATATGTCGTGATGCGATGATGAGAATGATGGATGAGGGAATAAATAACAATCTTACTCGATCGTGGTGTTATCAGAACCGTCGACAAACTGGCCGTTGATAAAAATGCCAGTGCTGAACGAGACGTTCCCCTTGAAAGTGGGATGGTTGAACTCATGGGTGAAAGTGGAAGGCATCGTGGTCTGAATGATAACCGTTGATACATGCGATGGGTAATGTGTCGAGTATATATAGTGATGAATTCGAAGCGGAGTGCCGTCTTTGGTGCTTGGTACTTACTTCATGGTCAGCTGAGCGTAAGAATTCACGATCCGTGATTGGGCTTGGGACCACAAATAATTACGTCATCCCTCCCAATGTTGGGGTTGTTACACCGTGACCATCCCACCTCATTCACCATTGGACGAACTTCAACAATACTCAGCCCTCCATTCTCCATTTAATGTTTTGGGGAGATACAAGGAGATACATTGATCGTGATCTCGGGCATTGATAGTGTATGTCGACCGAGGGGTTATGATGCATGATGCATGATGGTTGTACTACCACGTGACAATGGTTGCTTAAACGAAATATAGAGCTATAAATATCAACATTTTTCCGAACTTCACCTGAGAAAGGCCCTATTGATAGGAGGAACGACTGTCTTCCTCAATAGTTTGCCCAGGCGAGACTAGGCATGCCCCATTACTGACATTCTCGTATATACGTGGCTCCAGATATGTATGTTGTTAGTGGCTATTGGCTTATCATGATATGATACCTGAGGTGCTGATTCAGAGATTACCCAGCTACCAACCTGAAGACGTACCCCCAAATATCTGAATACTTACCATCAATATTCCTGCAACACGGCATGCTTAACAAGAAGCGTGGATAGCTCCATTATCTGCTCAATAAGGTTTCCAATCTCTGGTGTTCCGTTCTGGGCGGCTTCCTGATGAGCCTGTTACAATTCCCAGTGATTAATTGTGGTGGTATCTTGCGGGAACAAAAATTTCAACGCACCTCTATAGATTGCCATCCAACAATCATCAATGTTTCACGTCGATTCTCCAGTACTGGCCCCCAAGTAGCAGAAACCACAGTCTTTGTGTCTTGGTCAGTTAGCTGATCAAGGTGTCGTCCGAGTTCTTTCATTGCCTTCCCCTCCTTGAGAGTGGCAAACGCAAATTCTACGACAGGTGCGGAAAATGCGCTAGAAGGATAGTCCTTAAACAGAGCGTGGATCATTTCGGGAACCCCTTTAATTGCTGGCATGAGTGCAGCTTTAACGTCTGGAAAAGCTGCACTATCTGAGAAGGTCTACAGTGTGATGTTCGCATGTCTCCCACCCTTTTTGAATGCTTACTACGACCAGGCAACTCAATACAGAACCAACTTACAAATGACAAGATATAGGCCTGAGGCGTGTTAGTTCAGATATCCGATGTAGTGGTTCTGAGTTATCTAGCAGAGCTATGTTGGAATGCGTCAGGGTGCACCATGCGAGCCAATGCGACCCTGGGGCTCGTCGGCACCTTATATGAGGTTGATGATCGACAGTCATGTGTTGCCGTGGTGGCAAAACTCAAATAAAAATGACCCGGTAAGCTCAATCAGTTTGCGGCCAAGACGATATAAGTACATTGCAGATGAGCATCCAAGCTTATTTTACCTTCTTCTCTTCCAAATCCAACTAGGAAGCTCCAGCTCTACTAGCACATCGCCCCCGCACCCTGTATTGTCCACAGGGACCAGGATCGTTCCTGCATGTAACAGCAAAAGAACAGCCCCTTCCCATACTTGATATCCCATCTTCTTCGGTCACCATGCAATCTGCGACACCAAAAACAGATTTATGGTTAGAGAGATCACGTTTGGATGGAATGATACTAGGGGCAGTGTCATATGGTGCTTCCTCTACAAATTAATAACTGTCGTCGATGTCTAAACTTAGTCCACCAGGGATGTTTTTCATGCTCACTGTCCAAGCTGCTAACGCACTTCTTCAAAAACCACGATATGGATGCAAAATTGCAGACCACCGTGCCGTCCTGTTGGGCTACATATTCATTACGTTCGCTCTGGGAACCATCGGCTTTGCAGGAAACGTCAAGTACACCGAGATGGTATGGATTGATCTACGTGATTCTCCTGGGGGCCCTGCTGCACTGATAGAAAATGAATTGGATTACTGGATAAATCTAATGGCGCTAGCTTGGTACGATAAATGCATACGTGACGTGAAAATCCGGTTGATTGGTTTGTCTCTAACAGCTATTACATCATGGAATGGTTTATGGAAGCCTTGTTGGTAAGGGATCTGCATCAGGGACGAAGTGGAGACTAAACACCTTGGCTAGCTGCACCGTTGCTTCATTATTTGGAACTGGGAGAAATACATCATTATTCCAATGACCACCCTCTTTCTAGCCATGGTCGGTCAGTCCAATCGGTTTATGTGCTCAATTCCCTACATTCTCATTTCCTGGTCATGTAGCTATGTCCATTCTTGTCCTCGCAGAGTCAAGTGGGGCTGTATTTTACAACATCAACACCCAAATTGCGTATCTTTGCATAGAGGTCGGCATAACTGTCATATACACCATTCTTGTCACGTCGCGTCTGCTCTCCATGCGCAGGCAGATGAAAGATATTCTCGGTCAGGAACATGTACGAACATACGAGGCAGTTGTTGCAATGGTCATAGAGTCTGCTGCCTTTTACTCTATAGTCGGGATCATTTTCATCATCACGTTCGCCATCCATTCGAACATTTCAAACCTCGTATTTCTTGCCATCAGCCACATCCAGGTATGTGTGTTTGCCTATCGGAATCATGTTTCGCGTGCTGGACTGATTCATGTATTTAGGGCATTGCACAATTGCTCATCATTATTCGTGTGGCTCAAGGCCGTGCTTACTCTAGCGGTACAGTCCATACGGGTAACGGCACCTCGTTAGAATTCAACGGGTCAGCATCTAAGTCTAAGGATGTTGTCAACGCGGCGGAGACTGATCATTCATACGGAGTGTCCGACGTTGTTCGCAGCACAGACTCTACTGTAAGCGTTAAGCAAAGGACCTTTCTACATTCTTCCAGCGAGGCCGACGCAGAATATGACAAAAGGGAGGAGGTATAGCAGGTGAAACTTGCCAGATCATGATTCGTGCACATAGAAAATCATGATGTATATATCTGCTTTGTCAATATGCTGTAATTTATCTGTACATTCAGGCGCCTGGTCAATGCCCCAAAGTCCGCAGAAGTCATTGCCTATCAACGCCATTGATGAATTTTTCATATTGCCTTGCAGCACGTTTACTCACCCAAGTCTTGTTTCGGATCTTTGGTGATATTTAATACACCAGCCAGTTCTCCGCTTTCAGCAATGCTGCATCCCACTCATCCCCCTTCTCCCAGACAGCAACACTCTCCACTTCGTCTCTTCCAAGTTTCAAGCCGTTATACAGATGAGGAAACATCCCCTCCCCTCCACGTGGACCACAAATCTCAGCCTTTGGGTCCTCCCATCTGATATTCTTCTCGATCTCATCATACGGGATACGCAAAATGTACACACGGCGGTCTTCGGCGAAGAAATATTTCAGTGTGCCTGGGACCTGAACTGCTGTGGAAAGATGGACGAAGCCAGACGTTTCGTCGATAGTGCTGACTGGAAGTCTTTCAGGGAGGGGATCTGGAGGAGCGGAGGTAGAGGAAATGAGCTTGTAGACATAGGTAGGTTTCGACATGATGTATGTAGTGCGATGTTCAATGCAGTTGACAGGAAATGAAATGGAACACTAATGATCTCAGCTAAGACTCTTCTAAGGTGCTTAAGCTTACAAGTGTTATCAATAACATCGCTAAACGATCCGATGTACCTGCCAGTTTTATCACGTTATTTATATATCAGGTGCGACATATGGCCTGGTGAGAATTTGAAACTTGTAATGTGTTTTGTATGCTATCACTTGTATTATCATGTGCTTTCGTGAGACTTCGACACATTCACGATATTGTTATGCTATACTTTGCCCCTATTCACGTCAGTTACAGTGAAAGAGTCGACCCCCTTCTATCAAGAGGCCTCAGGCCTCAGATCGGCTGACAGATAATTACGGAACCTCGCCCTGGGGAGTCTGTACATGAAGACAGCTATGAGTGATAGTACTCACAACATCCTCAGTCGCGGTTGTCGCCCATTTTTATACGTATTCCAGCTTCAGATGGAGCCTCGATTTACAAAAGAATAAGCGAGAAATGGAATTCTCGTTCCAATCTCCCGCCCTGTATATAGTATCATGTCACGATTTGAAGTAACGGATGATCCCATGCGACAAGTGAACTGAGCGTAGTCAAATAGTCCAGCACAGGCCTCAAATAGGACCGTGGAATGACTAGATAGAGGGTGGGAATCCTGCGTCCCCTCAGCAGCGACGAGAAGAGATGCAGATGCAGATAACTCGTGTTCGCATTCGGATATTTAAATAGGCAAGATAGCGGTGACGTGAACCTTGGAACAAATTATTGAGCAGATGCAATATAACAAGTGATGGATCAAGTACTAGAAATAATTCAAAGCATTGGACCGTCAGGAAATAGAGGTCGTTGACCACACCGAACAAGTAGCTGCTCGAGGAATTCGAGAGTTTACATTTAGGTGCTACTCATCGGAACCCAAGACGGAGACCTGGAGCTCGCTGGTGGGTGTAGTCCGAAAAGAGAAAAGCGACAGGTAAGAAAAAGACGACGGGGATTAGAAGAGGTGGTGTCCAGAATGGATGAATGATCTCCCTGATGACAATGTGAACGACGTGGTGGAGCAGACTGATTTTGCAATGCATAGCCATACCATATTAGTCCTATCCAAGAAAAGAAGTATAGTGCCGGAGTGATCCTAAACCGAGGCGAGAAGAGATCGTTGTGTATATCGGAATGGCGGAGGGTATGAAGGACAAGATAGATGGAGGTGTCCTCCATATGAGCATCCGCTAGCGAGGACTATTATATCAGGTCTGACAGGACACTTAGGACTGGCTCGGATATGCTGACTTTCCGAGGACATTCTGGAATGGATGTCACAGTGAAAAATAACGATCCTTTCCAAGTAGTCTTACTACCATCTCATGGCCTGAATTGAGATCCATCATGAATAATGAAGACATCTTATTAGTACAAAGGCTGACATTTCACTTTCGCTTCCACTAAATCCATGTCCGATTTTCGTCTAACCGCCATATTTTAGTCATTATGGATCATGCGAACCGTACTTGGTAGCTGACCTTTAGTTCGCAACACATGCAATGCCCAAATTGACTCTGACTGCCTTGCCGTCATCGGCCTCGTCTGTGAAAGTTATTTTCGTTTCAGGTCGAAAGACCAGGCAGCACGACGAGCCGCCAAAATGAAACATCCCCATCTGGTCGCCCTTCCTGATTCCCTCCCCTTCCTTCACCGTCACTTCACAGCTCGACACCTCTCCCATCCCAACGGCAATGAAGCACACCAAGCCAATTTCCGGATTGTCTGATTGGACAAAAATCAATGCACGAGTAGCCACTGCGGTGATAAAGTCCAGGGAGCGAAAGAGGACATCACCCTCTTTGTCATCGGGGACAGCGGCGAAATAAGTGCCGGGGACAACGACAGTCTTCGCAATCAGTCCAGTGACGGGACTGTGCCAGCGGTGGTAGTCGGTAGGGCTCAGGTAAGCCTGATAAACTGTCCCGCCAACAAATTGGTTCGCGAGTGGATCGTTGTTGAGCATGTGGAAGAGGGAGTATGGTTGACCTTTGATCCAAAATTTGTCTTGCTCCTTGACGTTGTAGCCCTTGTTATAGACCGTAGACTCGCAGGGGTTACTGATGAACCTGGTGTCGTCGGGAAAAACTGGGAACACATTATCCCTCAAGCGTCTGGTGAAGAAATCGTCCCAAGAGGTGAATCCCCAGAACTCCTTGGACGTATCACAAACAAAGACATCGGCAAAATCGGGCCTTTCCTCCTGCGCCTCGGGGCTGAACCAGCCGTTAAGATTGGTGGTAAGGACACTGCGCGATGCAGGCGAAGCGAGGTAGTTGGACCAGACTTTGAGTACTTTGAAGAAGTGGTCATTGATCTTTGGATAGAGGAAGGCGGCCATGCCTGCTTGGGTATTCATGAAGGAATTGATGACGGCGTTCATTGGAACCGTGACTTGACCACCCTGGTCTGAGTGGTACTCGATAGATTCTGCGATGATGGTATCGAAGAGACAGAGCATCATCTTCCAGTCTGTGACCTAATGAGGTGTGAGTGTATGGGTATGGCACTGAACAAGGGCAACTGACGTTTTTGTGGCCGTCTTTACCGACCGGTTCGTCATTTGACATTTGTGTAAAGTACATGAAAGCTTGTGGATCGTCCCGGATGAGGGTATGGAACTCTGCGATGACGGGATGGGAGTACTGGTCTGGAGCGGACACGGGAGCTCTGTGTAGCTGCAAGATCTTTGCATGTATCCATTTTCTGAGGACTTGAGGGTCCTTTGGCAGCCATCCGCGGTGTTGATTCATAGGCATTGTAAGCTTTGGAGGATGGTGGTCAGGGTGAGAGATAGGTAAGAGAGACGGAACTTACGATAGAGATGGATGGGTAGAAGGGGTGTGGAATGGTGGGTGGATTAGAGGATTTTTGTATGGCATGGGCAGTTGAGGCCATGAGAGTGCGAAAGGACAGGTGATGGGAGGGGTGGACGGTATTCGGGTTGCTGGATATGGGTGGAATGGTGGAATGGAATCGACAGGTGTGAATGATTGATTGGGCAGCCGAAAAGAAGAGATTGTTTGTGCATTCTGATGGTGATAACCCCAAAAGCTGAGCGAGTAAGGGAGAAGGGGAGGGTATGTAAGTAATGGAAGTGGCGAGGCGAAGAGAACAGGACTGAGTGGTCGGATGAGTAATTGACCCCTGATGACGTGGGTCGGGTGACAGTGGAGAGGAACAGGGAGGCACGGGCGGTGCTGTGCCTCAGTGATGGGATCAGCGCATGGCTTACGGCATCGCTCGTCATTCTATTTTATTGTACGGCGGATGAGCTGACAGTCGTCGCCATGTTCCGCCTCGTTCTCGCTCTGAGCTGGCTCAGACTCGTCTCTTCTTCTTCCTGGTCTGCTCTCAACGACTCCCTCGATGGCAGCCTGTTCTCCGCTCGTCCCCTTGCCCTCCCCTGCTTCTCCTCCTTCAACAACACCCCCGTCCACCCAGACCCCAGTGCATGCGCTCTTCTACAACAAAACTATTCTAATGCCACCTACAAGTCCTCCCTCTACCCCAACACCATGCAGCCAGAATGGGGCACGTGCATGACCACCCACAGCCAGTGTCTCCTCGACTACACCGACCCCACAAACCCACTTGCCTTTCTCGACGCTTCCTGCGACCAGGGAAGCATCTCGCCCTACTACGTCCGTCTCTCCTCTCCCCCCCTCTCTCCCACTCACCCTCCTCCAGATCGATGTACGCTCTCCACAAGACGTGCTCACCGCTTTCTCTTTTGCAAACGCTACTGGCATCCCCCTCTCCATCAAGAACTCGGGTCACGACTACAAGGGCCGCTCAAACATCCCCAGCTCTCTCGCTCTATGGGTCAGTTTATTTATCTCTTACCCTTCCCTCATTAACAATCTTCATCAAGACTCGCAACCTCAATTCCGTGGGTATCTCCCCCCCCCTCTCGATCATATCCCTTACCCCCTCTTAGATGACTTATAACGCCTCTTTCGTACCGGAAGGCTGTCCCTCCTCGCAGTCGTATAATACAATCACAACAGGCGTACGTCCTCCCCCCCCCCCCCCTTCTCGTTCTCTCTATTTACTCCCCGCAACAGGCCGGAAACAACTTTCAGGATCTCTACGCTTTCGCCGATCAGAACAACGTCACCTTGATCGGTGGATATGCACAGACGGTGGGCGCAAGCGGCGGCTGGGTCATGGTGCGTTCGCGCCATCTGTCACTTTTACCTATTCCAACCCTTTCCCCTTTCCCAGGGCGGCGGTCACAGCGTTCTCTCTCCTGTGTACGGGCTGGGCATAGATCGCGTCGTAAGTTCCCTTCTCACCCATTCCATCTCCCGCCTCACAAACACAACCCAGCTCCAATTCCTCGTAGTAACCCCCTCTGGCCTCACCCTCACCGCCAACTCTTGTCAAAACACCGACCTCTTCTGGGCCCTCCGTGGAGGCGGCGGCGGCACCTTTGGCGTTGTCCTCGAGTCCACCCATAGGGTCGAAGGGAGGCTGTCCATGCAAGTGTGAGTGAGACTTTTTTTCATTTCTCATTGAGCAGTTGGCTTTTGGCATGTCGTTTTGACAAAGCGGCTGGACTCTTGAGCGAGGTGTGGTAAACTGGTTTGAGCGTCGGATGCGAGACGCCGCAATACACCTCACCCGAATCCCACCACTCTACTTCAGTCACAACTATCGCTAACGCATCCCAACGCAGCGCGTCCCTCAGCATGAATGCCACGTCCACAAATATGCGCGCCTACTACGAGATCCTCGTCAACAACTCGATGCAGTGGGCGTCGGAGGGATGGGGTGGACATATCGTCGTGAGCTTCTCTCTTCCTTTATCCTTTTCCTCCAATCCAGTCTATCATTAATTATTAACGACCCCATAGGACTCCGCCATTAACTACGTCACTCCCCTACTTTCACTCGCAGAGGCTCAAGCTTCGATGGAGCCCATCGCGTCGTACGTCACCTCGCAGGGCGGTAGCGTCGTCATTGAGACTATGGACTCGTGGTATGACTATTTTGAGAAGTACGTGGTGCCGACTCAGGAGGTGCTCCCTTTCTTTCTTCCCCTTCCCTCTCCCAAAAAACTCACCATCACCTCACCCCACAGTCCGTCGCCCGACTCCTCGCCATTGGCTCGCGACTCATGCCACAGAGCGTCTTCATTTCCCCCACCCTCTCTTCGCAACTCGTCGACCTCCTACTCACATTTCCGCTCGTGTACATCCCCGTCGTCGGGCCTGTGCTGTACAACGAGACGGCTGCGAACGAGACGAGTGCGACACCCGCGTGGAGGGACAGTCTCTGGCACGTGAGTCACCCTTTCATTTCCCCTTCCTGTTATCATCTCACACTCACACCCGTACCCCCATCCCACATTCACCTCACCGTCCCATGTACTACCACCGTGCGCAGGTAAACACGGGTTTGATGTGGTACTTCAACACTTCGACGGCGGATGTGAACGCGAATTTTGGGCTTGTGCATAATTATACGCTGGCTATGACGGAGATTGCGCCTGATTCGGGGGCTTATCTCGTGAGTTCTTTTTGTCTTTTCTCTCCATTCGCTAGTTTTGCGTCTTTTTTTCGATTTGCGTTTGAGAACTTGGGACCGCTGTTTTCGCGTTTATTCTCTCTTCCAGCTTGTCTCTCCTGCACAACGTACGTTTTGCTGTGTGATACACTGCCTTTCGCGTATTGTCTTACCCCCACATCCCCCCCGCTACGAGAAAACACCGAGTGCTGAGTTGGATGCATGGCGCGCGTCTGCCGTCCCTTCGTCATCACGTCCCATTTTCTTCTTCGTAGTTTATATTAATAACCTACATTCCATCAGGTTGACACCTAACACTAATTAATTCTTTCCCCTCGCAGAATGAAGGCGACGTATATCAGTCTGACCACGAGAGTAAGCGTTTCCCCCTTCCATCCTCCCACCACTCATGCTCACGCTCCCCTCATAGCGGCGTTTTGGGGCGACAACTACTCCGAACTCCTGAGCATCAAACAGAAATAGTAAGTACCCGCGATATACCGTCTTCTGGCGCGAAGTGCACTTTGCATTGTGAATGAGTTGACTCACCATCATTTTTGGTGCGCGTAGCGACCCGTGGGGGCTGCTTGATTGTTGGCAATGTGGTACGTTTTCTTTTCTTTTATTCCTTTAGCCTTTGGTTTTAGTTTGAACCTTGGTTTTGCGCGTTTAAATAGTCGGTTGGAAAGGTCATTCAAACAAGGATTTCGAGTGCTACTTTCCCTCACCCTAACCGCGCATTCAATGAACATCAATATCCCAATCACTCAACCCGAAATTTTGACCCGCGACACTCGATCTCCCCCTCACCCTCATCAAAGCTTGTCTACGCCACTTTCCGACACCACTTTTCGTTCGTTTTGTTCGTCGCGTCCTTTTCGTTCTTGGGCTTTTCCCACTTGGAACTAGATGAATCAATTCAATCCTAATTCAACCTCACTGTACTGGGCCTTCTCTCGATGTTTTTTTTATTGACGTTTTTGGTTTTGAGAACGAGGAAAGGAGAAGAGGAGGAGGAGGAGGAGGAGGAGGAGGAGGAGAGGAAGAGAACGACATCATTATTTATTTATTTACTTACTACCCCCCCCAATCTGCGACTACATATCTCCAATCCATAATACCATGCTCACCCACCCTTTGTGCTCCAAGGTACAAACTCGCAACTTGTGTCGGTTTTGTTCCGCATCGAGAGCTGTTCACAAAGTGACCGTGATGCAGCAGCCAAGTGCGATAGCGATGGTCGATGAAGAGATAACTTGGGAGCCTGTAAAGTGAAAGAACATAAGTGAACATACCTCAGCGTTAGGATCAACAATTGAGGTATGAAGTCGTCATGTGATGAGAATGAACGAACTATGAATCTATGACGCATTGATGTTTGTCGTCATCGCACTCATCCAACGAAGGTCAATTTCAAGATTATAACTCTCTCTCTCAAGTCCATCAACTCGATATAAAAATGCCTCGTCCAAATGGAATCCTCAAACTATTTCGCCCATTTTTTCGTCTCGTAGGCATGTCTACCTCTGCAAACCAACTTGAACAGGAGTATCCTCCTGGCTTTACGGATGTTGCTTACTGGGAGGCCACACTTCTTAAAGACTATCAGTCTTTACTGCCTACTGAGGGCCCCGCTAATCGTGCTCGGATGAGGACAATGAAAGTCGCAGAGTTGCGGAGGTATAAGGAGAGGGGAGGGTCTGAGCATGAGTACCTTGTGGTAAAAATCACACGGTTAGGTTATAGTGATAGGTATTTGCGCATAGAACGGAGCGGAGGTGACTTCAATGCGCATGTCCCATCATCAAGCTCCGCAAACTCATCTAAGTCATCACTGTCCCACTCCCCAACCTGGTCAACAAATGTCTACAACACAACATTATCTGCCATTATCGGGTTACCAGCAAAGGACCAGGTTTTGCGGATTGGATCCTGGCCAAACGACAAGAAAATCGAGAGAGTGAAATGCGAGAAGGAGTGTCCATTGATACTCTACGACCTGGCCATCCTATCCAGGGTGGTCCATGAACACTCGGACCTGTACAAGCTCCTTCGTCGCCAGTGCTACTGGTATGCAGACATTATTGTTCGCGTACTAGAAGCTACATATCAAGGAGTCAAGGTTCCTGACTCATCACAGGATGACGAAGACAAATTAGTGGAGATCTGGGCCACTGAGGCCCTTGACTCGGCAGGGGGAAAATGGAAACAGATTCCCATCCACAATGTGCGCCCCTCAATCCTGAACGAGATTAAGGACCTGTTCAATCAGCGCCGAGAAGAGGTATATAACAAGGTGTGTTTCTTATTAATGATTTATTATATTTAATACAAACTACAACATTTATTTACCTTAGATACAGGAGGTGGAGGAAGCGGTTCGGGAAGCAGAAAGGATTGTAATCAAGGAGCGGGAGGCAAGGAGCGTGGCAGAGGAAGCGGTTCGAGAAGCAGAAAGGATTGTAATCAAGGAGCGGGAGGCAAGGAGCGTGGTGGAGGAAGCGGTTCGAGAAGCAGAAAGGATTGTAATCAAGGAGCGGGAGGCAAGGAGCGTGGTGGAGGAGCGTATCCAAGAGCTCGAGCATTTGCTCAACCTCGGAAACATCAACTCCAGCCAACCTGCATCCTGACGAGATGCCATTTTTGTTTTCCTTTGTTTTACATGTTACTACCATTTTGAAGTCAAGCCCTCCATCGAGTCAACATCCCGAAGTCTTTGAGAAAGAGGACAAGATTATTGCTTCAGACGAGTATAGTGGCTTAAATAATTCCCTTCCAAGTCGCTATGTTGGTGCGTATTGTGTGTAGTGAGAGAATGGGAGAGGGGTATAACTATTAAAGCAGTAACTGACTGTGACAATGTACATAGTTACAATGTTGACACTGGTCCAGTTCTGAAATTTGGGAAAAGAGGCACGAGGAGAAAATGAAGGGCACCTTAAGAACAAAGTGAGGCAAGTGAAGAGAAAGAAGAAGTGACAGAATCTCATAATACACGTCCGTACAGACTTGACGAGAAATAACAAAAGAGGCGACCTTGGTGAGCAAAAAGACGCAGAAGAACGAAGAAGATACTTCACAGCCCGCCCTAGCCGCTGAACAGTCACCTACACCAACTCCCCATCATCCGTCGTCAAGATTCCCTTGACGCCCCCACTCTGCGTGCGTCCCCCGTCCCTCGCACGCGCATTGTTCATCCGTCTCTCGATATCACCTCTCACCTCCACAGCCCCCCCCTCGCCGTGAAAACTCTCCTCCAACGAGCGCGGAAATGGGAAGTGCTCGGGCGGGGTGGGCGGCTTCATAATTGGCACAGCAGCTTTCTTCGACTTCTTCCCTTTCTTACTCTTCCCTTTACTGCTGGTGCTACTCGCAGACCCGTTTGATTTGGTCTTCTCCATCGGCGGCGCGGTGGGCGGGTGTGTCGGGGACACGGGCGTCGGTACGGAGGGATCGATCCAGTCGTCATCATCATCAATACCCTCGCCTCCTTCGTCGTCCTCCCCAAATCGATCAGACCCACGTTTTCCTTTCCCCTCAACACCTGCTCGTCCTTCCTTGTCTTCTTCAAATGAGGTTGAGCTCGGCCCAGGCGTTATCGGCCCAATCGGGTCTTCCTCAGTGTCAACCTCAGAGCTCTTTCCTCCACCCTTGAGGCTCGCATCAGGCGACGTCGACGGCGAACGGGTGTCAAAGTATTGTTCATCCGCACCCTCCTCCGCATCGACCTCCATCATATCGTCAGGCTCCGAAATGGACTCGAGCCCCATGAACTCGTCCGAGTCGGACGGCCATGTTGGGGGCTCATCCTGGACGGTGAAGATCGTTTTGTGGCGATGCATGAGCTGTTGATCGTATCCAAACAAAGAATAATAGGTTAGATGTATGATTACAGTAATAGATGAAGCGAAAAGGTATGCGTACGTCATTGACTCTCCTCCGGAAATCGAACCAGTCGTTTTCGTCTTTGCACAAAAATCCAAGGAGCATACTCGGATCAAGCCCACTCATGGGCATCTTCCTCACCCGATCGCAATGGAACGTCCTGAGTTGATCCGGGCTATACGCATTCACATAATGTTCCGCCATAGGATCCAATGCTTCTCCTGCTCCCTCGCTGTCACCCCAACCAAGCTCACGCACATCCATATCAGAACTAATTTCAGGCGACGCAGGCAGACTCGCATTCTGCCAGCGTTGCGAGTGTGTGTAAGGTTGGGACGATACACTTGAGGCTACACTGGACGATGTCGAGAGTTGGTGCTGTAGCGGCGAAGGTGACATCGGTGCATGGTACGAAAACGTCGATGATCCTGTGCGAACCGACGAAGGCGAGGTTGGCGAGCGGTAGTGGTTCGAAGTTGGCGAGCGCTGGTTAGTGCGCCTATCTGACACATTATCGGGGGTTGTCTCGCGCTCCCAACGGTTCCGCGTCATCAAGCTGGAAGCCTCCGTAGCAGGTGGAGCAGGCCGGAGAGGTACCGCAGGCCGTGCGTGGTGTGGATCAAGATAGAATAGGTTATCTGCTTGAGAGCCCATGAAATAATAAGACGAAGAGGGGCGCCCGCCGGCGATGCCGACGGATTGCGGGAAAGTATACAAAGCCTGACGTGTACGGCACCGTCATCAGTATCCAGCGATAAGGTCGAAGAGTTCTAATGCTCACCTTAATGGTATCATAATAAATAGGATTTACCCCGTCTAGGCCCAGACGGATTCCGATGAGGACTATGACAGCACGGCCTCCCCAAGACACTTTTGCATGTCGTCGTGGAGAACCGATATACGCATTTGACGCAGCGTACACATCGGATTGAAATATTACACCGTCAGAAGCGACAGACACCCCAAGACCAGCTTCAGGGAAGGCATGTACAAGTGTTCTAGTATGGGTTAGCAATCATGCAAGGAAGTAGCCACAATAAATTGACGCCTTACTTGATTGCACCTGCGGCGGTACTGGGTCCGAACCACTGTCCGACATCTTTGCCTAAATCTTTGCCGGCAAGGGCCATGCGATGTACACTGAACGGTGACTGGGGAGAGGGAGTATCGAAAAACCATGTAATAATTTGAACATATGTAGCGTAGTCGGTCGTATGGACAGGATATGGGGGACGACGCCAATCTGCTCGAAAAGCATGAAGAACAGATACAATAGATATAAGATAGCAGATACCCACCTCTTCCTAGATGGAGATGAAGGAGGGCATTGGCTAATAGTGATTGTCCGGTGCGCAACATACAGCCCCAGCCAGCATCGCTAGTCCAGCCCTTTTCTCCTCCCACGGGCCAGTTCCATCTTTTGGGTTGAGGACTCGAAGGTAGTGGACCTTGCGATGCAACAGCCATCTCTGATTCGAGGGCGGAGAGAGTTGAATCCCTGATGGGGTAGAACTGAGATCGATAAGTAAGCCATATTCGAGAAGTAAAGTCAGCGTAAAAAACAGGGGGCCAGTTACTGCCAGGATGTTTGGCAGAGGGAGGTTGCGACTGTGATAGTTCTGAGACAGTCTGAGAAGAAGAAGCAGAAGAGCGAAATGATGGAGATCGACGAGATTCGACTGAGCTGCGACGACCTGGGGTGACAGGTGGTGGTGGTGGTTCATAGCCAAGGTGCTGAACGCCCAGAAGCCATATTGGCTCTGAGCACTTATCTGGGGTTGAGTCGCTGTCCATGAGGAAGCGCATTGCGCGGTCTAGGTGACCTTTCCCATGCTTTGCTGCGGTAAGAAGGGCAGAGCTTTTACCTTTGGGAGAAGCGGTGGCTGAGGAAAGATGGGATTGAGAGAGGAGGGAAGGCAGTGAAAGATCAGTGGATGATGTGCTGAAGGTATGAGAGAGCCAGCCGGACAATCTTGTTGGGAGATCTGCTATGCGGGCTGATGAAGAGCTAGAGTAGAGGGAGACTGAGGGGTGAATGTCTGATACGGTGCTGAGGGGACGTTCTGAGCGAGCGCGTGTGCGAGGCATGTCTGCGGGTTCAATTATTACGGGTGGTTCGTCGAATGAATCCTCACGTTCGCTATCGAAGTTATTATCAGGATGGGATGAGCGGGGTGTGGATTTGTCGTCTCTTGACTTCCCACCCAGGAATCTTGTTTTTCTGGGATTGTTGTTGGTAGATTGTTTGGGCGACGATGGCTCTGATGGATGCTGGACGAGACTCGACGAGCTCGAGCTTGCAATGCTGGCACTGCTGCCACCAGCAGTGGGATCTGTCATGGATTTAGACCGGTCACGGCCTTGCTTCTGGAGGAATTTTGAGAGCTTTGAGCCATGGTTGGGGACGGGAGAGGACGGGGAGGGCGTGTTACGGGAGTGTTTGGTAGCCATGGGTGATGAGGAGAGCGTGCTCGACGATGTGCGCGACGACGACGAGAGAGTCGAAGCGATGGGTGTCGTGTCGACCAATTCCTTGTTTGGGTTGTTTACCGTCGGCTCTTCACTTCGGCATTCTGCCACTCGACTCACTCTTACTCACTCCTGCGACAGCACATTTCCGTATTCTTATGTCTCTCAGATCCTAATGTTCTGTCATCGCTGATACGAATAAGCACTTAAGCTGGTCCCGAACCGAAATGACCTGTCTTTTCCAGCTTGCACTCGAGTGCCACCGAGTATCATTCCACCTGTCATTCGGTGGTGACCTGACATCTATTTCGTTTCAGATACGTAACGACGGTACACAAGACCACACTGGCACCATGTCTTGAGAACAACCCAAGGATACTACTTATCCAGGGGTATCCGTTTTCTGTGTCTCCTATTTCAGAATAGGTGCGAGCACCACTAAAATGAATTCCCTTTTCAATCATTTCTTCGATCATGTATCTTCTCTTGCTTTCTCCTTTCGTTATCTCCAGAATACTCTGCTAATGATCATCACTCGAGCTCCTCTGGAATCTCCCATAGGCCCATTCGCTATATATCCGGCCCCACACCTTCGTTCCTACGGGAAGCAAAGGGCTCCCGACTTATCAGATTAATGCACAACGAGAGATCCCTACGACGTATTTCTGGCTTCAGTCACAGGCTAATCCGTGGACGCCATTCTTTCGGCCCGGGTATCCATCATATCGAACCACTTTGCAGGCGTCTCGCCCGCCTTTGCACTTTCCCTATCCTACACCAGTCATCATTCTCCTCTTCCCCTTCTTCTGTGGCTGTTAGCAGTGCTCAACGGCATCGTCTCGCATTTGCTAGGCTGGGATGCGCTAGAATCTAAACCTACTACTGCATACAGACTAACTTTCTCTCTCGTAGAACGCTGGAATACAACACACACGCTATAGCACACCAGAGGACAACCCTCGCCCTAGTCCATCCATCATGGCCCTTTACCCTACGTATATGCCGAAGCAAGCGCCTTCTCAGCTATATGAATATCAACATCATGCTGCCCATTGTTCTGATTCCCTCCCCCATCATTATTATATCATTTTCCCTTATAGTGTCACAATCGGTCCCACGATACGCGCTTCTATCTCATGACGCCGCAGCTTCACTACCTATGGGTTTCAGAAATTAGATCGCCTATGCGACAACGCCTTCTACACGCACAGCAAATACCTGTCATGGTTTTTAACCTCCAGTAGCTTGCAGTGAAATGGTCATTATAGAATACTAGGACACTTCTGTGCAGCGGTTCGCTCAATTACGCTATGTTTTATGTCGAAGCTCATCGCCCTACTAGAGCCTGACTTGTGCAAGCCGCTTTCAACGGACATTTCGACATTTACCCCCTCAGCATTCTCTAGAGAAACCGGCGATGTTATCAGCTTCTTAACAGCACAGTAGGACGGGCTGGCAGTGATTGTCTCGGTTGCGCTAACTATTTTAAGGTGCCTGAAGGTCTACAGCCCCAGCGCTTTTTCCTCTACGGTCACTACAGAATTCATGGTATTGTCCTTTAGTTTCAAGCGCTTGATCACAAAGTCTACTTCACCAGAACACTCGAGATCATGTTATCCGTGTCAACGTTCGGATATTGATATCAAGTAGTAGTATTCAGTGATAATAATAGCGATAATAATGTAAGAGGTAGTATGTGTGTAAGTTAGCTGTAATATGACACACCACATGTGTGTGCATACGTCGACTATCCATCAGAAATTTCTTATAGAATGACTGAAAAACGGGTCAGCAGATTCGGCAATCGGTCCAGCCACAATTGTCCTCAGATTTAGAGAGGCTATGCGCTGGACTTCGTTCACTTAAAACTCACGTCGCAGTTTTCTTGACGTGCCAGGAGCGGAGTGGTGTGCAACAGCACTGTCTTTCTGTCTCAATGGTTTCTGGGTCGTCAATCGCCACTCTGGTGATTTTTATCCTTTCCATAATATTTGTGATACGCCCTGTCACTATACCTGCTCCCCGACCTATACCCCATATCCCTATCAATCTCACCACAGCGCCAATTATCGCTATCGCTGTGCTCTGGGCCGCCCAATGCATCGATCCAGCTGTCATCCGCGATGGAATAGTAGGAACAGACGGCGTCAAGCCATACAACATCCTCATCCTCTTCTTTTCGCTCGCGTACATGGCCATCACCCTCGACATCACCGGTATCCTTCAAGCTGCAGCATTCTGGGTCAGCAATAAGGGCGGTTCTAACGGATGGAAACTTTATTTCTACTTTTATGTCATGCTTACCATGCTCAGTGTACTCCTGGGCAACGATCCTGTTATTCTCTCCGGAACCGCATTTTTAGTTTATTACACAAAAGTCGCAGAACTAAATCCCATCTCATGGCTCATGTCAGAATTCGCTGCGGCGAACACTGCGAGCATGGTCCTTTTTGTTGGGAACCCTACTAACGTAAGTTCTTCAAAGCACTTGTGGCGAATATTTCTGCTGAATATTTCTACTTTTTAGGTAGTCATCTGTGAAGGATTCAATGTCAATAACGCCGCGTTTACTGCATACACCATTCTTCCCTTTCTCGCCTGCAACCTCGTGTGTTTCCTCGCCCTCGGAAGCCAATTCCGAGATTCAAAATATCTGCCACGCAGACTGAACGTTACCGCTGATCTCGATGCGCGATCTGTCCTCCTCGATCCCATTGGCGCTTGGGTAGGGAGCATCATGCTGGGCACCTGTCTCATCCTCTGCATTGTCGTCAGCTTTTTCAAAATTGATGTCTGGATGATTAGTTTGCCATTTGCTGTCGCGAAGCTTATTTACGACTTGACGTGGGACCACTATAGATACATCCGTAAAATTCCTATGTTGGGTCGAGGCCTACCTGCTGCTCCTGCAAAGGACCACAGTGCAGGTGCAGATGAAGATGTCATGCTCGCCGCTCTTGAGCGTCAGTTCTCGACGAACAGCAGGCAACGTCATCCCAACGGTTCACCAGATCCACAACTTTCCCTCCCATCGAAACAGCCGACAGAGACCACCATGAAATCTTCAACGCCATTCTCATCTCCTAAACAGTATATTGCTCAACGCCGTTCAACCATAATCGCATTACATTCACGGCTTCATACGCATTTCCCTACTTTCTTCACAGCGCTCCCTCGCCTCCCCTTTGCTCTTGTTCCCTTTGCATTTTCTCAATTCATACTCATCGAAAGCCTCGGGCACCAAGGATGGATCGAGATATTCGCAACCTGGTTCGTTCGTGCATCAAAACGTGAGACATACCCGACCATTTGGCTTATTGGCGTCTTGGGCGTCATTCTTTGTAACCTCTCAGGAACCAACATCGGTGCTACCATCCTCCTCACCAAAGTCGTCAGCGCCGCCGCCCTCCAACCACACACCTACCGTGCAGCAGCCATCGCGCTCGCCGTCGCCTCGAATATCGGTGCCGTCTCTTTCACCTTTTCCGCCAGCCTTGCTGGACTGCTATGGCGTGGTATCCTCAAGCAAAAGGGTATAATTGTCAGTCAGCGCACGTTTGCGTATTGGAACATGCTTCCGCTTGTGGTGATGACCATCGCGGGGCTCGCCGTTGTCTCTGCGGAAATGGCGGTTTTGTATAGGCAATAGATGGAGAGGGCGTACCGGTATTCTCAGTGCCGGCGGGATCTCGCTGATCGCCGCATGTGGTGCGGCCAATGATAGCGCCGCGATAGCCAAGAAAGAACTCAGGATGTACCTCGGACACCAAGGCATGCAACCCTTTAACGTCAGCGGGGATGGGTGGGTATGGGAGGTGGGTGAACGCGTGGTGATGTGTTTATGTTCACGGAGCGACCCGACATGATCCATGATGCATGATGGACCTCATGTTTTTAACAACCCTGGAGTGGGCGTCTGTATCATGGTTCGGATTTCAAGAAGACCCTCTTTCGGCAGACGGGAAAATGTACATGTTTTTTTTTGGATTTTATGATAGTAACTAATAGATCTCTCTTCTCTTCTTTCTGCTTTCTGCCATTTAATGCCTATTCTTGTCAGTAGTATTGTTATGACCACAGTTTCTTGCGCTCCGCTGTCAAGGACTGATACGGCGTTACGGGTTGTTTGGGGTACGTTTTTGGCTGACGTTTGTATTGCTTTATTCTTGTAGGCCTTGGGTTTTCTAATGGGTTTTAGGTGCTTAGACCGGATAGACGAACGTGTGGGTGATAGTAATCGATCTATTTTATACTTAGTTGAATAGCGTGATGCGTATGTGGTATGTCGTTATGGACGACAATGCTACTTGTATACTGTAGGTGCGTTTGAGACATGCATTTTAATACTTACTTTAGTCAATGTGCTACGATGGCGGCTTCCTACGCTCAGTTTGTTGGCAAGATCGCACTGTGGGGCTCTTCTAGCGCCGGGACATATTCGTGACAGGCGTATCTTATTTTTGGTATTGACGAGTCCTCGTTGGCCATGAACCGGTTAAGCCCCTGAGCGTTTTTATGTATGGAGAATTTGAGTGATGCTGATGCTGCGGCCTGGGGAATCTGAAGTCCCTAGGCTAGCTATAAAAGACGTTTAGATAGTAATTATGGGGTGGTGTCGTAGGTCTGCTAGTTACAGACGAAGAGACATATCAAGACCGTGTTGGCCACTTGAGGTAGGTGGAATACCACGCTAAGTCATCTATTATTTTTCTGATTTCTCTGCAAAATAAATTATTTGGGCATCGTCTTGTGAAATTGATATAGATTTTAACACCAAGTAAAAGATTACAAAAAAGCATTTGGTATGATTTAACATGTAAGTCACGGTATGTGCCACTGCAGCGTGTATTATGGATGCTCTCGATTTGATCGGGAAGTGTTTGTTCCGCTCTATTCGTCTTACCGGCTCTACAGTATGTACTTCTCATGCTTGACGCCCACGACATTTTGGCACAAGATTCCGTCATGAAAACTTTTCGTTCGCTCTCGTATCAAGGTCGGGCACTCACTCAAGCCCACATTTTCAGAGCTTTTCAGGGTCAACTTGCTTCCGGGTGTCAACCTCCCGTATAACCTGCTTTCCTAAGGCTTAGGCAAGGCTTAGGCCGCCCATTCACCCGGGCGTCTTTTTCACGTCTTATAATTGCACCCTAAAGTTGGTACCTCCTTGGCTCTAACTCTCACTCTCATCCATCCTCCCAAGTTCTTGTCGAATTGCGTCCTTTCAACAAGGAAATGATGTTACTTCGGCGTACGAATAGAAATCGTAACAATACCTATCCACAAAGTTCCACCAGCGCTGAAGCAGCCCCGCCACCCTATAGCACCGGCTGGATGCCAGAGCGAACGCCTGCGCCGATGTGAGTTTGAGTAGTCCTGCCCACTTAGATACGTTGAACTGACCTTTTTCTTCTTGTTTTGCATAGGTATCGCCATGCGATGCCATCGGGCCCTTGGCCATGGATGGATTTTAACGAAGACCTAGCACCTGGTCGCCATATCCAGGCAGGACGCACACAGGATATGTCATGGAAGGGCTATCCACAAAGTCTTTTCCAGAACTGGACTCCGCGTCATGTAGAGCGCAGCAAGATGCTGACTCGGTGCCCAGAATTCGGACATTGCTCGATACACAACATTGATGTCAAGGACGATGGCTTTTTTGAAATTGGTGACGTGGATAAGTACGATGTATCAGACAATAATGCCGACGAGTGTTGGGCGTTGTTCCGGAAGGACGTAAGTACAGATTGTTGCGTTTCGTTGATTTATCGCGATACCAATCTTCAGTTTCTAGCGTCCAGAGGGCATCCGGGTTCGTGTTTTGTTCGTGGATAAAATGACGGTCCCAGTGCTCCGAATGTTAGGCACGCAGTATGTCATTCATGGTTCTTCATATGAACAGACTCATAATCCGATTTGAGTAGGTATAATATTGAACCATTCTTTTTCTCCTCGTCCGTGAATTGGATACCCTCACGATACCAAGAAGAAATCAAGTTAGGAGAAGGAGACCGTAAGTCACCCTTTTCCGTCATCCTCATGTCGCGTTGAAAAAATAAAATCAGATATCACAATCACCTTACCCTTCATACGAGCTGTGAAATGTCCATTGTCTCAGTCAGAAACAACAAGTATATATCCCCCTATTTTCAAGAAAACTCACCTAATATCGCGTAGTAGTATAGGTGCGTAAATTTCCAGACAAACTAACCCACTTAATCTTGACTTCTTATTTACTTTCCAGATGCACAGCAAATTATCGATACTCAATCGCCACTTTATCTTCGCTCCTGTATGTTTCATCCAACCTTCTCTGTGTTTCAGAGGTAGCCAACTAATGCATGAATAGCCCAATATATTCTTATGCTCGATCTTCTCTCGATACACATGATCCGCACAAAGGATTCAAGCACTATGATCTCGTATCACTCAGATACCGATTCGCATAGGACCAGTGCTGAACGCATGAGCGGCCTTCTCTATTACATTGGCCAGAGCGTTTATTGGCAGAAAATATTTTCCAAAACGAAGGACCCCACTTTCGTCTTAGTGTCTATACTGTGGTACGCACTATACACATGGGATGAAGCCTTTGAAATATTGTACTCCCACATCAACGATTTGGTAAGATTTATTTCCATTTGCACATCTTGAGCATCCTGAATAACCCATCAAATTGTCCAGGAATCGTCCGTTATTACTACGAACGAGATGAATCTGACCCGCGAGTTGCACGTCATACATGCCCACCTGTTATTCTACTCGACGTTATTGGAAGACTTTAGCCAATCAGTGACTTTTGTGCTAGAGACTCCTCACCCTGGTATGGAGGGCCTTGCAGGTGATAATCAGGAGTCGAACCTCCTCAAGAGAGAGTGCAACAATTTGTTATCTGCCATAAAAAGGTTGGAAGGTATCAGAGATATGCATGGTAAACGTTTGCAAAACGTCATGCATCTTGTAAGTTGCCGCCCTTTTGAGATGCAGTTTTCCGCTCATACATTTCTAGGCATTCGCCACCGTGAACATAGACGACAGTAAACAGATGAAGCAGGCAAGTATATGGTGAGGCACTAGTACACCCGACGCTAACCCAGGTACAGATATCTTACCTCACAATGATATTCCTGCCTGCAGGTTTCACAGCTGTAGGCCTTTCCACTCCTGCGTGCTTTCTCCGGTGCTGATAGTTTTGGTTAGACTGTATTCGGAATGAATGTCAAAGAGATCAACTCAGGATCTTATGAAACGCTGGCACACTATGCCATTGCAACTCTGTTACTGACAATCGCCACCGTTTGGATCGTGGTGACTTTTCAAATCAACAGCCACTTCCACGGTCCTGGGCCACAGAAGAGTTTTTGGGTGCGCTTGGGCTGGCCAGTTCGAGCGCTGCATCGAAAGTTGGCGAAGAAGAAAAAGCAAACAGACACTACGACGGAGCAATCTCAGATTCAAGGTCGGGACGAAGAGAAAGGAACAGGGTATCCCGTATAAGCTATGTCGCATACGTGTTATTGTATACTACACCTATTTAGTTGCTTGGTTTTACTCACGGACCATTATGTACATTCACTTGTTCCGCCAGTGTGTTGGTGCGATGGTCTAACAGGTTCCATGATCCATGATGGGCCTCGTCCTTACGACGACCTATAAATGAGATTCGTATGTCATCGTCTGGTGGTGCCGGGGGAGATATACCCATGGGGTCGCAGCGTGTTTTAGCTACTTATAGGCCTCTTGCGCCTAATATCTATCCATGTTGATGCATCCTGCCAGTGATCCTCAGGCCTCAGCAGCCGTGTACAGCAGGTTTATAAATTTAAAAGTGGTTGCATGTGGACTCGAAGTTCATTGAGTTGATACATAGGAACTACGGTTGTCAATGGAGTTATCTTACACCATTCTACCAACAACCCACTCGTGTATTAGTTCCATGCGGTAGCTTCAAAATCAGCGGAAATGGTATAGTTGCGTTTATCACTGTAATGGCCATGATGCATGATGCATTGCGCAGGCGCGTTACTTAAAATTCAAGGGTTGCCTCTTATCTTATCTTATTTTTAACAGATAAGTATGAAATGATGGACCGGCAAATTTGACAACGGGATTTTCATATAAACAAAGGTGGAAAATGGGAGTTTTAGTACAAACTGGGAACAATATGGTGGGATCTGGGATATTTTCGCCCATGTAGCAAGTAAGGTCAGCAACGTGGTTTCGATCGGGTTCCGCCCTTCGTTTGTTAACTCCATGCTTGTTGTCTTCGTGCATTCTCGTGGTAAGGATCTGATTACATACCGCTATCGCGAACAAGTGACAGATCGCAACGTTAGACCACCGTGGACAGGCTCTATCACTGAGGTTCTAAGTTGACATGAAACCTGGCAGGGTCAAGATCATTCCGTAGTTCTCGGCTATCGACCGCCCAGCTTGCCTGACCCGGCCGCTGATGCATTCGGGCGTCTTTTCGGGCGTCTTATAATTGCAACCTGGCATTGTCCGTGTCTCTCTACTTATTTCTTGTCTCCTACTACAATTCCTTCCATCTCGCATGCCCTCGTGATACCCAACTAACGAAGAATGTCATTACTACACTTACCCCTCACGAATAGATCACACCGCATGGCTTCTCCCCGGAGCTCTATTCATACTACGCGCCCAGCGGCCAGTAGTGCTTGGGAGATGCCCGGGCGGACGCCTGCGCCAATGTGAGTTTGGCCATTTTCTTAGTGTCAGATGGCACCTCTCGTTCCAGCGCTTACTAGCTTTTTGTGCTTTTGCATAGGTATCGCCATGCCATGCCATCAGGCCCTTGGCCATGGATGGATTTTAATGTGGACCTGAAATCCGGTCAACAGTCGAAAGAGACTCATTATGACCAGTCGTGGAAAGGCTACCCACAGAGCATTTTCCCCAATTGGACTCCCGAGCAGGTGGCGCGCAGCGAGATGTTAACCCAGTGCCAGAACCGACAGTCTGGTTGTTGCACGATATACAATGTCGACGTTAAAGACAATGGCTCCTTCGTTGTTGGTCAAGCAGAGAGGTTTGAGGTATCGAGTACCAATGGAGAAGAGGTTTGGAAGTCATTCCAGGCAGAGGTAAGCCAAAATCTTATCGGTCATATTTTTGTCCCGAACGCCACCCTTGCTTCTCAGCGTCCAAAGGGCACTCGTGTCCGAGCACTATTTGTGGATAAAATGACAGTCCCCATTCTCAGAATGTTGGGTACAAAGTATGTATTGTCTTTGATACTTCCAATTGACGCAAAACATCTGACTTCGAGTAGATATACTATCGAACCTTTCTTTTTCTCTTCTTCTACAAACTGGATACCATCGCGATATCAAGAAGAAGTGAAACCAAAAGAAGGAGACCGTATGTTACTGTTCATCGTAGGCATCATATCACACTGACAATCAGCTCAGATATCACAATCACTTTACCCTTCATACGCGCCGTGCAATGTCCCCCTTCTCAGTCGGCAACTGCGCCCTCGACGACGAGCACGTACCCGAATTTCACTAAAACATATCCATCACGTGTTAGTTTAGGTTCGTAACTCGAAATAACAATTTCCACCACCCAAGTCGTGAACCGTTATATTTTCTTTCAGACGCACATCAAATCATAGATACCCAGTCACCTCTCTTTCTTCGTTCCTGTAAGTCTTTCGCTGTGGCCATCTCGCTGGCGCCGATTCACGTTTAAGCTAGCTCGTCATATCCTCATGCTTGATCTTCTTTCCCTACACATGGTTCGCTCCAAGGATACAAGCACTATCATCTCGTACCATTCGGACTCAGATTCGCATAGGACTGGTGCAGAACGAATGAACGGTCTGTTATATTCGATAGGCCAGAGCGTTTACTGGCAAAAAATATTCAGTAAAACCAGCGATCCCACCTTTGTGCTGCTGTCCATGCTGTGGTACGCACTATATGCATGGGACGAATCTTTTGAGATTCTGTACGCTCATATTAATATTTTGGTCTGTGATTGTAGTCTCTTGAGTAATATGTCCGGCAAACTAACTTGCACGTAGGAGTCATCTGTTATTACGACTAACGAAATGCACCTGACACGCGAGCTGCATATCATTCAAGCTCATCTCTTGTTCTACGCCACCCTTCTACAAGATTTCATCAAGTCGGTTATGTTTGTGTTAGAGACTCCCCATCCTGCGACGGAGGCTGATCTTCCTGATGGAAAAGGACGACAGGAACAACAAGACTCGAAGGATCTCCTAAAGAAAGAGTGCAGTAATTTGTTGTCTGCAATTGACAGGCTAGAAGGTATCAGAGATATGCATAGTAAACGTCTGCAAAACGTCATGAATCTCGTATGTTCTATTTAATTAGACTTCACAGGGTCGTCCGCTGACGAGATCATAGGCATTCGCCACTGTGAATATTGACGACAGTAAACAAATGAAGGAGTTGACGCAAGCCGCTTTGCGAGATTCCACTGCCATGAAGCAGGCAAGTGTACCACTATACTATAATGTCTCTTCTGCTGACACGAAACGTAGATATCTTATCTCACGATGATTTTTCTACCTGCAAGCTTTACGGGTGTATGTTTTGATTTCCCCACTGTTTTACTCCCTGCTAATTTCAAAATCTTGGTCATTTAGACGGTATTCGGAATGAATGTTAAAGAAATTAACTCGGGTTCCTACGAAACGCTGGCCCACTACGCTATAACAACTGTGTTACTGACCCTTACCACCGTTTGGATTGTCGTGGCTCTTCAAAGCGCCAGTCATTTCCACGGACCTGGTCCTGACAAGGGCGTGTGGATCCGGCTTTGCTGGCCTGTTCGAGTTTCACTGCGCAAGTGGAGGGAATATAATCAAAGACGAGCCGCGAAAATTAATTCTCAAAATAAAAAGCAAGATCTAGAAAAAGGATCAATCACTGACGATTAAGCTATGGCTCATATTTTTTCTTTACGCACTACTATACCTGCATATTTCTCAACTCACGAACCATGACTGACTACGTACGCTCGTTGATCGAGTCACTGTGTAGCTGCTACAACTGCTATTTAGGATCTATGTTACAGCTATCATGGAGTCTACGACGATGTCTTTACCGCTAATGTTTGCAATGTATTAGGTTGGAGTTCATGGGACTTTGTTTTAGAGCTCATCCCTTTACATTGGACACTAGTGTATGAGTTGTTGAGTTTGTATGCATTGACAGTACTACCCGACAGATGTGACAGCCAATGTTAGGCTCGAACACACTTCACCTTCATATTCTACAGTACAAAAAGTAAAAGATGATGTTAGCACAGATCTGATATGTAAGGATGGCCAGCCTGGAGTCGCGGCTGAAAGCTTCCTGATTAGGCATGCGAGGCACGACTTGCACATGTTAAGTTCTCATTTACAAATTTCCGAGCTTTAACCACTCATTGCTACACTTTGGTCTCCAAAGAACAAGGTAAGACCTCTACTCTCTACCCGCCACACTAAAAGACTTAGCTAAACATGCCTGGTAGACCGTAATCTTGTACTAAGTAGTATCCATATGCAGTTGTTCTCCAGAGAACACTGATATTATACATTTATGCGATACACACAGCCTCAAAAAGGTACACCCTCTCACTTGCTTGCAACGTTGAGGACTGTGAACTAAGCCTAAAAGCTGAACGAGGATCAATCCGTAGTTCTCGGCTATCGACTACCCCGCTTCGGTCACTGATGCTGTCCTGGGCGTCTCTTCTGATGTCTTATAGCTACAGCGCTAGCTTGGCAAGCGTTTTCCCTCCGTTTCTTGTTCTCGTATAACGTCCCCTTCAACCTCTTCAACCTCATATACCCCAATAAAAAGTGATGTCTTTACAACACTTATCACTCACAGACGAATCACACCGTATCGTTCACGATGCTTGTCCAGTGGCCAGTAACGGCTGGAAGATGCCCAGGCGGACGCCTGTGCCGATGTAAGTTCGGGGTTCTTCAGTGATAGGACATCACGGTACCCTGACTGGCGTTTGTGTCTTTGTGTAGGTATCGCCATGCTATGCCATCGGGCCCTTGGCCGTGGATTAATTTTGATGTAGATCTCAAGCCTGGTCAACCGTCGAAAGAGATAGTTCCTTTCGACAAGTCGTGGAAAGGCTATCCACAGAGCATTTTCCCCAATTGGACTCCAGAGCAAGTGGCGCGCAGCGAGATGTTGATTCGGTGTCTTCACTCTGGTTGCTGTTCAATATATAGCGTCGATGTCAAAGACGACGGCTCTTTTGTCGTTGGGGAGACAGAGAATTTCAAGATATGGAGTACCAACGAAGAAGAGATTTGGAGTTCATTCCAAGCTGATGCAAGCGTTAATCTTAACATCTGATACTTTTTTTTTACCAAGCCAAATCTCCTTTTAACAGCGTCCAGAAGGCATTCGTGTTCGAGCATTGTTTGTGGATAAAATGACGGTCCCCATTCTCAAAATGTTGGGCAAAAAGTATGTATTGTCTGTGATCCTTCAAGTGGGCACAATACATCTGACTTCGAGTAGATATACTATCGAACCTTTCTTTTTCTCTTCTTCTACAAACTGGATACCATCGCGGTATCAAGAAGAAGTGAAACCAGGAGAAGGAGACCGTATGTTACTGTTCACCATAGTCGTCAGGTTACACTCACAGATAGCTTAGATATCACGATTACTTTACCCTTCATACGTGCCGTGCAATGTCCCCCTCCCCAGTCGGCAACTGTGCCCTCAACAACTGGCATGTACCCAAGGCATTCCCCTGATGCATCACAGCATGGTAGTATAGGTTCGTAAACCAAATACGTGTTTCTGTCGCCCCAGTCTTGATAGATTGTCCTTCCTCTCAGATTCACACGAAATTATAGATACCCAGTCTCCACTTTTTCTTCGTTCTTGTAAGTCGTTTTTGCTACAGACATTCTGTTGACACTGATTAACGCCTAAGTTAGCTCGACATATCCTCATGCTCGACCTTCTTTCCCTACACATGGTTCGCTCCACAACATCAAGTACCATCATATCGTACCATCCGGATTCTGACTCCCATAGGACTGGTGCTGAGCAAATGGAAGTCCTGTTATATTCAATTGGTAAGAGTGTTTACTGGCAAAATGTACTCAGCAAAACCAGCGACCCCACCTTTGTCCTATTGTCTATATTGTGGTACGCATTATACGCGTGGGACGAATCATTTGAGATTCTTTACGCCCACATCAATATTCTGGTATGTGTCTTCTAGTATCTTTGAACAATTCGAGAGCTTAGCTACTTCTCTCAGGAATCATCCGTCATTACCACCAACGAAATGCGTCTGACACGCGAGTTGCACATTATACAAGCTCATCTCTTGTTCTACGCGACTTTGCTACAAGATTTCACCAAGTCGGTTATATTTGTGTTAGAGACTCCCCATCCAGCGACGGAGACTCTTCCACATGATGAAAAACAACGGCACGAGCGGCAAGCATCAAAGGACCTCCTCAAGAAAGAATGCAGAAATCTGCTATCTGCGATTGAAAGGTTAGAAGGTATCAGAGATATACATAGCAAACGTTTGCAAAATGTCATGAATCTCGTAAGTTCCTTCCCACATGGTGCTGGGCTTTCTTACTCACGAAAAAAATCTCCTATTATTTACAAATATCTTAATCATTATAGGCATTCGCCACTGTAAATATCGATGACAGTAAACAAATGAAAGAATTAACAAAAGCCACCTTGCGAGATTCCACTGCCATGAAGCAGGAAAGTCCACCAATAAACGCAGATAGATTCGCTTGGCTGATCTCGAATATAGATATCTTACCTCACGATGATATTCCTGCCTGCCAACTTTACAGCCGTATGTTATCTTTGCCCGCAACTATTATCACATTCTTCTGAATTGATGGCATGGTTCAGACAGTATTTGGTATGAATGTAAAAGAGATCAATCCTCAGTCGTACGGATCTTTGGCTCACTACGCTATAACGACGGTGCTATTGACACTTGCTACCATCTGGATTGTCGTGACATTTCAAAGGACCAGTCATTTCCACGGATCTGATCCTGATGTGGGTTTCTGGATCCGACTTTGCTGGCCAGTTCGGTTTATACAGCGGAATTGGGTGGAAAGCAAGCAAAAATGGGCCTACCGGCAAGACCAAAAGCAAGATGTAGAGAAAGGATCTATCCCCGACGAATAAGCTATGTACTTTAATTTATCCGTACTACACTACCTGCATTTTTTCAAACTCACGAATTACAACTGGAACTTCGTACCCTTCCCACTGTTACAATAGCTGACTTATTTATGGTTAACGCTATCATGTGTCTTTATCGCTAATAATTGTAATGTAACAGATTCAAATTCGTACTCTGGCGTACTTACGGGAGTCGTTTTAAGACGTTTGTTGAAGAATATTCTCTCCCCGCCGACAAGGGAACACTACCAAGGAATGAAAGCCATTTATACGCACGCTATCAGTTACCATGGTGGCAAACAGGCTACTCGGATCCCTGCTATACGCAAAGAGAGTGTGGGCGCCTATACCTATATAAAATTGCTATGCTTGCTGCTCTCGAGGGAAAACGAGATTGCAGTGGACTTATGATAGATGTCATAAGTCATAAATTAATGCAGTATCATCTTGGTATCATAATCGAAATATGCCCCCTGGGGCGGCCTCGCCCTCCAGGTTTCAGGGATATCCTATTTGCTTGCTGTCGCTTTGGCGGAAGTCGGTTACTCGGACGGGACATGATCTCGACTCTGCGCATTCACAAATATCGAGGTTCAAACGATGCATGCAGTGAGCCATGGTTCAGACGTTGGATGGGCGACCAAGGGCTGAGTTGGATGGAGATGCGATAATGCCTTACGTGCGGCCAACAGTGGATGGTGCAGTATAACTAGATGTGAGCCCAAGAAAGTGCATGACAAGAAAATCCAACTCGACCCCACGTTTTTGCCAACAATTTTGACTCTCGCTGCAGATATAAGCAAATTGTTAAGTTTATAGCCTGTAGTATCTGTAGATGAGTATCTAAAATAGTCACAAAGCCGACTCTGAAAGTACAAAATGGTGAAAAGCCCAATAATGAACTGATAAATTGTCCGGTAAATGAATTTCTACGACGCACTTAATTTATGCAGCAATGGCACCGTTCCCTGTAATCCAAAAACATGAAAAGACGGAAACTATAACAAATAGAAACTGAAAAGATGATTGTAAGGTCTGCGCCCACGAAGATCCAGAAATACATAAAAATAAAAGATACTCAGTCTCGTTCTAAGTTATCGTCCACAGCATGAACTTATACCAGCGCTTCGTTTGCTATCTTGCGAGAGTCCTAAACGGACCGTCTCCGCGTCTGTATCATTCGGACTCCGAAAGAGCAGCGTCCTTGCTTCTATTGTTTCTTCGTATTCCCACCTGAGAACCACCCGACGAGCAATGTATTCGAAAACATTGCCCACACCTTCCCCCGTCTTGGCTGACGTTAAAAAGAGTCGTGGCCGCCGTTCTGGCCGAGAAACAGGCAAATGAGCCATTGAAACCGCTTGACCTCGATTGAATAAACTCGGAGTGATAGTGACGGCAGAGGACGATGTACTCGAAACTGACGGGATACGGCGTGGGGTACGGGTAGGCGATGTCGGTCTCGAGGAACGGGCGGAGGAAGGGATTGGAGAAGAGCGAGCTGACTCGTAGGCGTCGAAGAGAGAGGAGGATGGCGTGTGGAAAGTTGTGAAGCCAGTATGCGTACTGGTCATAGTACCGTTGTTAAGTTGGTTACTACTACGGGAGCGGGATTTAGATAGGCGTTTGTAGTGGTGGGATATGTCGATAGACCGTGTGCGAGGTGTTAGTAAGGGGAGATCTATGTCTCCATTATTATGAGACATCGTTATACTGGGAAACATAGATAATTCTTGTACGTGAGGAATGGCGATTTCGCACGGAGGAGATGGAGGTGGAGTTGAAGGAGGGACTAGTTCGTTGATGAATTGTAAAGCTTCTGATTCTGAAACTGGAGGGACGCGAGCGTATGGGTCAACCACATCAATCTTGTTTCCAACGACGACGCAACAATAGTCTTCTAATTCATCGTCTGACAAAGGCGCTTTCTCGCGGAATTGCGACCACCATCTGGTGAGGGCTGTGAGCGTTTCAGGTTTGTTGACGTCGAACATCAGCAGAGCAGCGTCTGCGCCTCTAAAAAATGCCGCAGATAAACTGGAGAAACGCTCCTGACCGGCGGTGTCCTGTGTGATGTTATGATAAAGTCGTACGACACCGTCGAGCTCAGAAAAAACAAGTCAAAAGCAAGGAGGGGAACTGACCCATATTTGTAGTGTTACGGACTGGTCTGGCTTGGTTGGATGAGGAAGTGTCTTGGAAATAAAATCAGCACCTATGGTAGCTCGATAGCCTGTTGAGAAACGCCCTGATATATACTATTAATAATAAAGAATGAGTACAGACAAGACTAAGCTCAGAGTCAACAATGAGGTTACCTGAGTGCGCAGACTAGTCTTGCCTACACCGGAAGCACCGATAACGACGAGCTTGACCGTTGGCATGATGGCTGTCGTCGTACAAGGTCTTCATGAGCAATCATGCAATCGCGGGTACCGGAATCAAAAACGAGCCTGTCCCACTGCGAGAGAGCCAAACACGACCACACCAAGGCGTACAACCGCGACGCGAGCAAAACAGGTTACAGTCCGACTGCAATCTATCCGATGGACGAGACAACGCCCCCTCCTCCTCCAAACGAGGCCTCGCCACCACCACCACCGCCTATCACAACCTCGGGATCTCCAACTGATTTCTTGAAGGGCGTAGTAGGGAAAAGGGTCATCGTTCGTCTCACATCGGGAGTGGATTACCGCGGTAAGTCGTACTTTCCGTCTGAATCCATCGTACCGGACTGAATGGGCACAATGCAGGTGTGCTTTCATGTCTTGATGGATACATGAATATTGCCTTAGAGCAGACTGAAGAACACGTGAATGGCACTCTCACTAATCGCTACGGCGATGCTTTTGTTCGGGGAAATAATGGTCTGTCTTTATTTTTGCATCCGGCCGTGGTGCCTTGTCCTGACGCTCGCTTTCCCAGTACTGTACATCTCCGCCGCAGAAGCTCTGTAACTTTGTATCTCGATGCTCACTGCATCCGTGTGGTGTATCTATAATATTTCTTCCATGTGCTAACGAAAATCAAATGGTGCTCTGATACCTTCTTTCACCTTACAACTTAAACAGCGATCAGCGGGTTGTCAAGTTGGCAGGTAAGATTGCCTACGTCTGCAGTCAAATTGATTGTTACGTTCAGTGGTCATTACAGTGAAACATCCTCGTGTCATCGTTCCAGATGCATCCTTTTACCTTTTTGCACTGTTCAACGAATCTATGCCACGATATGCTTCTGAATCACATCTACGCGCGAGTCAAACGTCTGATAATAATATGGATCACGTTAAGCCTGACATGTCTCTATTGGTAAGGTCAGCACCAAAGGTTCTGTCTTGCCACTCATACATGTCAATATTCTTATCATTTCCAGTAAGGTGACGATAACGTCTCACTTCTCGCATCAGAAAAGAAAACATTCGATTACAGTAGTCATTTCCATTTACTACACAATATTAATCTAATCCTCGTTAAGCCTATCACCGATTGAGCCTCTTAATTGAGGTCCTCCAACAACGCTTCAATTGCGTCTGGGAACGAGTCCATAAGGGAGAGTTTGGCCGTCTCTGTAGGTTCCCACCCAAGTCGTGCGAGTCGCTGTGGTTTAGCGAACTGATTGCCACCCAACAGCGACCAACCGTCTATGAAGAAGAAAATTTACGATCAACCATAAATTCTAACTGGAAATTCTTTCAAAGGACTTACAGTGGCCCAGAGGCTCGACAACCTCTGCTGGCATGGGACGAGTACCACCTTGCTTCAAGATTCCTTTGTTGAATAAGTACTGGTCATAGTGGGGATATAGTCAGTAAAATCGATAAAGATGACACCGTTCGATCGCCTCACGTCTCCCATCTTTTCGGTCCAGTCGTGGTATGAGATCTTTGGTTGCATGCTTCCACAGAAGTCTGGAGATTGATTGATGCGATCAGCCGGACGCAAACACTTAAGGCCAGGGAAACGTACAGATACCGTCTTTACCCTCCTCAGCCTTGCCCTCGAGTGCAGATTTGAATAGGAGGAGTAAAGCCGAAGCCACATCTATAACGTGAACATTGTTCATCGAATTTGCTCCAGGACCCCAGGTTCCCATGTAACCGAGCTTCTTGGTCATATCAAAGAAGATACGCAACCATAAGGTGTTTCTCTGGACACCTGCAAGGTGTCACATAAGCGTTATTCAATCCTTAGGTGAGAGTCATCATACCTCGTCCAACGCCATAGATCTAAATACCAAACGTCAACAACGTTAGAACTTCTTCTACAATATATTATAGACATATTCACGAACCTGGCCAGGGTAGAGGATAATCGTGCGAACGGGATTTTCCTTACGCGTACCCGCTTCGACGATCTGCGTATCGTTATTTTAGCGGAAGTTACGTGAATTAACGAAAATGCCATGCAGCGACGACGCACAGGAATATCAGACTCTAAATGCGTATTCGTAGATGGGCAACTATCGATGTGCTCGCCGTCAATTCGCTATCTCGAAATCCAGACAACGCCGGTACTCACTCTTTCAGATCCAATCCGATGTCAGACCATTCTTTAACGTTTTCGACGGGTTCTCCACGAGCGTCGTCACTGATGATGCCGCAGCCCGATACGTGAATGTACAAAGGAGGCTTCCCAGGTTTACTTGCGGATCCTTTCTCCAGTCCCGCGAGTGTTGCTATGGAATGGCGAGATAAGCGGTGGAAACGATAGTCAAAGGTTCCGAGACTCACATTTTACGCTGGGGAGATGATCAGAACTTGCGCTATTGATGATAATGTCGGCTTTCGCGACTTGTTCCTGGATAACGGCATCATCGTCGAGCGAGCCTTCGACGACCGATAAGTTCGGATAAATCTCCTTCAAGCGAGGGACGCGAGAGAGAGAAGAGGATCGGACGAGGGCGACGACGTGGTATTGAGGAAAGTCGCGATTGAGGAGGATCAAGAACTCAGAACCAAGGTAGCCTGTAGCACCAAGGAAGAAGATAGTAGGAGTGGACATGTTGAAATTGAAATCGGAATATGAGAGTATGCTGGTTGAGAGTAGTGGGTGGTTTTTCGAGTTTGAAGTGGTGATATGTTGTGTGCGATATAAGTATACCAGTGCTACGGGTGCGTAATGCAAATGAGGTTTTATCGGCCCTGTTATGACTGACAAAGTGACAAAGTCCTGTGATCGCACGGATAGTAGGGCGCAATATATCGCTCCCACAGGAAAAGGTGCAGACTAATGAGGAGGCTAATAAATGGTGAAGAGGAGTGAAATGAAGGGCTAGACGATTGTAAATGAAGGAAATGGGGTGCGTTTTGGATAGCGGGTTATTCCGTAGTGGCACGAACTTTACCATTCATATGTTAGCCCTGGGAAGCGGTATGAGTGTGTACGATATCGAGTATCAGCTAAGTTGGAGGCACTTGAAAGTTCGGAGGCGTTGACGCTGATCTCTGACCACAAGAAGTACGGTGGGGAGTACTTAGATCGTAGTGCTTGTGATGATATGATGGAGCCTGTGTGAGTCACAGCATGTAGATGAAGCATGTAGTACGGTCTGGTATTTTTGGTTAACGTTTGCTAGAGCAAGATTGAGTCCTGTTCTAGCGAGGCACGGAAGCAAATCGCAGATCGGCGATCGAGTGTCGATCTCATACCACGTGACTCGCTACGTTTGCTGTCCCCGAAATTGGCGTACATTGTTGCTGTAAGTGCTGTAAAGGGGGACTCCAATAGAACCCCTCCTTGTCTCACTTCCTCGCCTCCTGTGCACTTGCCGATTCAGTCGGCCCTTTCCGTCCACTTCCTACCCTGCCACAAAAAATATTATAGTACCTGCTCAAACGAGCAATAATCCTCAACATATGCAACCTCCCCGTCTCGTGTGAACCCACACACAACTATTGAGTCGCCGGTAGCCTTTAAGATGGCCAGAACTCGCTTTTGCTCTCGTTGGCATCCCCGTACTCGCTCATTTCACACACTGAAGCTAGCATTCAACTGGCTGTCCTCTCGCTTCCCAATTGTAACTAGCAACTAACTGTCGACTATGGGTATATACGACTCCACCATTGGTCAGTTTCTTTCCTCTTATCTCCATACACTCTCTAAGCTCTCATATTTCCCCACAGGTACCTTGCTAGTTGGGATATTCTGTACGTCTTTACCGTCATTGACGCTTTTTCTCTGCTAATTGCCACATCTCCATGCAGTCAATACGTATCTCTATGGCTTGGTCACGTACCAATTTGCTGCCTATCACAGAATAAGTATGTTTTCGCGTGGCTAATATACTTTCATTTGCTGATCTCCGCGCGTATGTCAGAGTTCAATGATCATCCAGCAATAAAGTAGGCACATCCTTCGCTTTGATAATTTTAGCACTAACTTGCCGCCGGTAGGTACATGGTGTTGGTGTTGTTCATCCTCGACACCGTCCACAGCATTTCGTACGTCTGTCAGTATTTATTATGCACCCCTCTATGTTGATCATCATCACGTTAGTGCCATTTACATGGCTTGGGTATATTGGTATGGTATTCTTTGTATTGCCTATGATATTCATCTCAGCGCCTCGCAGCGTGACAAACTACAATAATCCTACTGCTATAACGTGTAAATCCTTCTTGCTCTGGGCTACAACGTTTCCATATTTATTAACGTCTTATTTCAGCCGCACTTTGGCCATACACTTTTACTCCAATCGCGACGGCCTTGGCAGCTTTGTTGACGCAGGTTTTCCTAGGTTATCGGTGAGTAATGGAAGCGTGAGGGAGTCGACAACTTAACCTAGATTATGGTCCCCAGTATCTATCGTCTGAGCAACAGTCGAGTCCTGTTTGGTGTTATCCTTGTGCTTGCCGTGCCGACCTTTGCCCTCGGAATGGCTTGCGGTATCAGAGCATGGATAATCAAAGTGTAGGTCCAAGTATGGGGTAGAGACCACCGTGCGCACCAAGTTCACACTATTTTACCTAGGTTGGTCGAACTCTCTGCCTTGGATAGCCTCGTTACAGGCTGGTTGGCGATGCAAGTCAGCCTTGACCTATTCATCACCGGTACGAGGACTGCCTTTTCTTCCTGCTCTTCGATTGATGGATGCTGATCGTTGTTATGTCTCATCGTAGTTACGCTTACGATCATCCTTACTCGGTCACGAACTGGCTTCCACAAGACAGATACCGTACTGAATCGTTTGATCCGTGGTGCCATCCAAACTGGTCTCTTCGCGGGTATCTTCTCCCTGGGTGATCTCATCACATTTCTCCGTTACCCAACGACCAACTTGTATGGCATGTTTGCTATCCCCATCGGTCGCATATATACCAACGTAAGCTGCCAAGTAACGCGTCAACCGTGGGTTTCGTCGCTGACAAAGTTGCTTGTCTTGCTAAATTCAGACACTCCTTGATACTCTTCTTGCACGCCAGGACCTGAGGCAGCAAATGGCTGGAACTCGTGATATGGATTCAGACGTACGAACCAGTCTTATGTACACCCCCCCTATCACATGCTCATAATATTGACAGACTAATAACGGTGCCTCATGGCAATCATCATCACAAAGGAGTAAAAACATCCAGCTTAAAGAGGTAGAGGTACGCAAAGACGTACAAGTATTCAACGATGCCGCTTCTTATGAAGCGGATCTCAAGGTTCCATCATCGATGGCCATATAGAGAAAAAATAGAACTAGTTCCATCCGTTCGTTTCCATTCAGGTATTGCTGGTACATAGACGAATATAGAACCTTATATTTTTTGCCATCAACTTGCTGGATGGGTTTAAGGACACTGTCCTCGAGGTGACCCTTGCAATATCCTCCTGATGCCCTCTGATCGTTCTTTTGTTTGCAGCCTTCTGACCATGTCTGTCAGTATATGTTTTTTTTTTTTTGAAGTGAAAGAGTACAATATCGACCTACTATATCATTGCTCGTGTCGTATAGATGCGACAAAACCTTATTTGCGAAGATGAGCCCAGCTATGTAGTGATAGTTAGCATCAATGGGATGTTACTGTAACAAGCTGCGTTTGGCCGCTTTTAACCACTCCTGTTCACTTGGCATATAATAGTGCTCACCTGTCTCCTCTGTGAATGTCATGTCGTGCCCGCCTTAACCTCTTGAATCTGCTATCCATCATACTGTTGACCTGCAAATCCTCGAATCATGTGGCGACAGTACAGATATGACTCAAGTGTAATTAGATATTACATTTAGAGAATAAAGGCCTGCGTAAACTGTGCATGTTCTATACGAGGTCGTACAAAGGACGCTCGATAAATAAGATATAATGCCACCTTTGAGGACAATGACCTTTACCCAGTTTAAAAGAGGAGAGTTTACTCCTAGGTTCTCCCCATTATACCAGTCAATAGCCATGGTACATGCCATAATCAGAACTATCCTCCATATCAATGCGGGTCCGTTTCACATTGGCAAGTTCTAACTGAGTCGGTTCCCCCTTTATAAATTCCACTTTTCTCTTCCGTTTTCCTTGGATTGAAGATTGAGAAGGTGCTTGGTAAAGCTGTTCCACGGAGATGGGTTCTGAGGAGCTAGGTTGAGTGATTGTAGCACCATCCCGTGCAACAAGTAAGGCGGCCACTTCCTCGTAGCCCAAACGTACTGCACACTGAAGCGGCGAGTCTCCATTGTCGTTTTGCAAGTTCATATCGATGTCACGTCTGGAGAGTAGCTGTTCTACAAGAGATTTGCATCCGTGCTTTGCTGCTATTAAAAGAAGGGTTTCCCCGAGCTTGTTTTTCCAGTTCACGTCAACATCACTCCTTGCAAGCAGCGAGTTTAATATCACACCCTTCCGTAAATCCGACCCAGAATCTTTGTCACTTTCAAGGTCATTTCCGGGTGATGGAAGGGGGTGGGGACACATCGTTATCGTTGCCGCCTTGCTGCCCCTCCTCCTGGCTCCTCTTTTCCTGTGATAGGTGAATCATTATCAATAGGATCACTGATATCGACTCACCTCTGCCTGTTGTTGTTATCGGTGTTATTTGCATTGGGGGCATGATAAATGGAAGAACTAAAACCCAGATTCTCGTTCACTTTCACAAAAGCACGATATGCTGCAGCCCACAATGGCGGTATACTCAGGCCACTCTCCACTGGGATAATGTTCACGTCAACTGTATCGTAAGCCAACAGAAGCTCCACCGTCTTTTCATCACAATTCCAGGCCGCTAGCCATAGGGGTGTAAAACCACACGGATCCTTCCAATTCACGTTGAAGTTTATTGAAGCTTTTATGACAAGCAACCGGGCCAATTCCTTGCGGTAAGACGCGTGGAACGAGAAAGCCAGTGACATGCATATCTCGTGGAGTGGCATCTGGACTATGCTTGCTTTCCCTTGATTAGCTGTAAGGATGAATGGTGTGGAATCGCAATCTTTGTGCGAGAAAATGTCTACTTCGGGCCTCGCTAATAGTAATTCAATAACTTCGGTCTTGCCTTGGACCACTGCAGGTGAAAGTGGCGTCCAACCTTCTTCGTACTGCGAGTCGACATCCACACCATCATTGGCTAACGGCAGACTAACAATCTCCACTCGCCCATCCTGAATGGCATACCAGAACGGTGTCCGGCCGTTACGGTCCTTTGAGCCCACATTCACTTCATCCCTCGCCAACAACAGCTTGACAATTTCCACATGACCTTGGGAAGCTGCTTGCGAGAGCGATGTCAAAGCATTATTGTCCTTTGAATCCGCGTCTACTTCATCCCTTGCCAACAACAGCTTCACAATGTCCACATGCCCCTGGTAAGCTGCTCGCATGAGCGGCGTCCAACCGTGGTCGTCCTTCGAGTCCACATCTATTCTGTTCCTTGCCAACAGCAGCTTGACGATGTCCACACGCCCCCGGTAAGCTGCTTGCGAGAGCGGCGTCTGATTATTAGTGTCCTTTGAGTCCGCATCCACATCATCCCTCTCCAACAGCAGCTTGACAATCTCCACATGACCTTGGAAAGCTGCTTGCGAGAGCGGTGTATCACGATTATTATCCTTTGGGTTGACACATACCTCACGCACTGCCAATAGCACTCGAACTACCTCTATTCTCCCATAATACGCTGCAGCACCAAGTGGTGTGTCATCGCGAAGATCGTTCCTCGAATTGATGTCATGACCTCGATCAAGTAGTAACTTCACCACAGAGGCATACCCTTCTTCTGCAGCAATGAACAATGGTGTTCTATTCTGGCTGTCTCTTCGATCGACAGCAGCGTCGTTCCCTAGCAAGTAATCGATAGTCTGTTCAAGACCGAAGTAGGCACACAAATGCAATGCTGAACCCCCCTTGAAGTAGCGAGAGTGTATGAGTTTCAGGGCATTCTCAACGTTCGCCTCACAACTTAAGAATTCGCGGATCACCATCGGGATTGTCTTCTCAATACTCCGTGCGTGGCGGCCCCAATTTTGTCGTGCATAAAAGATGAAGCCTTGGCCGCGGTAAAGGTCAATAAGACGTACATCTTTCGGTGGAAACACAGAGAGAGCGTCTAGGCATATATTGGTGATTTGCGCTTGGGGGTCTGGGAAAGCCCAATCTCCACGTTTTACTAGATATTCCTGCGCAGAGTAATCTAATGAAAACAGATTTAAGTAATAGCACTTGGACCATGCATCAAGTAACTTACGGACCAAACGGCATACATCTGTGTTTTCATCAGCAATAAGTATGCCAGCACAGGCTTCCATTATCGTCTCTTTATCCACCAGGTCATCAGCATTGATCTCACGCAGACCAGTTGAAAAGGCTAGGGCTTCCTGAAGCTCCGTGAAAAACAGCGGTCGAGAGGCAAAAACAATCAACGTGATGGCTTTCTTAGCTAGTTCTCCATATCGGCCTTCATATATCCGTTTCATAGTTTTGTCATAAGCACCTCCCACCTCCTTGGGGAGATTTTCAAGAGCGAGTCGAATATCATTACGAGTGACTTGGTGTGCTAGTAGGTCCACGTGCATACGAGATAGCAGAAACCTTCATTGGCATGTTAAGATCTGGTGTCTGTAAGAATAAATATAACTCTATGGAGCACTCACATGCCTTGAGCCTCTCTTATCAGACGCTCAATGGCTTCTTCTCTCAAAGCGTCACCCAACAGCCTGTCCAATTGTGTCCGCAAGCGAATACGGTTTGTGATATAGTTGCGTACATCGTCTTCATGCGCACAAATATCTATGCGAAGAGCTTCGTGAAGGACTACCTTGATCGATGATATGTCACGAGAAGTCACTAACAAACTACCTTCCAGGGATTGCAGACAATGCAGCATCTCAGAACGAGTATCGTCATCCTCGGAAATCTCATCTAAAGCGTCCACAATGATGAAGACCTGGGAGTATTGTTTAATTTCGTTTATTAATGCGTCGCGAATCTCGGATAGAGTTGGACGGAAGTCTTGTTCTCGATGACGTTTGAATTCTTCGCTGATGCGCCCAAACGCAAGGGGGAAATCTTGTACAAGCTGTTTCAGAAGACTTGCAACGAGATTACAGGCGGTCTGCCCCGAATGTTCCTTATAGTTGCAATAAATGTAAACCACAGTAGCATCGTTATCTCTGTTCTTCTCGAGATGATTAATGATGTATGACCTAGTAAAAACGTACGTGATGACCGCTCAAGATGGATTTAATTGATTTGCTGCTAGACTTACGCAAGAACAGTCTTCCCAGCACCAGCTAGATGACTCGGCATATTGGCATGTAGATCGTGATTGTGATAGTGCACTTACGAATCCCAGGACACCAAAGGGTTTTCAGATCACCTCTTAGCCACTGTTTAAATGTCTCATTCTCCAGCACCCATCCTCCCGTTCCCTCTCGCCAAATCCCACGAACTTCACTCTGCGTTTGGCGAAAATTCAGAGGGGATAGCCAGTTTTCAAAGTCCTGGCGTTCTTTCAAGGCAGCTGAGATATCTACTGTACTGTATTAGACTACATTCGGGCAGAAGAGGATATGTCAGACCGTAGTTGTTGATGGTGGTGTGAATGGTTTGAGGGCCATGAGCTTCGTTGTTGATTTGAGGACCATGGACTTCGTTGAATCTACCAAAGCGAGCGTCGACAGAATGAGATTGTGCCACCATGCCCCCGACATTAACATCGCCAACATGCGAGGGCGAGGCCCCCGGAACACTCATGTCACAGTCGAGGTCGACTCTAAAAAAACTGGAACTTGAGCTCGACACCTCTGCGATGGGGCACATATACTTTAGTTTATCATATGGCGCGCACGGATGATAAGAGGCAACGTGGTTACAGGTTGCGCAACCTCAATTTATCCATGACTTCACGCCAAAACCAAATTTGTAAGACCACAATGATGACCGACAGTTACGGATATCGATGATGGCGATGACTTGGACGCCCGTGGCGTGGATTTCGACAAGTTTCTTATCAGGAATGTCTGTCAGTATCTTTGATTTGCATCTGATAAGTTGCAGAACTGATGTTCATGATGAATGGGTCTTGGAATGGTGCAAGCGCAGCATCGTCGTCATGTGAACATATATTCACCGGTATCTCAAGGTACGACGTGGTTTGGTACTTATATGTACTCAGCTGGAGGAACATTCCCAGCCTCCCACAGGGCGAACCTCCGAAAGTCAATCGCTGCCGACTATCAGCAAAATCCAAGTGCGTACTACGGCCCACAGTCTGATACCTTTTCAGTAAGGTAAATAAAATCACTAACAATAAATGACTCCGCTCCCAATATTATCCATTGTTGCTACACCTCTTCGCTTCCACTCGCCCTTCAATCGTGCTGTATATCTGATTACATTTCAGTCTGAGGAGCAAGGGATATGCTTTTTGGTTAGCCCTTGTCTCGCAGCCAAGCTCAAGGTATGTATGAGAACTGCAATTATTCTCTGTATCGTTATACAGCCTAACGTCTGCATCCAATAAATACCATCATCCGTTGAAGCTTTACTAAAGCAAAGGATAATTGAAAACCGTACACGCGGGGAATCACACTGTCGGTATATCATGAGGCCGCTTTTCTCGCCATCTTGGTCCAAAATGTTAATACTGTCAAGCAAACAATACCATTCTCGAATTCCAGATATAAATAGTGCCTTTCCAAAATCGTCAGGACCAGCTGGCCTACCGATAAAAGCCTGTCTGGCTTCGATTTCAAGGCATAACGAAGTTTTCCCATCCCCTCATATACGCGAGGCCAACTACAGCAATAGTTCAATATAACGATATAAAGTGCAATGCCTGTACCAAGCACATCACTTCCTGAGTGTGCACGCTATATCCCTCCACCTACCACTCAAGAGAATTGTACGTCTTTGCCGTCATCTAAAGGATACTTTGTCGATGACCTCTAGGATGTACTTTTCCCAGTGGACTTTGCGGATCTTGCTATCATTGATTTAGCCAAGGCTCAGACTCCAGAAGGTCGTGCAGAGCTTTATCCTGAAGTGCGCGATGCCTTACGCTCGAATGGATTCGTGTACGCTATCAACCACGGATACACGCAAGCTCAGGTAACTCACCATCTCTCCAGCTTTCTTTCCACCAATCTCAACTGCGCGCTGTACCACTTCTATACATAGCGTGACCGAATCTTCGATATAGCCGATGTGCCTTTCACAGTTGTGCCCCCAGATGAGATGAAGACGTACACGGCGAATATCGCAAAGGTGGGATACTATCAAGGTTACAAGGCTCGTCGGTATTGGGTAATGCTACCATATCATTTTGCCTGAATTTCGAAAAGTTTAAACGAAAGACTTACCATGACAGCGTGTTGATACTGAGAATCAAGTTCTCGACCAGATCGAACACTATGGAAGTAAGTTTCCGGCACATCTACCTGTAAGGCTCGGTAAGCGTTAACATGGTGCATTTTGTAGTCAATAGAAACGTGTACAAGCGTCCTCATCCACAAGCTTTACGCCCCTTGATGCCTGAAATCGATGCCTTTGCTAGACACAACCATACCAATGTTCTTCAACCAATCCTAAAGTGAGTCACGGATAACTATTAAAAAAGTGCCTGTTCACGCTTCATGACAGGCTGCTGGCGCTCAGCCTTGAGCTCCCAGAAGATACTCTGGTGGAGAAACACAAGTTTGATGTAGCTGGGGAGACAGCAGGTCAGTGCTTGTCGAGTTATATGCGGACAGCGATATAATCATCCACCATGAGCAGTACGTTTCATGAAATAGTGATTTTCCCCCTACACGTTGTAACCACGGATTCCACTGACACATCACCAGCTACAAACGGTCTGAGGAAGAAGAGAAGCTGTCGAAGAATGTGTGGTTGAAGGGACACACCGGTTAGTATCATCCTACAGTGACACTGGCAGGGAAAGTCTCATTGATAATTTTGCTAAATGTAGACGTCGGTAGCGTCACCATCTTGTGGAGTCAGCCTGTGGGTGGTCTACAGATCCTGTCAAAGGATGGAAAGTGGAAGTGGGTAAGGCACATAGACAACGCACTGGTAAGGCATCTCCGTCTAAATTGGTTTTCTTCATCATTCCAAATGACACGATGCTCAAGGTGATCAATACTGGCGACGCTATGGAGTTTTTTTCCGGTGGATATTACAAACCTACCATCCATCGTGTGGTACGACCTCCTGGAGATCAGCTCGCTTACGATCGTCTTGGAGTATTCTACTTTTCGATGCCCGATGATGATGTTAGGCTCATTCCTCTCGTTGAGAGCCCTGTATTACAGCGTGTAGGTGTGGAGCGTCGATGTGCAGACGAAGATGCGCCTTTGTACGAGCAATGGAGGAAGGATAGAACTACTTCCTATGGACGTACAGAATTGAAGAAAGGCACAGAGAAAGGTGTGGAAGAGCAGATTGTTCGTGGTATCGTCGTCAAGCATTATAACTAGTATTTTCGCTTTCAGGTTCTCGTCAATTATTGCGTACAAGTGTTTGGTTTATTTTTTATTTTTTGTCTTTGAAGATATACGGTTTATCTGCTTCATCCAAATGCATTCCAGACTGCGAGGAGATCCTCTCCAGACCTCATCTCATACCTAACTTACAGACTATCGTGTCTGCCTGTGCTCTGCACTAGCAAATGGGATGCGAGATACTTGGGTATGTGAAGATATCGATAGGGTCCCATCTTGGGGAGATCCATCCAACCGAAAATGTAGCCTTCTTTTAGTCTTATCCACAGTAAGGCCTCGTAGCAGGGAGGCCCCCTTCGGTCAAATCCGTGTTGGCGGCATCACTCGGCAGGACATTGCTTCACTGTTAACCCCATAGTAAGACTTAGCACCATATAGAATTCATCACCCAGCAAATAAATAAATCTATCTTCTGTCATAATCTGGTAGACCGTCCAGCTATGGATTTGACCAGGCTCACTCTCAAATGCCAAGTTTAAATCAGTGTCCCATAGTTGTCCACCGGTCCTCCAAAATCACAGGTTGAGAGCTAGGCTAGAATGTTAGCAGGAATATCCCAGTTGATAGTTGTACCTACGGAAGTCCAGGATGCTACTCACTGATTGAGGTGGTATGCTGGGTGTTCTTAGAGGCTTTGGTCAACATATTTGTATCTTGAGGGTTGGCTGGATAAAACTGAATAGATGATTATTTGCATCTTATCATTCTAGTTGCTATTATATTAATTTATTTCAATCTTCTGAACACCATATGGGGAATTAACAGGTAAAATAGCCATCAAAATGACAGTTACAGACACCAAAGGGAGGCTCCCTGCATTCCACCCTTATTGTGGAGCAGACCTTATACAAGGTACTATATCAACTATATACATGTATTAGGTCTGCTATTGGAGACTAGCCTTCTTTAGTCCATGTATACCCAATCACTGTTGGAGAACAATTCTATGTCTATCAATGCTCTGTTCCCTTGATAATTAATATTGATCTTGATCTGATCTGTGTGTTTGATTGTAGGCAATGTTGGTTGAGAACTAAAGGTTCTTTGGGATCAAAACATGCCTTGAAAGAGAAAATTATATTGAGGTGAGCTGTAGGGCGGGAGGGTACCTTACAGATCACTCAGGTTGATTTTACACTTTGTAGAATCAAGGGCAGTGTGTTGAACTAAAGTCTGGGGATCTCTGACAGATTATGCGCTGGATTGTGTTCAGTGTTATCATGCACCAAAGTTGATTGGTAGCATGGACAAGTGTTAATAATGAAGCAAATATTCAAAAGACTTGCCTTTGCACCACACAGGCACAGTGCCATGTGGAATAGTAATTAATATTGCCTTTTTCAAACTTGTGGCTGATCAGCACCATCTCTATTAGGCAATCAAGTTGGGCTCACCTTTGCTTTCCATTCAGTACTTTCTGCATTTTGGCATTTTGGCAAATTTTTGCATTGCCACTGGCTACACATTGCACTCTTGCTTCCATTGTTCCCCCTTACCCTTCTTCTCTTACTTAGCCCCACTGTGGGCCCTTTACTCTCTTTTCTATTCTCAACAGATAGCCATTTCTGGATCCCCATCAACTTTTTGTCACCTCTTTGCTCTTTCTACTTTTCTTCCTTGCCCCTCCTCCACACCTGATGTCACTGCTTTTTATCTGCTCCCATCGCCAATCCATCAACCACCATGTGCCATTTTGGATTTCAGCAAAGCCCCAGCAGCCGGTCCAATTGGGCAACAGCTCCATCTTCATGACATCAATCTTCCATCATCTACTATTAAATCATTGCCTTTCTTTTCTTTTACTATATAAACCCCTGTATCCTACCTTGTAAAAAAAAAATCCAATCCAGACTTCCAATCCAGACTTCTTCTCTGTCTCTTATCTCAAGTTCACTACTCACTGTTACTTGTGATCCAGTGTGGTCACAGCACTTTCCACTGCTACTACTGTCAATTGCTGTTATTGTTACTCTCCATTTCTGAAGTCATTGTTACCCCTTTTGATTAGAGTCCTTCTGAGCACTACAGTCTGTGCGTCAGGAGCCTGCTATCACTGGGAACTTCATCACCTTGTCACCTTGTCTTTCTCAAATCTACCTTGTGCTACAATTAGCAAGGTAGTGCTTGTCTATACTTGTCACAAAGCCCCTATCATTCTATCTTCCCACTATCCCTCCTCCTCAAAACCCACACCCACACGTTTCTGGGTTTTACATGTATATACTGTCGGAGGAGTGGGAGCTCGTAAGGAGTAACTTGTAATATAGGTACAGAAATCCATGCAGACAATTATCTAGTGAAGGGAAATTGTATGTGGGAGGAGTGTACCATAAGGTCTAAACTGAAGAATCTATGAGGAGTATAAAAATGTGCATAGGAAAATGTATAGCAGACTACAAGTCTGGTGTAGGAGTATCAGAGTAGATGCCCAGAGTATCATGGGTACAGGGTTATACCAACCAGCAGGACAAGAGGAGTGTAATCCCAAGAGTACCAAAGATTCAGGGGGTTCAGACCTGAGAAATGTCCTCTTTGGAGATTCTGGAGTTCTGCCTTCTGGCATGGATATGACATGCAAAAATAGAGATAGACTTGGAAAGCAAAGAGTTTTTAGCAGATGAGGATGAGAGCAGGCTTTCTAACCGTTTTAAATATTGGGGACATCAAGTGGAAGGAGGATTAATGGACAATTTTTTTTAATAATCCTGGCTTTGATTAAATAAACTTGCATTTCTAACTCTTTCAAACTGAAGCCTTACCAAGAGCCTTACCCCCTTGTCACTCCCAAAACACCTCCCCCACAATCTCTAGAAGCCGCTGCAGAAGCTCTAGAACCAAACAATCTATATCAATTTGCAGGACCAGAAGACTTTCCCCCTCCACCTCAGAATCCATCACCCAAAAAACCCACATTCAACAATTGATTTGATCAAGAGTCTTTAGACCTTGAACCCAACCTAGCAACAAGAATATTCAACAAACCAAATCATGGCAGCAAAGCTGTCCTTGCCTCCCCTCCATTTGAATTTATTGGCAAAAAGGAAACCTACGTTAACCAGAAGAACACATTAGCTGATTACTTTTCCGCTTATCCCAAAAGTTTTGAAACTGATTCCTCTAAAATCCTCTTTGCATTATCCTACATCTCATCCAACAAAGCTAACAAGTTGGAAAGCAAACTTCAACAAATAAACTGCAGTGCTAGGAGATTTGTTTGCACCACGGAAGTGGGGAAGTATCTTGGAATTTATCAAGGAGCTAGATAGCAAATTTCTTGACCCCCACCTCAAGTTAAAAGCAGAAATTGTGCTTCATAACTATGAGCAAAGAGATATAATGGTTGATGCATACTTCAGAGGACTTAAATTAAAACTTATGGAAGCAGGATTGCTACCTGATGCAGAAGAAAGCTATCTATTTGTTCCTAGTATTCTTCGCCAAAATCTCTCTCAATTCCTCTGTGATTGCGTTTTGCAACAAGAAAACCTCTCTACTACATGTTACGATAACACAATTTTTGGACCTTCCCTTTACTTTTATTCTCCGCTTTAACTTTATACTTTAGCTTTCACACATGGTGCCACGCGGCACTTCCCCTTTCTCGCGCCGCGTTGCCTTCCTCTTATTTTGGACACAACTCTCCCACACAGTGGAGCTGGCCATGCGGGCTAGGCCCCATGACATCATCAGCCACTGTCTCTATCAACTGTATAGTACACATGTACAAACAACCCTGTAGTAGTATATAAACCCCAATAGATCCAGGAGACTCCTCAGCGAGTCCTCCTGTTGTATACCAACTAACTCACTGCATCTTAAGGAGTAACCACTCCCTCTTCATTTTCTCTATAATGTGTTTCTGTGTGCGCCAGAGTAACTAACTCTTGGTTGTTACACTACATATTTAGAATAGAAGGCAGCAGCCAGGAAATGGGAGCAACAGAACAAAGAACTTAATCTTGAAAGAAGGAGAGGCAGACTACCACAGCAGAGAATGCCACAGCCTCAGTATTAACAGTATAGACTGCGTTATCAACAGAATCAAAAACATGTTCCACCATCGCAAAATCCACAGACAGTACCGTGTACAGAGACGCAAAGACCACAATATATTTGTGACAACATCAACAAGATACAATTTTGGGGCACTGGAGCACAACCTCAAAAGCTACAACTCAAAGGAATAATGGTACAACCTATCAAAGGAGGGAGGTTGTCTTCACTAATGTTGTTAGACACTAGGAGAGGACTTGCTGAGTCCTTCCTCATGCATTGCTCAGGTATTTATTTTACAATACAGTGACTCCAAAAACCATTGCAATGTTTGGCCTAAATGCAGTGCGCTTTGCACACTGCCAATAGGCATAGTAAGTTTTCTCAGTTTTGGTGGGGTTGACACAAGTACTTGGTCTTGGCTACAAAATGGCTCCTGGGTCATGTGATTTTCCCTAGCAGCTGTGAAGATATGTCCATTTCAAAATAGCAAAACCATTGCAACAGTTTTTTCACTTTTGGTATTAAGGGAGATATCTAGGGAATATCAATACTTGGTATAGCCTCCTTTTGCCTTGAGCACTGCCTGAATCCTCCTAGGCAATGTTCATACTCTGCAAGCCTCCCCTTGAGACGACCCTACCTATGTTCAATAGGATTAATGTCAGAAGACTGTGTAGGCAACACCATAGTTCCAAACCCCTGCTCATCTTGAACTTTTTGCAGGTATGCTTGGGGTTATTGTCTTACTGAAAGATGATGTCAAAAAAATTGAGATCATAATACTGCAGGGTGTTCAGCAGCTCATCCCTCAGAATCTGAAGGTAAAAGTCCCCATCCATCCTACCATCAATTTTAGCAACATACCCAACTCTGTCATACAGCCCCAAATCATTATGGAACCTCCTCCAAACTTAACAGTTCCTGTTACAATACACAATTTTTTGGACCTTTAAATTCCATTCTCCTCTATAACTTTCTTCTACAGTTTTCACACCCTGTGCCATGCAGCACTTTCCATTTTGTTCAAACTCCGCCTTCTCACGCTGCACTGCCTTTTCTTATTTTTAGCTACAAGTATCTCACATAGTGGAGCTGGTCACATGGGCTGTGCCCCATGATATCATCAGCCACTGCCTCCATCAACTGTATAGTACACATGTACAAACAAGCCTGTAGTAGTATATATACCACAATAGATTCAGGAGACTCCTCAGTGAGTCCTCATGTTGTTTACCTACAACAAACTTAGTCCTATCCAAAGGGTAACCACTCCCGCTCATTTCCTCTAAAGCTTTGTCTGAGTTGTGCGCCAGGGTATAAAAACATTGGTTGTAACAGTTCCCTGTACTAGTCTATCACTGAGCCCCTCACCTGGCTTTTTCCACACCCACTTGCATCTATCTGGCCCCAGGCAATTGATTTTGGTCTCATCAGACCATACAACCTTCTTCCAATCCTTCACAGTCCAGTCCTTGTGAGCATGAGCAAAGTCTAACTTAGCCTTACAATGCTTGATAGAGAGAAGAGGGTGTTTCCAGTTAACCACAACCTTCATGCCAGTCTTTTTCAAGTGCTGGTGGATAGTGTTTGGGGAGAGGGGCTGGTTGATGATGTTGGTAGGGGCTTTGGTGATCTAGACAGCATTTTCTGCTTTGCAAGTGGAGATGGGATGCATGACATGGCAAACATTGGCAGGAGAAAGCTTGGATGGATGACCTTTAACAGAATTTTGCAGCTCAAAATGCTCTTTGGAGCAAAATATAGAGATGGTAGAGACATGTACACCAGTGGTAGAGGCAATGGACTGAGCAGTTTGACCTGCATCAAGGAGGTTAAGAATCTGGTTCTTTTGAGCAGGAGAGGGAGATTTTATGATAATGGTGGTTGAGAATAAAGAAGCTTGCAAACCTTTTTAAACTCAGACACAATGTTTATATGTGGATTTTTGTTTGTGAGATCAAACAAAGCCAAATATTCTATGGTACCATTGTAATCTCTGCTTCCAACTCAAAAATGAAAAAAACTATTGCAATGGTATTGCTAACTTGAAATGGATATATCTTCACAGCCGCTAGGCCAAATCACATGGCCCAGGAACAATTTTATAGCCAAGACCAAGTATTTTTGTCAACCTCACCAAAGCTCAGAAAAATGCCCACACCTGTTGGCAATGCACTTTGCACACTGTTTAGGCCAAACATTGCAATGGTTTTTGGAGTCACTACGCAGTTCCTTGTCACTGGTTGCTTCCATATATTGGAGAAAATGTTTGGCAGCTTCCCAGTGATGGCTCCTTGGAGCTGAGCTGTGTGTGCTTAGCATTCCAACAACATAAGCAATATCTGGGCGGGTTCCAAGCATGGCATGCATGAGGGAGTCTAAAATCGAGAGATATAACACTTGAAGCCCTTCAATATGCACCTTGTGTTGCACAATATCTTCCCCTGGAGCATTTGTGAGAAATTTTGATCCATGGGCCATTGGTGTCCATACTGGTTCGCAATTCTTTATTCTGGTATACTCCAGGTGTAACAACCAAGAGTTAGTTACTCTGGTGCACACAAGAACACACTATAAAGGTAGTGATGAGGGAGTGGTTACCCCTTAAGCTGCAGAGAGTTTGTTGGTATACAACAGGAGGACTCGCTGAGGAGTCTCCTGGATCTATTGGGGTATATATACTAATACAGAGTGTTTGTACTTATGTACTGTACATTTGATAAAGTTAGTGGCTGATGATGTCATGGGGCCTAGCCCGCATGACCAGCTCCACTGTGTGAGAGAGTTGTATCTAAAATAAGAAGAAGGCAACGCGGTACGAGAAAGAGGAGTTTGAACAAAAGGGGAAGTGCCGCGTGGCACCATGTGTGAAAGCTAAAGTGTACAAGGTTAAAGCGGAGAATGAAAAAGAAGGAAAGGTCCGAAAATTGTGTTATTGTAACACCAGGACTCTGTCAATGTATTGGCATTGCAATAGGGAGATTGTTTTGTTGAAATGAACATATCAAATATTTTGCTTCTCCAAGGACCCACATTGGAAATATGGATTCAAGTTTAGCTTTTGTGATATCCATGAACCAAGGTCTGTGGAAGAGTCTAGCGCATGAGCTAAGCCGATTCCCCATCTCGTTCTCCGTACTCTGTTACTCTGCCCCCATACTCTGTTACTCCGCCCCTGTACTCTGCAGTTCTGTTACTCTGAAAAGGCCACGGTTCTGACAGTTTTTCTTGGATGTGATACAGTCCTTGCTTGTGTGCGGCAGTGAGGATGAGTTCCTTCTTTTTCCAAACTTCACAAGCATTGGACCCTGCTGGAAAAAGTGTTGATAACCTCATTTTAGACAATTTGTGGGCATAAACAAGTGCCAAAGTGAAGTTTGGCACAAGTAAGACATTTGACAGTGCAATATTGTAGTCCTTCTTGCCAACAGTCACTTGTAGGATTACAGTTCCAATTCCAATGGCATTTATGGAGGCTCCAGAGTCAATGATGATTGTTGTTTTGGTTTTATTGGGTTCCAACACAAGGTAAGTGTGGCAACACCAACAAGATACAACCTTGGGGCACTGGAGCACAACATGTACTACAATACATGAGGTACTATACAATTGAGTCCAATGTCTATCATGTGACCATTCACATGTTGAGTCTCGACACTGGCCATATGATATGTCACGTGATCAGTCATGTAACTATGAAAAGTCCAAAAAGTAAAGTAAAGTAAATGGTCACATGACTTAAAAAATGAAAAGTAAAAGTACAGAAAATGTAAAATGTAAAGTAGGTACTGGGGTGTCTATTGTAACAGTAAGCTTGAATGTGTTTAGCAAGGGGCTTGGGAATATGTACATGTTCCAATGCAATATGACTCTATTCCTCCTTGGAGTCAGATCCAGATAATTGCTCCTCCTATGTTCCTTTATCCTTGCATTTTTCCTTTCCTTTAACCTTTCCCAGCTGACTGAAGTGCTTGACACTCTGAGGTGTTGTGTGATTTGACTTGTGGAAGTTTGATCATCTATTGTGTCACAATAGAGGTAAGTCTTTGGTGCTAGCAAGAAATGCAGCTAGCACTTTTTCTTTTTCTGACTTGACAACTACAGATTATTATACATCTGCACTCACTTGATTTCTGTACATTGAGTACATTTTTTCCACCCACCCACCCTTCCCATTGATACACCTTTTTATTTCTCCAAAAACTCACCTCATGCACAATAGGAATTCTGAAATCATGTAACCTTATGACATTGCATTTTTTTACCATATGTAATCATTACATGAAAGAACCAAGGGCTTTTTCTCACTAAAATTGAAGTGCCTCCTCAACGCTCCTTTGTAATATAAACAAAAACCCAAAAGTCCAAGGAGTTTCCCCAAGATTATTCTTATCCACTTGATAATTTTTGTTCTATCTATCAAACTTGTCATACAATGTCATCAAAAATTCCTTTGTTCAAAGTCCACACAAACTCCTTTTTGCAGACCGTTGTCCCAAGCATTTGTTATAGAACATGAGGCTAAAAAAACTGTCACAATACACAAATATTCGGACCTTTGATTTTCATTCTCCTCTTTAACTTTCTCATGTAGTTTTCACACACTGTGCCATGTGGCACTTTCCATTTTGTTCAAACTCCACTTTTACGCGCTGTGCTGCTTTTCTTTATTCTTAGTTACAAAGTCTTTCACACAGTGGAGCTGATCACACAGGCTGTGCCCTATGACATCATCAGCCACTGCTCCCATTAACTGTATAGTACACATGTACAAACAACCTGTCTAAAGGGTAACCACTCCCACTTACTTCACTTTGGCATGTCTGAGTTGTGCGCCAAAGTAACTAACTCTTGGTTGTTACACAAACCTTCCAGGGCTAAACATCTGGGTAGTACAATCACAACCAGAAGTTCCCATATCCAATGGGATATCCTTCTGGATTTATCTCTTTGGACTTGTAATTTTTGCTACATTCCCTACCCTAGTCAACTCCATGACTACTCTGGTTTACTGGAATTCCTTTGTGGAATTGGTAGCACTTGTTTTAACTCCAAACAAATGGTACAAAGAAGGGCTTCAGGCAAGAGAGAGAGCTTTACCCCCAGAAATCATCTTTCTTAATGCAATTATGAAAACAATTGATGGCATCAATCTTTTGATCAATTACAAGTTTGGCATTACTTTACTATTGGAAAAACCTTGTATGAAAGACTCTATCATTATAAATTTGAATTGCCCTATTGACAATTTTTTTCCCTTCAGAACCTTAACAGACCTTTCTATTGCGCTGTCAGGTGGCAGTCAACCCACCCACCCTATGCAGCTCACTAACCGTCAAAATACAGGTCCCTCATTCTTTTCTTCTCCCGTTCTGCCTAGGGAGGGCAACACATTTGCCATCACCTATTCTTGGCGTCAAATCATACTGTCTGCTTATTTGCTCATGATTGTTGATCTGTTTGTATTTGCCCATACAAACATCAATTGATTTTTTTTGCGGTTCATTCGAGCAATTTCAACAAAAACACACCACTTCTCCTCAGACTTAAGTGTTCATTCTGAACCTCTAGGAGTGTTTCCTGACTGTTGTGCAACTTCTGCAGTGGTCCAGATCTCAACTGCATCAAAGATAAGTTTATCTTCTTCAATTGTGTTGATTACCAATAATTGAAATACTTGCCATTTAGGAGTGCATGAGAGAGATTGGAGAAGAACAAAGTCTATAAGTTTGGTATCAACTCCTAGTTTTATTCCGGGGAGATGTGAATCAATAGTCTGGATTTTTGCAATGTGGTCCTAGATAAGTGATGTTCCATCCTAGGACAATTTGGTAAGTTGCTGGAATGAATAGAAGGCATAGGCAATATTGGATATCTAATAGAGTGAAACAAGTTTGTCAAGTAACTCCTTGGAGCTGGTGAGGTCTCCAGTCCTCATTAGGAGGGCATTGGAGATGTGGTCCTGGATGATTCCATGTGCCTTTTCATGCTCAAGTATCCAGGTGATTTCAGGGTCCTCCAAGGAGGTGGGCTTTCCTGGTGAGGGTTTGAGCTCCTCTCCAGTAACAACTTGGAGAACCTTTTCCCGACATAGCTTGGAGATGATCCAAAGGTTCTATATCTGGAAATTGTTGAGTCCAGTGAGAACTGGATGTTACAACCAAAGTTTTTATACTCTAGCACACACAGCAACAAGCAAGGAGAGAGAGAGAATAAGAGTGGGTAAACCCCTTAGTGTTATGAACAAGTTTGTTATAGGTAAATAACAGGAGGACGCACTGAGGAGTTTCCTTGATCTATTAGGGTTTATATACATCTACAGACTATTTGTACATATGTACTGTACAGTTGATAAAGGCAGTGGCTGATGATGTCATAAGGAGCAGTCCTTGTAACCAGTTCCACTGCATGAGACTTGTATCTAAAAATAAAGAAAGGCAGCGCTGCACAAAAAAGGTGAGTCTGTGCAAAAGGAAAGTGCAGCATGGTACAACTGTGTGAAAACTAAGAAAGAAAGCTGAAGTGGAGAATGAAACTCAAAGGTCCAAAAATTGTGTATTGTAATACTGGACATACAGAGGTATTGTGTGCTGTGGTCATGGTTCCAAGGTTGTATTCTACCTGTTCAAATGAGAACTATTTCCTGTGTAGCTTTTATGCCACCAGGGCTCTGTGAGGCAACACTAAACTATAACAAAAAAATACCTGTCTCCTACTGCACTTGCAGGGAGTAAGAGGTACAATGAGTTCTAAGGTCGACAGATGCTAGAGTTTATAGCAAGTAGAGGACTGAGAGTAAACTCAAGAATTTCTGATAAGGAGTAAAGCAGGTAATTCAAGTAATAGAAAGCTAAAGAACTATACACGAATATGTAGGATTTTTATAGCTAACTGTCTATCTCTCAGACCAAAAGAGGAACAATAGAAAAGTGGTCTGGGGATGAAACTAACCAATAAGAAAAAGAAGAACTATTGTACAATTTCAAGGATTGATCAGCAGGTTGTAACAACCAAGAGTTAGTTACTCCGGCGCACACAGAAACACACTATAAAGAAGATGATGAGGGAGTGGTTACCCTTTAAGATGCAGTGAGTTAGTTGGTATACAACAGGAGGACTCGCTGAGGAGTCTCCTGGATCTATTCGGGTATATATACTACTACAGGGTTATTTGTACATGTGTACTATACAGTTGATAGAGACGGTGGCTGATGATGTCATGGGGCCTAGCCCGCATGGCCGGCTCCACTGTGTGAGAGAGTTGTGTCTAAAATAAGAAGAAAGGCAACGCGGCGTGAGAAAGGGAAATGCCGCGTGGCACCATGTGTGAAGGCTAAAGTATAAGGTTAAAGCGGAGAATAAAATAAAAGGGAAGGTCCAAAAATTGTGTTATTGTAACACTACCCCCCCTTCTAAGGCTCAACTTCCAGGCGAGACCAAATTCCGGAGGTAGCGGTTAAATTTTCAGGCATAGGTTGAAAAAGAGAATTAAAAAGTTTGGAGTCCATGCCTCTAAGCTTCCTAGGAGCTGAGGGATTCTTAGGATAAAATTCGCAAACAATGTTGCGGGAATTGTCCAGATGGGCTTCTGGTTCCCACGTTCTGTCCTCGTCTCCATAGCCCTTTCATAGGACTAGAAACTCTAATTTCCCACGCTTCAAGCGTGCATCCACCACCCGTTTGACTTTGAACTCTTCTTCACCTTCCTGGGTGACTACAACCGGTCCCGGCCAGTCTACACGCTGTCCCGGCAGCTGTCCCTTGTAGGGTTTCACATGGCTGATATTGACCGTGGGTACTACCCTCATTCGTTTTGGGAGTTCCAGCTCCGCCGCGTTGGGTTTGACTTCCTTAATCCGGTAAGGGCCAATCCACTTTTCGGTCAGTTTTCTAGACTGCCGGTCTTTTAATTTTAAGTGGTCGGTATCTAACCAGACCAGGTCGCTGTCGATGATAAGAACTGTTATTAGAAAACCACACACAAAAACAAACTAACACACAATCCTCCCAGATTCCACGGAACTTGTTTATGGGCTTTGCCTCCTAGAACAGTGGGTGCTCTGCTTGTTCATGGGGTGGTATGTATAAGGGTCCTTCAAAGTAAAACCCAGAGGTGTATGAGTGTGGGTTTTGAGGAGGAGGGATAGTTGAATTTATAGAAGATAGGGGCTTAGTGATGAGTATAGATGAGCACTACCTTGCTAATTGTAGCACAAGGTAGGTTTGAGAACGACAAGGATGACGAGGTGACGAGGTTCCCAGTGATAGCAGGCTCCTGACGCACAAACTGTAGTGCTCAGAAGGACTCTAATCAAAAGGGATAACAATGACTTCAAAAATGGGAAGTGACGATGACAGCAGTTGACAGTGGTAGCAGTGGGAAGTGTTGTGACCACACTGGATCACAAGCAGCAGAGTAGTGAACTTGAAATTAGAGAAGAAGTCTGGAATTGAGTTCTTGTTGTTTTTACAAGGTAAAATACAGGGGTTTATATAGTAAAAGAAAAGTAGGCTATGCACAGTATAGCTGTGCAAAAAGAATGAGAAAGAACATGAAGGAAGGAATGTATGCTGACAAATCCTGCGTAGGTAGTACAGGATAAGATTGTCAAAAAAGGAAAAGAAAGAGATAGAACAATGAATGCTGTGAGTAATGTCACAGGTTTGTACAGCCATAAAGTAAAGTCCAATAGCAAAAAGAGAGCAGGAAAATCATGATGTCATGGGAAGATGCAGTAAAAAAAGGGCAAGGCAAAACACTATCAGTATCAACACAGTTCCTTTAATGTCAGTCAGGCATTCTAAAAAAATATGTGTCCATAAAAATGATTCAAAAATCAAAAATAATCGCACTGTAAATGAATGTTCTGCTGAAGAAAAAAAAACTGGAGCCACCGGTCCACCACCTAGTCCAAATCCGACAGTTCCATGGCCTTACCAATGGACTGGTTGTGTTGGACCACCTGATCAAACGAGGGAGGGAGAGGAGTAGTTCCAATTTGGAACAAGTGAGTCCCAGGCAGCGTGTGGTAGGTGTAGCTGTAGCGAAGACGATGGACAAAAGATAAGTGTACCCAAGTGAATGGGACAGCAATGAACATGGGCAACGCAAGGGGATGAACCTTCTCCAGCTCAAAAACTACCCACCCACGCTCCAACCAGGCAAGACAAGCGGCCGATGTTTTGATAGTATATGATGGCAGATCGACGTCATGGAGATGGACCTGTTGCCCTATTTGGACCGGCCATCGGGGCTTTGCTGATATCAGCAGTGGCACATGGTAGTCAACGGATCGGCGACGGAAGCGGATAGGAAGTGGTGACATCAGAAATGGTGGGGGTGCAAATAAGATGAGGAGGAGGAGGGTGGAGGTGACGAAAAAGTGGATTAGAATGGGGATCCAGAAACGACCATCAGGTGAGAATAAAAAGGAGAGGAAGGGGCCCATGGTGGGGCTAGGCAAAGGAAGGGGAGTAAGGGAAATGACAAAAGCGAGGGCGCAATGCAATGTGTAGCCAGTGGTGACGCGAAAATTTGCCAAAATGCCGAAACGCGGAAAGTACCGGATGGATAAGCAAAGGTGAGCGTGACTGGATTGCCTAATAGAGGTGGTGCTGATCAGCCACAAGTTCGAAAAAGGCAATATTAATTACTATTCCACGTGGCACTGTGCCTGTGTGGCACAAAGGCGAGTCTTTTTGAATATTCGCTTTGTTATTAACACCTATCCATGCTACCAATCAACTTTGGTGCATGACATCGCCGACCTTGTAGTCAGGGGCCTTAGAGTGTCTACGCTCTGCCCTGTCTTTCATCTGCTCTGCAGTTTTGAATAGCGCTTTGTGCGTTTCATCTAAAACAGACTTCATGTCTTTGACCATATTCTCAGCAGCTTCATTCTTGCTTTTCCCAGGTTCTACACCCATTCTGGGGAGGTACAATCTAGTAACCTCAAATGGTGCCTTTCCTGTAGCCGACAACTGTTTAACATTGTATGAGAACTGGGCTATCTTTAGCCACTTGGCCCAATCCGTCTGTCTGTCATTAATAAATATCCGGAGATATTGTTTCAACTCCTGGTTGAGTCTCTCCGTTTGTCCATCAGTCTGCAGATGGAACACCGTTGATAACTTAGGTTTGATGCCCAGCATCCGGCATAATTCTTTCGTAAATTCGCTTTCGAATTGAGGTCCTCTATCAGATAACTGTTTCTGGCAACCCATGGATAGACCATACGAAATCTTTAAATAAATCTGCCGTGCCGGCGGCGGTAATGGTTTTATTGGTGGGTATGAATACCACTTCTTTGGAGAAGCGATCTACTACCACCATTACTGAATTATACCCATTTGACTCGGGCAGATCCATTGTGAAGTCCACCGATATATCCTGCCAGGGACCAGCTGGTATAGGATTCGGCATAAGTTTACCGGCCGGCGGTTGTAAGGACCATTTTATTATTTTCTTATCTTCGCTATGTCTTGGTTCTCGAACACTTTTCCCATTACACCTCTGGCTCTAGGGCTAGAGGTATCATTTGCCATTTTACTTCTCATAGCCCTCACAGGCTTTCTTAACCATTGCTACCATTTTATATCACAGATCAGAGACTGGGTATCGATCCCAGCCAGCCAGCACACTGGGTAGGGACTGCTAGTAGGCATCTCGCCAACCAGCTCCAAGCCCCAGTAAAGCCTGGATACACTAATAAATGCCTTGTTCAGGATCGTACCTCATCATGAGGATACGGTTCCTGAACACGCGTAACAAACCTCTATTATTAGTACAAATCTCTCACCGCTGATTAATCAAGTTAAAAGTCATACAATAGTTGTTCTCCCCTTTTCTTATTGGCCGATTAATTCCTCAGACCACTTTTCGTATATTCTCCTTTCGGTCTGAGGAACGAACAGTTCACTATATAAAGCCTTACCTATTCATGTATGGCTCCTTAGTTTTCTATTACTGAATTTACCCGCTTTACTCCTCAACAAGAACCTTTAAAGCTTACCTCTCAAAAGTCCTCTACTCGCTATATTTACTAGCATATGTCGACCTCAAAAGCTCATCAAACCCCTTACTCCCTGCAAGTGCAGAAGGAGACAGGTTTCGTTTTTGTTATAGTTTATCGTTGCCTCACAGCGGTTGATGAGAGTTCTTTGCTATGGCACATCTCAGACAGGATTTCACATATTCCTGCACGTCTTTGACCAAGCCAGGCCACATGTAGTTTCTGGAGATCAACTCCATTGTTCTTTGCCACCCAGGGTGCCCAGCCACTGGAGTGTCGTGATGTCTATCTATTGCCTTGATCCTTGCGGACTCAGGCACGTAGATCTTGTCTTTGAAATGGAAGAGCCCGTCTTCCCATAAATAATTTTCATTGCCGTCAAGGCGTGCCTTCTCTTCTGAGGAGATGTCTTTCTTGAAGACTTCCAGAAGATCGGAATTCTGCCCGATTCTAACATTGGCAACCCTTGATTGGTCTATCAGGGGTAACACCTTTGTTATCATCTTCGATGCCGTTGGCATGATCCTCTCTTCTGGATAAAGTGTCTGCTTTCCCCATAGAGCTTCCAGGCTTATGAATTAATTTATAATTGAACCTTGACAAGTACACCGCATAGCGGGCCTGTCTTCAGTTCAAGTCTCGGGCCGTCATAAAATACTCCAGATTCTTATGATCGGTCCAAATTTCAAATTGGTGCCTAGCACCTTCTAAGTAGTGCCGCCAGTGCTCTAAAGCTCTAATGATGGCCGGCATCTCTTTGTCGTAAATTTGATAGTTGCGCTCTGTAGGCAACAAACTATGCGATAAATAGGCACAAGGCCTCCAAAGATCGTCAGGGCATTTAATTGACAAAACAGCCCCAGTAGCAAAATCAGAAGAGTCAGTTTCTAGCCGGAACTCTTTGTTAAATTCTGGAAAGGCTAATATGGGTGCCGTTGTAAATGCCTGTTTAAGCTTATCAAAGGCTTCTTGTTCTTTGGCACCCCAGTGCCAAACAATGTCCTTTTTTGTGAGATCGTTCAACGGTCTCGTGATTTTTGCGAAGTTTTCGATAAACCTTTGGTAGAAATTGCCTAAGCCAAGGAAGGCCCTAACTCCTTTGACACGAGTAGGTTCTGGCCACTCCAAAATAGCTTGAACTTTTTCAGGATCCATCCTGATTCCGTTCTGGCCTATGATCATACCGAGGAAGTCTACTTCCTTCACTTTAAAATTACATTTTTCAGGTTTGACGAATAGGTCCCATTCCTGTAAGCGTTGAAGGACTTCTTGCACGATTCTGTCATGCTCAGCCTCATTGTCCGACTTTGTAAATATTAACAAATTGTCAATGTAAATGACGACACAGTTTTCCATATCCGCAAAGGTCTCATTCATCATGCTCTGGAAGGTCGCCGGTGAATTGGTCAACCCAAAGAACATAACGAGGGGTTCAAAGGATCCTCGGTGGCACGTGAACGCGGCCTTCCAAGCATCTGTCTCTTTGATTTGTACATTATTGTACCCCCATCTGAGATCCATCTTTGTTAAGATCTTGGCGCCAGCCAATTTGTCTACTAGCTGACTGATCAAAGGCAGCAGATACGCATTTTTAACCGTGTGCTCATTCACGTAAGGATAGTCCATAATCATGCACTTTTTACCATCCTTTTTAGGAATGAAGAACACTGGGGACGTCATAGGGCTTTTGGAAGGTCTGATGTAACCCTTCCTAAGCTGTTCGTTTATGAAACTTGATACCTCATCTCTTTCTGGAGCAGAGAGGGGAATCATGTGTCCTTTTCTCAGTTTGAAGGTGTCCTTCAAATCTATAGCATGGTCCCAAGGCTTAGCCTCTGGGAAGCGCTCTGATTTATGTTTTGAAAAGACTTTCCAGAAGTCATGGTACTCGGGAGGTACCAGCCTCTTAATCTCTTCCTCGGGTTTTACCTCATCATCGTCATCATCAATCTTTTCTAAAGATCTGAGCTCGTAAACGTGACCAGCGTTTCTCTTTTCAATACGCTCATTTTGACAGACATGATTTGGTTTACCCAAGTTTACACACTCCTGAGGGCATCGTGACAATGTGACAACCCCTGTCTGCCAGTCGATCTCAGGATTGTATTTAAATAGCCAGGTCCAGCCTAAGATTAAATTAATCTTCCCTAGTTGGGTAGCTTCGGCGGTGACCCGTTCTCTGTGTCCTTGGTATTCGCCCACAAAAGAACATTTGTGCGTGATACAGCCACCCGCGTTAAGCGTACCGTCAACATTATAGACGGGAATAGATACATCTAATTTTACAAGGGGGAGTCCAATTTGCTCCGCCCAGACCTGATCGATGAAGATTCCGTTAGCGCCTGAATCAAGCAGTGCGCTGGTTGGGTGTACTATGCCCCGGGCAAGGTTTTCCACGCCAACGTCTAAACGGATCTCCTTTTGGAATAAATATGTGTGCATCAACACACACCTTGGGATTTCGTGAAAGGGTGGCTCCAAAGGAGAAGAAGAAAGGGTATCGAAAGTTACATGTTTTTCCATTTTATTTTTACCAGAATCAAGCACCCTAGTGTTTATCTTGCCGGGGCCATGCTCCAAGGGAGACACTGGTGCAGTGGTAGTATCATTTATATTACAGTCACATTGCTTTATACAAGTACATACTTCAGATAATAAATTTAAAAATCTATTTACAAATTGGGGAGCCATCCCCGTCTTTCCTTTATTGCTCGTGCAACACCCCGGAGCAGGGGCCACCTTGTTGTGGTTTACTGGTTGTAGAAGAAGGCCCGGATTTCATCATACGAACGACCGGCCAGAGTTTGGAGCCGATCGTCCGGTTTTTCGGACTCTAATTGGCGTGCCTGGCGCCCTTGATTATTTTGAGCAGCCCACGCTCCATTTGGACACTTTTGGGCTATGTGCCCCTCTTGCCCACAGTTGTAGCAGGTGAATCTGCGCGTCTGTCCGCCCTGGACCGCACCAATATCCATAGGAGCACCCCGACCTGGTTGCAGCCCAAACGGCTGGAACCCGTGAGAGTGTTGTTGTTTTTGGTTTGATAACCCAGGGTGCCTCTGGGATTCGTTGTTTTTGGTGGTGGACCCGCCACCTTGGTGCATTTGGTAAAGCTCCATGGCTCTACCAATTTTTCGTACTTCCTCATCCGCCAGGGCCAAGTCCTCGTTCCTTACATCCTGCAAGTAGATCTGTTCTGCAATGCAAGGGTTCACATTGCGTTCCAGCAGTTCTAGTGCATGTTCATTACCAAGCCCTCCTTGGATGGAGAGGGCCAGGAACCGGGTAACGTAATCATCTGTCCTTATATTTCCTTGTTTGAAGGAACGGATCTGCTGACGCGCCCAGTGACGCTCAGCCTGTGGTTTGAAGTATTTTTCGATCTCCTTCTTGAGATCATCCCAGGTTGGCCACACTCCCGCGGTGTAGCATTCCTGCAATCTAACTTGGGCGTATCGACCCGCCACAGGTCCTTTTAGTCGAGATAGCACTGCAGTGGCTACCTTAAAATCGTTGGCAAATGTGTCCCAGTTTGCCTTGACCCAAATTTGGAGTTTGATCCACCACTTGGCGAATTGCGCTCTGTCTCCTTCGAAAGTGCCAGGGTCAGCGACAATTTTGACCTTTTTCTTGAACTTCTTCTCAACCGAGGGGGTTGCCGCAGGAGGATTAGTCTGCAGCTCGGCGAGTTGCGAAGTTAATGTTACAATCTGTGCACGCATGGCATGCAGCAGACTGTTCATATCTTGTTGCAACGACATGTTGACTTGTTCTCTTTGTAAAGTAATAAAAACGTAACTGGGGGTCCCCGCTTGCTATCTGCGGATCAACCTCTTCCCAGCTGAGTATCGGATCTCAATCTCCGACTACCCACACTATAGTATTTGAAAGTTTATATAAAAAGTATTTGTAAGAAACCCTGGTCCAAACAGTTGTCAGGGGGTGGTCCGCTTGTTAAGCTGTCAACCCTTCTCCAACTGGCGGAGGCAAGTGCCCGGCCTGGTCAGAGGAAAGAGAAATTGAAGTTTTTTTGTATTTAATTCTAATCAACAGCGGTTCCACACCGACTGCTGAGCTAAGTTCTCCCCTTAACGCTGGGGGCCGCGTATCAACAGTTTTGGTTCTTCTCCCAAAGCACTACAAGGCCGTTGCGAAGAGTGCACCTATCTGCTATGCGGGATATTCCTAACCAACAATCAATCTCCTTCACCCTGGAGTCCGGGTGCCCAGTGGGACTTTTTGCACAAATGTGCGAGAGAGTAGAAAGAGCGAGTCCTAATGTAACAACCAAGAGTTAGTTACTCCGGCGCACACAGAAACACACTATAAAGAAGATGATGAGGGAGTGGTTACCCTTTAAGATGCAGTGAGTTAGTTGGTATACAATAGGAGGACTCGCTGAGGAGTCTCCTGGATCTATTCGGGTATATATACTACTACAGGGTTATTTGTACATGTGTACTATACAGTTGATAGAGACGGTGGCTGATGATGTCATGGGGCCTAGCCCGCATGGCCGGCTCCACTGTGTAAGAGAGTTGTGTCTAAAATAAGAAGAAAGGCAACGCGGCGTGAGAAAGGGAAATGCCGCGTGGCACCATGTGTGAAGGCTAAAGTATAAGGTTAAAGCAGAGAATAAAATAAAAGGGAAGGTCCAAAAATTGTGTTATCGTAACACAGGTGGGAAGATATACTAATAATAGGTATTGTTACACATGTTAAGGAACCATATCCTCATGATGAGGTAAAATCCTAACTAAAGTGTTTACTAATATATCCAGGCACTGATGCGGTGTGGGGCTGGTTGGCAAGATCCCTGCTACCAGTCCTTACCCATTGTGCTGGCTGGCTGGGAGTGCTACCCAGTCTCTGATCTGCAATATGAAATGGTATCAATGGTTGAGAAAACCTGTTAAGGCTATGAGAAGTAAAATGGCAAAGGACACCTCTAGCCCTAAAGCTAAAGGTGTAATAGGGAAAGTGTCTGAAAACCAAGACATGGAATGAAAGGGTAGAGAAAAGTGAATGGTCCTTACAGGCTCATAACCTAATAATTCCTGGACCCGTAGGTTCCAGGTTTCCAAAGCACAAATGTCCGCTGCGTTTTCCAAGGACCTTTTAGTCATTACTCATTTACGTTTACGCTTCCTTTCCTTTCTCGCACTTTCGGCTCATTCCGTCCATTGTCACGTGGCTACCTTGGTGCTACTCACTCTTGCATCCATTGTACGTTGTTGCTCTGTGATCGCTGTAAAGGCCGCACAAAATGTTAACTGTAATGGCCTGCTGTGTGATCTGGACACAGCCGGGGCCAGGTCTGCCCCAGAGGGCAATGGTTATACTGCAATGTGCTACATAGTAATTGCTTGAAACAGTTCTAAAAGGCACGTGACCGTCGGGTCCAGGTCTGCCCCGGGGGGCGATGGTTATCATCATGTACAGTGAGCAACTAAAAATTCCGGGATGTTTACTGATTTCATTATCGAAATGGTAACCTGCATCGTTGGGTCCAGGAATGAGGCCGCTTATCTTCGCTATCTTGGTCCAGCATGTTAATACTGTCAAGCAAACAAAACCATTCTCGAATTCCATATGTAAATAGTGCCTTTCCAAAATCATCAGGACCAGCCGGCCTACCGATAAAAGCCTGCCTGGCTTCGATTGCAAGGCATAACGAAGTTTTCCCATCCCCTCATATACGCGAAGCCAACCACAGCAATAGTTCGATATAACGATATAACGTGCAATGCCTGTACCAAGCACATCACTCCCTGAGTGTGCACGCTATATCCCTCCACCTGCCACTCAAGAGAATTGTACGTCTTTGCCTTCATTCAAAGGATACTTTGTCGATGACCTCTAGGACGTATTTTTCCCAGTGGACTTTGCGGAACTTGTTATCATTGATTTAGCCAAGGCTCAGACTCCAGAAGGTCGTGCAGAACTTTATCCTGAAGTGCGCGATGCCTTACGCTCGAATGGATTCGTGTACGCTATCAACCATGGATACACGCAAGCTCAGGTAACTACTCACCATCTTTCCAGCTTTCTCCCTTCAACTGCGTGTGCTATTTATATAGCGTGACCGAATATTTGATATAGCCGATGTGCCTTTCACAGTTGTGCCCCCAGATGAGATGAAGATGTACACGGCGGATATTGCAAAGGTGGGACACTATCAAGGTTACAAGGCTCGTCGGTTTTGGGTAATGCTATCATATCATGTTGCCTGAATTTTGAAAGGCTTAAACGAAAGACTTACCATGACAGCGTGTTGATACTGAGAATCAAGTTCTCGACCAGATCGAACACTATGGAAGTAAGTCTCTGGCATATCTACTTGTGAGCTGTAAGTGTTAACGTGGTCCCTTTGGCAGTCAATAGAAACGTACACAACCGTCCTCATCCACGAGCCCTACGCCCCTTTATGCCTGAAATCGATGCCTTTGCTAGACACAACCATACCAATGTTCTTCAACCAATCCTAAAGTGAGTCACGGATAACTATTCAAAAAGTGCCTATTCACGCCTCATGACAGGCTGTTGGCGCTCAGCCTTGAGCTCCCAGAAGATGCTCTGGTGGATAAACACAGGTTTGATGTAGCTGGGGAGACAGCAGGTCAGTGCTTGTCGAGTTATATGCGGACAGCGATATAACCATTCACCGTGAGCAGTACGTTTCATGAAATAGTGAGTTTACCCCTATATGTTGTAATCACGGATTCCATTGACACATCACTAGCTACAAACGGTCTGAGGAAGAAGAGAAGCTGTCGAGTAATGTGTGGTTGAAGGGACACACCGGTTAGTATCATCCTATAGTTACACTGGGGGGGGGAGTCTCATTGATAATCTTACTAAATGTAGACATCGGTAGCATCACCATCTTGTGGAGTCAGCCTGTGGGTGGTCTACAGATCCTGTCAAAGGATGGAAAGTGGAAGTGGGTAAGGCACATAGACAACGCACTGGTAAGGCATCTCCGTCTAAATTGGTTTTCTTCATCATTCCAAATGACACGATGCTCAAGGTGATCAATACTGGCGACGCTATGGAGTTTTTTTCCGGTGGATATTACAAACCTACCATCCATCGTGTGGTACAACCTCCTGGAGATCAGCTCGCTTACGATCGTCTTGGAGTATTCTACTTTTCGATGCCCGATGATGATGTTAGGCTCATTCCTCTCGTTGAGAGCCCTGTATTACAGCGTGTAGGTGTGGAGCGTCGATGTGCAGACGAAGATGCGCCTTTCTACGAACAATGGAGGAAGGATAGGACTACTTCCTACGGACGTACAGAACTGAGGAAAGGCACAGAGAAAGGTGTAGAAGAGCAGATTGTTCGTGGTATCGTCGTCAAGAATTACAACTAATATTCTCGCTTTTACGCTGGGTTCGTCAATTATTGCGTGCAAGTGTTTGCTTTATTAAAGTTTCGTGAATGCTAGGTCGTGCGATGTATGGTGAACCACTTTTATTCGAGTTCGACAATATTCTCTTTCAAACGAATCACATCTGGGATACCTACAAGCTGGTCAGGTTTGGGGAGGACAGAATGTAGAAACATACGGCTTATGAACCACGCAAAGGAAGCCCCATAAATAATTTAATACGTTTTCCAAGGTTTACCGGTTACCTGTCTCCTTCACCCAAATGCATTCCAAACTGCGGAGAGATCCTCTCCAGACCTCATCTCAGACCTAACTCACAGACTGTCGTGTCGGCCTGTCGTGTCGGCCTGTACCTTGCATTAGCAAATGGGATGCGAGGGAAGTGGGTATGTGAAGATATCGATAGGGTCCCATCTTGGGGAAAATCCATCCAGCCAAAAATATAGCCTTCTTCAGTCCGTGTATGTGAACTTATCTTCAGACACTACGAGGCATGTGTGATCGGAAGGGCGGGGTGGCAATAAGTAAGTCCGAGGCATGAGAACGAGTCTTCCGGGTACTTGTCGAGTTCGGAGCCATGGAGGAAAGGAACGTCGTTCCCTGGAACTTTTTATTTGAAGGGTGCACGCATGCCCGGGACAATGGGATGGCCGGAAAACATACCATGTACCGTCCAAGTATTACCCGGGTGTTGTGATTTGACCGAATTGCAAACCTTCCTGCTGTCCAAGTTTAGGTTATTTTCAGTCTTTTAATGGTGTACTGTAGCCTGGGAGCTCAGGCTGAAATACCTTGAAACGTTGAAGACTGGTACCTTTTGTTCGAGGAGACTGGTTGCTAGAGCTGGCGGTACTGTACCAAATAAGCGAGAACTTGAAATGAATTGACTGGTGAGCAGAAGTTGTAGTGTCATCGATGTGTCTTTGTTCATAACGGCCTCAACTGAATGCAAGGCCTAATGCTCCCCAATAAATGCTCACTGTCATTACCGGGGGGATGCAACCATGCACGTGGGCTAGGATCGGAGGTTGGACCTAACACAGTATCCAATGTCAACGACAAAGTCTAATCTGATATAATCGTAAATTCCAGGCCTCACCAATTTATTGTGTGAATACACTCAGAGCCTACTGCATTCGTATCATATGCACCATACAGCTGGCTAGGAATATCCATGTGCGGTCCTAAAAGGGCTAGGTGGCTTATTTAGAACGCCCGTGAGTTTGTAAATCGCCTGCTCTATTACACAGCTGAACTTGAACAGCGATGGCTTCAGCTTCTGAGTCCTACAGTTTTCCGCCAGCGTCCTTTCGTCCTCTTCTTGCTGAAATTGCGACATTACTGACATCGGGTTCGAGTCCAGCCACTCTCGCTGTCGCCGAAACAACCTCAGGAGGCCTTATCTCGGCCTCCCTGCTTTCAGTCCCGGGGGCTAGTAAGTGGTATATCGGTGGGGCAACCTTGTACACCACAAAATCGAGGTCAGCTTGGTGTGGATGGAGTGAACAAAATATCAAAGATTACAGGTGAAGCAACTTTTGTCCCCATTCTAAAGCTCTGCTTCTCATATAGTATATAGGGGTGCAACACCGGAAGTTGTGACAGGCTTGGCTACCCATGTGTGCAATACGCTCGAAGCCGCTTACTGTATCGGCGAGTCAGGAGCAACAGGGCCTACTGTTCCTGGTAAACCATTCCTTCACGTGTGAGTGTAGTCATATAACTCTTTTGCGAGCTCATATTCCAATCCCACCTTGCTTAGAGCAGGGAGGACGTACATTGCATTCGTTTCACGTGCAGGCGGGGTCGCAGTACGTATGGTGGACACTGGGCTTGCTGACAGAGAAAAGAACATGATTGCATTTACCGAGGCTGCTTTGCAGCTCATACGTGACGTTTTATCTGGTGAAGCGCAGCTGGAGTACGTTGAAAAAGAGGACGAAACAAAGCTCTGAGGTCATGTAAATTAACGTTGGACTATAACTTTTCTTTGCGGTCGCATCAATTTGGAACTTTGCAAGTTCACGATATAAAACGCACCAATTCATCCTTGTTATGGAAGTTAGTATATGCTGGTTTATGAATATCAGTGTTTATCGAAGAAAATCATAGAGCAAAGCCTTGAGGAAAGAAAGTTTTTTTTTTGTATATTGCGTTTGGATCGATGCCAAATGGATCCTCTCTACTGGCCGATGTAATGGCAAACCGCGACGGGGTTCCGATACATGGCGTCAACTGATAACAAATCCAATAGACAGAGGTCCCATCTGGTCTCAATTGTAGCCACAATCACGCATGTTATATTTGGTCGCAGTGTGTGAATTAAGTGCGTGGACGTTAAGAAAACACGCACAAATCTAAGGTTCAGACATGATTCATGTTGCAAAGCTTGATCACTCAGCGTTTTTACGACGGGGTATTGATTAAACGGCGAAAACACGGTAATAGTAGGTTTGTTTTTGCAGTACTACATAACGCGGATAGTATTTTTATCTCAGGACGAGAAGCTGGAACAGCCGACTACAGCGCATCATGTTGGTGATCGTGGGCGAAGTCATCGTCTTCTGGCTTTCGAAGCTCGTAAAAGTGTATCATGGGACCATAAGGAGTGGTGTGAAAACAGGTTCGTTCCAATGCGTAAGGCCTTAGCAGCTTTCAGAGGATAAGGCCACAGTCTGAAGTAAGGTGTCGCAAGACGTAATCCAACTTGAAAGGGCCCTTTATCTAGCCGTTTTTGGGTTATTGCGTATTTGTCTCTTGTCTGGGCGTATGACTGACGTATGGCATCAAAATCTCGCGGAAGATCATAACGGTTACTAAACCAATCACCAATTCCATGCGCAGGGGAAAAGCGGAATAGGGTCAGAGAAAGCCATAGATCCAAAGAAGCAGTAGGGTGACTCACAAGGATAGGCTTGAGCGAGAAGTGGGATGACGATGTCCCCGTCGTGTTCCGAAAGCCAGACTATAGCGCGTGACGGTGAGTCCCCTATTCACTCATGACCAAATTACCATCAGATTATTTTTGTCTCGTGCATGTCCACCGATCCAGGATGAAGGTCCTGCATAATTTGAGAGAATGGAGTCCTCGATTCAGCAGCGATCTTGATATCGAAATAAATAAAGTTCAATCCAAGTCATGTCGTATGTAATGATGCAGACAAACTGAGGCGGGGATATTCATACCTGAACTAAAAATGAATCCAAGCGTTGCTGCATGGAGAGAAGTGGAAGACACGGAGTGAACCAAAGTGTAAGAAAAGACCAAACAAGACACATAGATAGACGTCACGTGATCTCAGACGCGATTCAAATAATGGCAGTGGAGTGTTTTGAAGCGCAGCCGCCAGCTCACGACACTTGAGGTTCACTCGAGACGGACGTCTATCATCTTTGACGGCAAAGGCTTGGCCGGAAAACTTGTAATTCGAAGTATAACTTCCTTCCCTTTATCTTCCACTTTTCGCTGACAATTTTTTGTCAGACCTACCCACCCCATCATGTCTGTTCCATTGAGCAACGATTCAGCCTCAGAAGGCAACATGGAAGCTCTCTTGCAATCGTTTGCTATGATAATCTTCTCTGAAATAGGCGACAAAACTTTCCTCATCGCTGCTATCCTTGCCATGCGCCATCCTCGCCTCCTTGTATTTGCTGGTGCATTTGGTTCTCTTCTCCTAATGTCCATGTTGTCCGCCGCTATGGGTCATCTCCTTCCAACTCTTATTCCAAAACGGTGGACGCAAGTTGCAGCTGGAATATTGTTCTTAGTCTTTGGTTCAAAAATGATGATGGAGGGTAGGTATATGAAAGGTGGAAATGGGAAAATACAAGAGGAGATGAGAGAGGCACAGGAGGAGATAGAAGGTGACGACGCAGGAAATGATAGAACAGGCTTCGTCAATCAAGACGGGGATGTGATTCCCTTGGAGAGGGTGGAGGAAGGTATACGTTCACCCAGTGCTACTCGTCATTCCAGAAACAAAGGGGGGGCCGTTGGTATAGCCGAAGGGGCACGAAATTTTTGCAGCCTGTTTCTGGGTCCAGTTTTTGTTCAAGCCTTCATTCTTACGTTTCTCGGCGAATGGGGTGATCGCAGTCAAATTGCCACGATTGCTCTCGGTGCCGCTCATGTGAGTGATTGATGTTCGCAATCTGCGAAAACTGGGGCACTGAAACTTGTCCGACAATTTGTCATACGTCATATCAAGAATGTGTATCTAGTGACGTTAGGAACAGTTTTGGGACATACATGCTGTACTGCCCTTGCAGTGATAGGAGGCCGTTATGTATCCACGAAGATATCTGTTAAGCATGGTCAGTCCTTCTACTATTTCTTAGTTCGCTCTTAGGCTTAATATTCCACCCCAGTCACACTCGGAGGAGCTAGTCTTTTCTTACTTTTTGGTATTGTTTACCTGTATGAATCTTTGGCAATGTCAGCAGAAGAACTCCCGATATCTATCAGCCCGGAAGATGCCGGTATGGGACTATAATGTTCGCATATGAACGGATGATAATGATCTATGTACGTCTAGAGTTGATTACTTTATAGAGCGGACAAGTAGACGGACCTCTACTTATAATTTATCATGTTTTGGACTGTCAAAATATAAATTGAAACCAGGTTATAATCTCACAGATAGTGGACGAACTAATCCTATTTGTGATCATGATCACGGGACTCATCTCCATATGCCATATCGATATCATTCATCTTCGAGCGCCACGCCCAAATCATATAATTGGTAGAACAATTCAACGATCTGGTTTATTCATTTTAAGTCTCATGTCAGCACAATACGACGACAAGTTCGTACGACTGTGTCACAACTAAAGTTGACCAAAACTAACTGAAACGAATGACTGTCTAGGTGTCTTTTCTGCGGTATTACTAAAGGCAAGAACGGAACGGGATATCAGCACGAAAACCATTTACGCTGATCAGCGACTTGACAAGCAGGCGTAATCCCAGGCTTCAAGGTTTACGAGACAGATCATAGGTAAAAATGCGGTATAAGGCGTTTAAGAAACACCGATAACCTATCTTCCCCGTCAGTCTTGCCTTCCTGGACATCAATCCGGTATCCGATGGCCATACGTTGGTGATCCCCAAATGTAAGTAACGAATTCAACTTCGTACCCTACTCTTCATCAACATCAACCCGTGATAACCCATCAGCTCACGCCAAGACGCTTGGAGACCTTTCGGACGACTACCTCCGTGACATTGGCCCAGTCATCAAGAAGGTGGCTCTCATGACAGGCGCCGAGCAGTACAATATTTTGCAGGTACGTCTGCCGTGCTGTTCTTTTCCTGCCAAGGACATCTCAGACGACATACTACCGGTTCAGAACAATGGTAAACTAGCATTTCAGGTGAGCACGCCGTAACCGAATCCGAGGATTTAGGCAGAATTTGTTTGCTGATACAAGAGACGTAACTTCTCTGGAGCAGCACGTTGACCACGTCCATTTTCATGTGGTACCCAAAACAAGCGAAACAGATGGACTAATTATATCATTGGAAAACAACTGGCCCCAAAAGCAAGTCTCAAAAGAGGACTTGGCGGCTATACTAGAGAAAATGAAGAGCAGAGTTTGAAAGCCTTGACGCACATTCACATTTGCTGGTGGCTTGAATTCCCTGATGGCAATGCCCAGAACGTAGAATACGACATAGTACAAGCAAACGAGTAGATGGTACTGATACGTAAACGAGACGATTGACGTATCGTGGCAAATGCCAAAGCGTATATATTTAATCTAACTGTACAGGAGAAAGGTACTGGATATAACGCGATAGGCTCTAAAAAGGGTGTGCAGTTGCAACGTTTTCCAAGATCAATATTACATACATTCTCTACACATCTTACACATCTTGCATTGGTCGCATGGAGATCGTCGGCGAAGACATCTCTACTCCCGCGGGCTTTCGGTGATGCCCAAGCCCAACACCGTGAATGTGATATTGCTCCCCGACCAATTCCTTAACGGCGACCATAAGGTGGTCTAGGCGTGTCACGATGCCGAACACTGTGGATACACCGACGCAAAATATCCTAGAAGAATCTCGGAGTAAGAGCGTATCACAAAGACATCTTATGCAAATGACAACGTACAGATATTGTTCATTTTCCAGTGTCTCAAGGGTCAGCGTCCTTGGAAGTCCGTAGTCATCCTCCGACTCCTGATGGATAACATTTAGTCCATGGTGGCGGAGCATAAAGCGATCTAACAATGGACACGGCGTGATTTGCGGCAAAGGACTGCCTGTACGAAGAGAAAAAGATATCAAACCTATCGAAGTAGACATGACTATGTCAAAAAAATTCTCCTTGAACAGTCTCAGCCGTTACTCACTGATGACAGCAAGTACATCACCCTGAAAATCGGAATCTAACAAACGTGTCCGGCGCAAAAATGCATGGGACCATGCAGGCTCCAAGTGCTCGACAACGGACATCAAGTGGGAAAGAAGATATGCCACTTCACTGCACAAAAATGTGAGTAACTCTCGAACATCAAATTTTTAAAAAAAAGCCATACAGCTGTATCTCCACGATCTTCTGGTATCGCTCCGCCGGCCATTGTCCTCGGAGTGAAAACTAGATAGATACAGTCGCTTGTCAACAAGAATAACAGATCGTCGGGTCATCAATACCAACTTCATAAACGACATTCGTTCGCAAAACTATAGATCGACTGAGCTTGCTACGAATAGCCACTAGGCTCTGGACGATTTGTTGGACATCTTCTTGCCTGGGGATGTTTGCGAACGAGACTATTGAACAATAAATAGAACCGATCTCCGCTGATGTTGTTGCCAACGTCCTTCGCTGATAAGATCGAATTGTTGTGTTGGGTGGGAAAAATGAGAAAATACTACCAGGTAACTCATTCAATTACTGATGTCTCGAGTGAGATGTGGGTAGGAAGGCCAGCGAGCTTACCAAGCAGCGGTCACACCGATAGTAACGAGGAGGAAACGCCTCTGCAAAATCATGTATTTAACGGGAACCTCGAATACATCGTTGACAAGGACTCACCCATGACACATCGAAACCCCATCCAGGAGAAGAAGGGATATACAAGTGCGTATCTTGATAAGAATATCCTACAACCTGCAGTACCAGTACCGTCAATCAACAAAATCCACCCAATTTGTGAGGTATATAACGAACCAATGCCGTCGTTACAAAGAATATCATGTTGACCATAGGTGGGCCTGGCCAGTAGAGCCGAGCAAAGAAGAAGAATGGAAAACAGACGGCAAAGACGGCCAGCAGCCCGTATGGATTACCGTGACCAGAACCTGCGGAGACATACCTATCGATAATGATCATGAATAGCCAAAAGAAGGGCGGCGGAGAGCAACAAACCACATCACCATGCCCACGATTCCACCACAAAATGTGCTACCTATGCGAGCTACTAGGCCGAAGGTTGTATCTCCTCGAAAGCGCGCAAGCGTGAGCTGACCCATGAAACTGTGTATCTGTCAGGAAGGCTATATCATGTCTTTTACCAATAGCACTTACACAGCCCAAACAAACTTATTTTCTATATTACAGGAAGATGAGTAAAACACAACAAAAGCATAGCACAAAGCTCACTATATGCATATGATGCGGTGGACTTGAAGAACGAAGGCAAGCTCAAGAGGACTAAAGTGCAAAACAAAGCGCAATGTAAGCATATATGAATGTCTGTATAAGAAAAATCCTCAACCTGTCAAAGCTCCTGCCTTGACTGCGAATAATACGTTACCACCGCCCATATTGGTGAAGACACGGTATATTATGTTCATGATCATTTCGAGCGCATTGCGTGGGGGCAACGCATCTGGATCACGACGAGCTGCTTTTCCAAGGTCAGACATCCAACTAGGTTCCATCCCCGGAATGATTTCTATTCGGTACAGAGTATATACGTTAGCAACACTGGAACGAAAGGGATGAAGGGTGTACACATGCCAGGATTTTCGTCATCATCTTTTCCTAAATTCTCAGTAGCATCCCAATTGCTCCAGGAAAGAAGTTTTTTCAGGGGCATGGATGGTACCCAAAGCCTATTGCGCTTTCTATGTTGCTCGAGCTTGATGATCTCATCGAACTATGACAAGAAAGAGGGTGTGAATATTGATAAGAAGGATGATCACGTTATTTACCAATGCAACCAAAAGTATCGAAAACTGCATGAGATGATACTGGTAGACATAACAATGAAAAAGATATCTGTGAGGTGGAACTTCGTTGTCAATTGATGCGCCATCATAGTCTGCGCTCAGGGCAGGTCGATATGGATCAAGGACAATGTTTCTGGCAATAAGCAGTGTAAGCATACTAACGCATATGTAATATCATGATAAACCTTTTATCCTTCCTAAAATCATCAAGAACGCGGGAAAGCTCATCTCGTATCCTTTCGTAATTCTGAACACCCCCCTTTCGTATGCGTTCTTTCTCGCTTCTGCTAACCCAGAAATCGAAACGATGGTCTCGAACATGGTCCAACCATGACTGCACACCCTCTAGCCCGCTCCCACAGACCTCCAGAAGTTGGGCGCAGCTCGCATTCAGCAGCCCAGTCGCCTGATCAGTGAAACGATTAGACTCGGGGTGTGAAAGGTGGGAGACTTCAAGATTGAGGTATCTCTGCGACTCAAAGACACCAACCGCAAATTCAGACCTCGGCGTCCGCGATAACGCCAGGTGGAGAAGAGAACTATGTAGCATATTGTGGTGGTGAGACTGGGAGCGGTGGTGTGGGTGGCGATGGTGTATGTGAAAGGGCGAGCTTGAGTGGGCGTGATGGTGATGTCGCGACCGAGCTGCAGTGCTTTTATGTCGTCCCGTGAGATGAGATGCGTGATCAGGAGTATGTTGTAGATTATCATGATGGCTTGCATGGGAGTGTCGATCAGGTGAGTGTGGCCTTGATGGCATCGGTGTCACGCCAATGGGAGTAGCCGGTTTTGACGGAACAGGGGTAACAGGAAACTTCTCTCGTGTTGGGTCTATGAGACTATAATACATACCCATTCCATTTGCTCGTACAGCGATCCTTCGTATCAACTGATGAACCGTAGTGTAGTCCGTAGGTGCGAAGCGGCCGAATATGATATCCATCTTTAAAAGGCGCGCTGCTGCTGCAAGTGGTGCGAGAGCACCCTCCGCAGCGTCGATTGCTGTCACCAGTTCAGAAGGCGAGAAGTCGGCGGAGGTGACACACGCTTGAAGATAATCACGATGTAATCGTATCGTGGTATGGAGAGGTGCCAGAACACCTTGTAGGCGAGCAGTGAACAACGCGGATATTGAAGAAGGAAATACAAGTATAGATAGGACTAATGCTATCGCCGAGTGAAAGGCAAGCGGAAGAATAATGACTTCTCCGATCTTCAAACAAAAGTCAGCTTGGCACTAGGCATTGAAATATATATACTTGCAGTATAGTAGGGGTAAGGGAAGAGAGACCCTGTGGTAAGTGAGATATCTGGGAAACGTTGAGTGATGTTTTAGCGAAAGATGTATACAACGTGCATTAATAGCTCACCGATACATATGCTTCCAAAGATGGCACCAAAAAGAAACGGCCCGGGACCTTGTCGAGCTTTCACAAAAAGGAGAACCGCGATGCCAACGAAGATGAAAACTCCGTGTATAACTGTGGGCTATACAGTGATATGTTTACAAGGTCCCGAAACAAAAATAGGGAGAACTCACCGCAGCTTCAACATACTGACCAGTGATGATACTAGGCAGACTAGCGGTAGGCAGTATCTCCGATCGAACCAGGCTTCCGAGCTTCAACGCTAGACAACTCCAGCTGAAAGGGAAAGTAAGAAACATTCAGCTACCCAAAGAAAACGTGCTCACGCCCAGCCAGCTGCAACGAATGCCAAGATGAATAACTCTCGTTCGAGGACAGCGATAAAGGGGTCATTGGGAGGCGAGAGAAACGAAGCTTTAAGGAAAATCAAGTCAGTGTCGTCGTTGAGGATTAATAAATAGCCCATTGACATACCTATGATGATGAGAAAGCTTGCCTATGGGATATAAGCATATCAAGGGTTGAAATAGGAGACGATGCACCTGTCCCATTATATTCTCTGTCTTAGGAATAGCAAACAAAAGAGCAGATACCCATGCGGCGAGTGCACTGCGAATTACTGGCTTCCACCTTGACCACGTCGAATTCTTGGGGATCCACTGCATGGTAGCTGGTAGTTTCAGGTTGAATCGAGAGGGCTTATCGCTGCTCCTGCCTGGTGAACTAGACAATCCGCTATGAGAACGCTTCTCTTCCTCGCTAGAGCCGCCCAATGTCCCTCCATCTGGCAACTGAATGCGAGGGCGAGCGATCCGACCATGCTCCCTGCCTGCCCTATCGACCCCGTTGCGGCCAAAATCTTCGCTATGGTCTTCGCTAAGATCAGTCTTTGTGCGAACATGAGCCTTGGACGTGTCGTCGTCGTTAAATGCAGCCATTTCTGACTCTGACGGAGGTGCTAACATGGTGGTGATAACAAAAGCACCTTCGCATTTAAGAATGAAACCAGATGCTCCATCGCCGGATCCGTTCAGCCGACAGAATCCAGATTGACGTCGAAAGTTGGTCGAAAAGGAAGGATTGTCGCGGAGACCGAAAGTGTCAGCTAGATCTGTTCGGATCGGATCGGACCTGGGTTAGTGTTCTTCAGACTCCAAGAAACAGCCGACCACTTGGACATGGCAACTGCAAAGCCAGAGGCAAAGAAAAGGCCCATACATAACCCAACATCCGAGAAAACGCGCCAGGTCTCTCAAAAATCGTCAAAGTCTACACGCATACGGCCATCCGCATATTACACCGCAAAACCCAGTTCCCCATCTCACAAGACGGCGAAGCCTTATCTCTCGTCTTCGCAGCTTCTCGATCTCTGGACGATATGGAGATACGATCAACGCCTACCATCAAAAACGTCTCGGAATGCTTGGGCGCTCAGTCGAGGTGCAGACCCTGAAAAAGTGGATACGTGGTTCTATCGCAGGAAAACAGCCGCAAGGAAAGCCGGTAATCCGTTATCAGACGAAACGTACGAACTACCGCTAGATGCACCACAAGAAAAAGAAAAAACAGCCAAGGAAGAACACCTCTCCACAGTTACTCACGTTTTCTCTGTCCCCTCTTCTGACACCGTCTTGCCGTCTTCTAGCCCCAAATTTCATTCGTCGGCTGTAATGGGTCCATCCTCTCCTACAAATGCATCGGATTATGTCTCCTCTTCTCATTCACTGTCTAGTTCAAGCAATAACCGCTTTAGAGCGCATTCGCTTGGCGCATATAGCCGCGACTCGATCGAGCCCTCCACACCTTCCACAGTCACGCAAAGAAACAGCACGAGGTCACCTTCTTGTGAACAATACAAATACCGAACGAGCCTTACTTCCGTCGATTCCGGTGTTTTGTCATCGCCTATTGTCCCTGCTCTTACTATATCCTCTCAGTGGACGTGTAACGAATCGAATCAAGCTGGAGAAGCACCTGAATCTCTACCTAAAGATATTCCGCGTCTGTTTTGCAACCAGGGCGACGATGCTGTTTCTGACTTTACCTGCTACCTGTGTACCTCTATTTCAGGTGATATTTCGCACCCCATGAAGATCTTGTTTCAAGTCTTTCTATCGTTCTGCTCATGGTGCTTGATATTTTTCAGATTCTGGCGCAGATCCATCATCGCCGTCAAGTTCTGCATTTTCATCCATAAACAATATCAATCCGTCTTCCGATAAAATGGTTCCCACTTACATTTCTCCCACTTATGTACCACTTCAAAGTAATCCAGACTCGCTAATGGAACTCTCTGCAATCCCATTTCTCTTCCGTTCCCCTGATTTGATATCTTCTCTTACTTCCGATGAGCAAGTTGGGCATTCTCCCGTCCTCCCTCCTCTCAACTGGCACGATCTTGAAGAATACCTCGAGACCGTCTTTCGCGAAAGTCATTTGCATCTCCCTCGATCAGACAAGATAAATCTCCGCCTACTGGACGTCACCGAATTATCTCAGGAGGATCTGCCATGCTCAGGGCTCGATGCACTGGACCAAGAGGATGAGGAGTAGGATCTTACACTTAAGGGACTCTAGAATGTTTTCTTACAATTGGTTTCCCTCAAATGTGCAATTTCTTTAGCGTACATGTAATGCATATGCAAGCAATGGGTGTAACTGGAATGAACTGCCAGAGAGTCGACCGCCTGCAAACCTTAGGGGCGACGGGCCGGTGATCCGTTTACAATCGAGCGTCGGGAGTCTATCGCCGACCAATCGGTTCTTCCAGCTTTTTGTCTTTCTTTCTTTCGAACGCACTATATTCTCAATGTCGACGACGAAGCACTTGCATACACTTTGGATTCTGGATCGAAGATACCGTACTCACCAATAGCCAATCGCCAGCACCGCATCTCTATGGCGAACAAGATTTAAAAAACGAGCTCATTAAATTGAACAGAGATGTACATTCGACAGCTCGTACTGGTACTGGATCACGAAGGTCACGGTGACACATAAACTTCAAAACGCAAAAAATGGAGTGCAATTCATTTCATTGACAGCAAGTACAGCCAAAGTTTTTCAAGCCCAGAATTCTATGTGGTACACAGGAAGAAGATCGCGACGTTGGAAAACCGGTAACCTATGCCTCGACTACAACGACTATCTTCCCATTCGCCTCTCCCGATTCCATCACGTTCTGTGCCTCCCTGATTTCACTAAACTGAAAAACCCTCGTTGGCTTTACGTCGAACTTGCCCTCTGCGGCATCCCTTATGATCTGTGCCAATGGCACATCCGACAGAGGGAACTGCGGTGTTCCAAACATGAAACTCCCAAAGAGACTAAAGTGCACACCACTCGCCATCTGCGTCAACGGGTCAAAGTCTTTCACCGGCGCGAGTCCACCCAACCATCCAGCATGGCATACGCGGCCTCCGCGTCGGGGAATATCGATCGAGTCGAGTAGAACGACGTTGCCGACGAGGTTAAGGACTGCATCAAATTCTTTCTTCTCTGGAAGTCTAGCAGCCAGACCAGCTCCTTCAAGCTCAGCACGTTCTGCCCCCAAATCCAACAAGCCTTGGAAACGGTCCTCGTTCCTCGTTGTCGCAACAACCTTGGCACCCACTGCGACTGCCAGCTTCACCGCTGCCTGGCCCAGCGAACTCGTTGCCCCTCGAATCAACACCTTCTCGCCCTTCTTTACCTCCAGATTACGGAAAAGACACGTCCACGCGGTAGCAAATGTCTCTGGGATCGCGGCTAACGTTTCCCAGCTAAATGGCAGGCCGCTCTTGTCTGTAGTGAGTGGGACGACATTATGTAATGGGGCAACCGTGTACTGGGCATAGCTTCCATTCCTTGTCCTGCCCAGTCCACCCATGAGAGCTGCAACATTCGTCCCGATGGGGTACTCGCCGCCTGGTGCAGCTGCGACCGTGCCGACACACTCAATGCCAGAGACAGGTGCGGCCTCTGCCCACTCTCCTTTGCGCATATGTACTTCTGCGTGATTAATCCCAAAGGCGCGGATACGAATGAGAACTTCGCCGTGCTTCGGGATCGGGACAGGGAGTTGCTTGTAGACGAGGGCATCAAGGCCCCCAAAGTGGTCAAGGACGATGGCATCCATCATTGGAGTAGAAGTAGACATCGCGATGGAACTGGATTTTTCTAATGCAAAGATGTAAGAGTTGACAGGTTGATTTGCGCTGTATTGGGCAATTCTTTAGATTCAAGGTCGATTCAAGCACTTCGAGTTTGCTATGGTAAGGAAGACAATTTTACTTGGATCTCGAGACGCCGTTTATATGTATATGCCATCTTTCCAGTTCTCTTCTCTTGACCAGAAGACTGTTTCAGTCGCTTGTGACTTGACTCATTCTGCTTCATCAGGCTCGGCGTTGTGAACGCTAGTATCTAGGATTGCTGATAAAGACTGTCATCTGTCTATAGAGTTGGTGACCTAAGAGTTGACATTCACCCTAGCTTGCTTAGTAAGTTAGTAAGAGTTATAACCATGTCGGTCATCGTCTAATCGTGACCGATGTCATACCCGCAGCTGGCTAGTCACAACTTAACAGAACTGAATGTCGAACCTTCATGTGAGCAATTTTGATTTCTCAGAGGATGTCAGATGTTACCTTTCTAGTGGCAGGGCCACTTCGGGGATCATTACTGTTCCATATCATGTACGTATAATCTGCAGGATTATGGTCACATTCAAGTTGACACCTATTTTGACGTCGTCATTAGATTATTGTCGATTTTCCTTGTGCACCTATGTCTAAGTCTCTGCGTGGTTCAATGTTCCCATGTCCGATTATCGCCTTTCTGGAGCGTTTGTAGGCTTTCATCAGGTCTTGGATCTCGAATGAATCATCAATTCCCAGCGGTTCAAGCTCGAGTGGAGAGGATATCTCGCATTCAAGCTACTGTTCCCACCACTTGCATATATCAGGACGTGGCAAGGGTTACGATCCGTAAACCTAAACTGTGGCTATTCCGTTATGAGTGCTCACCAGCAAAAATATGTTTTGTATGAGACTCACTTCCAACAGTTGTTTAGCTGCGAGACTTCGAACTTTAAGGAATAATAGACTGGTCTTGGCTTCTTACAATGTATCTAAACTTTGATTCTCGGTTCGAAGGTGAGAGTGCTATTCTAGGACGTTATCTACCTTTTTCAGTCTTCAAACCATATCACTCTATTCTCGAAGCCACAGACGTCCTCTTTAAGAGACGTTGTTTGGCTTTATGAAGGGTTGAGTTAATTCTATCGCTCTTCCCCTAGGACAATTTGATTCAGTCAGAAATGCCTGTCCCTAGTGTGCTTCTTCCGGAATGCCCAAGATACTTCCCTCCTCCTCCAACTACAGAAAACTGTACGTCGTGTCTTTATCTCTACGCTCTTTGTCGATGACCTCGCGCTCGGTCTTGTCCAGTGGACTTTGCGGATCTTCCTACCATAGACCTCGCCAGGGCACAGACTCCTGAAGGACGTGCTGAGTTATATCCCCAGGTTCGCGATGCACTCCATACCCATGGCTTCATGTATGCCATCAACCACGGGTACACGCAAGCCCAGGTATGTAGATAAGGACGTACTGGATGCGATACTCCACTAACTCTGCAAAGCGTGACCGCCTCTTTGATATAGCAGACGTGCCATTCACTGGGGTGCCTCCAGAAGAGATGAAGACGTACAGAGCAAGTATTGATAAAATAGGGGAGTACCAGGGGTTCAAAGCCCGTGGGCACTGGGTGAGTTTATCGTCTTATCGCGCCAACTCGTCATGAATCGCTGATGGGGGTATTTCCATTAATGGTTGCAGTATCTTGATAGCGAGAATAAAGTTCTCGACCAGGCTGAGCAATATGGGAGTAAGCTCGCAATTTGTATGGCTGATATGGGTCTTTTTTGTAACAGCGTTTTTTCTTCACTGGCAGTCAATAGGAACGTTTATCTGCGTCCTCATCCTCAGGCATTGCGTCCTTTTCTCCCAGAGCTTGACGCATTCGCTCGGCATAATCATATAAACGTCGTTTATCCCATTTTACAGTAAGCTGCGGAGTACTATCAAGCACACATCCCATAAATTTTTATATTACAGGCTTTTGGCTCTCTGTCTTGAGCTGCCAGAAGACACTCTGATAAAGAAGCACACATTTGATGCAAATGGGGCTTCAGCTAGTAAATGTCTTCTCGTAATCATCGTCCTAGCACAATGCTGACCGTCATCGTTAACACAGTGCGGTTCATCAAATAGTTAGACTCTTGCTTTTTACTGGTCAATGTCAACCAACTAACGTATCGGCAGTTATCCACGCTCAGAGGAAGAAGAAAAACTAACTAACCACGTGTGGCATAAAGGACATACGGGTCGGTAACATCTTCCGCTCAGTAAACTGACAGTGAATTTACCTGTCAGCACACTACGCGTCGTTTAGATTTTGGAAGCGTCACCATATTATGGAGTCAATCAGTCGGAGGTCTACAAATTCTCTCCAAAGATAAAACATGGAAGTGGGTGCGGCATATAGATAATGCGCTAGTAAGGATTCTATGTGTATCACTTGTTGCCTATCGTTTTTTGTTTTGTTTTCATTTCCAGGTAGTCAACACGGGCGATACAATGGAATTTTTGTCAGGTGGATTCTTCAAACCTACTATTCATCGTGTTGTACAGCCCCCGAAAGACCAGCATACCTACAAACGCCTTGGAGCCTTCTATTTCACTATACCAAGCGATGATGTCAAGCTGGTCCCCTGCGTAGAAAGTCCAGTGTTACAGCGAGTAGGAATAGAGCGCAAATGCGCGGACGAGGATGCACCTCTCGCTGGGAATTGGCTGAAAGAAAGAAGTGTTGCATTTGGCCGTACGGAACTTATGAAAGGAAAAGAGGAAGGGGTGGAGGAGGAGCTGATTAGCGGTATTGTTGTAAAGCATTACAACTGAAGCTGCAGCGATGCAAAGAATGTAATGACCTTGGTTCTGACAAGAAATTTCTCAGCAGAACTATTCCATGTGGGCCTAATGCGCCTTATCTTGGAGAAGATAAGATCAACGACTCGCTTGTTTGGCCTTCATGTGACTCCTGTGATACTTTCAATGCCCCATGACTCCGTGCTCTCCGGCTCAGTACCTGCTTCGAGAACCATGGCGGAAAGAAAAAGATGCTATTCTGGAGAGTTACTTACCTCTTTCAGTTTTCAGGTGAACTGTAAGTCCCAATATTTCCACTTCAAAAGGTCTGATTGTATGAAGAGCCGAGTGCTTTTGTTGTCCGCTAAACGCTTCCTCTAGGACAAGTCGACTCAACTGGTAATGCCTGCTCCCTGTGTGGCCTCTCCAAAATGTCCGAGATACATCCCTGCACCTCCAACTGAAGAGAAATGTAAGTTGCACCTTTATTGAGATTATCCATCGCGATTTACCTTGATATATAATATTCGTTAGTGGACTTTGCCGATCTTGCGATCATTGACCTCGCCAAGGCACAGACTCCCAAAGGACGTGCAGAGATATATCCGCAAGTTCGCGATGCCCTACGGACTAATGGTTTTATGTACGTTGTCAACCATGGATACACACAAGCTCAGGTATGCAGGATGAAGACTTGTGGGATGCAACGCAATGCTAATCCTGTAAAAGCGCGATCGTTTCTTCGACATAGCAGACGTACCATTCTCTGTGGTACCTCCAGAGGAGATGAAAACATATAGAGCAACCATTGAGAAAGTGGGGGAATACCAAGGGTTCAAGCCCCGTAGATATTGGGTGAGGCCTTCACTTCGCTATCCAATTCTTGTGTGTATCATTGATAGGGTTCAATGATTGCCAGCACGTCGATACCGAAAATAAAGTCCTTGACCAGATTGAGCAATACGGAAGTGGGTTCATGGTTTATCTTGTTAATCAACACTTTTATAAGGTCACAGCGTTTGATGATAGTCAACAGAAATGTGTATTTGCGTCCTCATCCCCAAGCACTACGCCCTTTCCTCCCAGAACTCGATGCATTTGCAAGGCACAATCATATCAACATTCTTCATCCTATCCTAAGGTGAGTAACGAGTAACTTCCACACATACCTGCTAATATGGCGATTGTAGGCTTCTAGCTCTGAGTCTCGAGCTTCCAGAGGACACGCTAGTGAAGAAACACACATTTGATGCGAACGGAGTAACAGCCAGTATGTGTCTCCTCCCACCGTGGGTTTGAAACGAGGTTGAATACTATCTGTTGACGCTAGTGCGGTTCATCAAATAGTGAGATCCTCACTTTGTAACTGTGCACTTGTACCTTAGAGGGTTGACATAAATACCTACAGCTATCCACGATCTGAAGAAGAAGAGAGGCTAGCTAACAATGTATGGTTCAAGGGACATACTGGTCAGTGAATCACATTTTAGTGGGTACATCATAGTCCACGCACTACCAACCTATCCAACTGCATTTAGATTACGGGAGTGTCACAATTTTATGGAGCCAGCCGGTTAGTGGTCTGCAGATCCTCTCAAAGGATGGAAAATGGAAGTGGGTACAGCATATGGACAATGCCCTGGTAAGGACGTGACATGCTCTTTGCCCTGAATCCATGCTAAAGTCATTGACTTACAGGTAATCAACACGGGCGATACAATGGAGTTCTTATCGGGTGGATTCTATAAACCCACTATCCATCGTGTTGTGCAGCCTCCCAAAGATCAACGCAGTTATAGCCGTCTTGGAGTCTTCTATTTCTCTCTTCCGAATGATGACGTCAGGTTGCTTCCGTGTACTGATAGCCCGGTGTTGCAGCGAATAGGTATAGAACGAAAGTGTGCAGACGAAGATGCACCCCTTGCTGGGAATTGGATGAAAGAAAGGAGTGTAGCGTATGGTAGGAAAGAGCTCAAGAAAGGAAAAGAGGAAGGAGTAGAAGAAGAGTTAATCAATGGAATTGTTGTAAAGCATTACAACTGAAATTGTAGGTATTACAAACTCAGTGTGCGGCGCTTTGCTGTTAGGACACAAATAAGAACTTGGTAACACTCGATGAAAATGGCATGCAGGGAAGGTAAGTAAGGGCGATGAAATTGCAGCAGATTACAATTTTTCAGTGTCTAATATCGACTATCATATATACATTAGGTCTGCAATTGGAGACTAGTATACTAATATGATGCAAGAAACATTATTCCAAGTGTTGTAAATATGATAAATAAGTCTGGAATGATTAAAGTATTGAAAACTAGATGAGTCCTTTGGATGTGTTTATGCACAGCTTTGCTGTAGTCCAAGTCCAGTTCATGAATTTGAATGATGCCGTTCACCAGTGCCCCCGTTTTGATCCAACAAAACCAAGTTCGAGTGAGTCCTCAACTCCTTCGGGCTTGGATTTACCACAAAGTCCTACGAAACCGACTCGATCGTAGACGCGCTGTGCGCTATTGGCGTGACCCACATACAACACAACGCTCTCTTTCCCACAATCGAAAAGTCTGATCAAGGATTCGGATAAGGATCCTATTATTACCACGAAAGAATGAACACGTACCTGCGCGTCACATAACGGACAAGATGTTCCGCGAATCCCCGTCTCCGCCACTTAGGGGTGGTGTATACCTTGGTGATTGCAGAGACATCGACGGAGCTACGAGTAACAGCACAGATGGCAGCTATGTCATTTGATGCCTCGTATACCCAGATCTGTCCTTTTGATATCATCTCGCACGCTTCTACTTTGGCCCGATCGATGGTCAGAGGGAAGTATATCTAAATGAGGAGTCAAAGTCAGATCGATTCATCCAGATTGCTGATCAAAGTAGACTAGACTTACTGAGTCATCGGCGAATTCCTTGCAGAGCTGAGCAACGGAGTCAACGTCCGCGAGCGTTGCTCGACGGAGAACATGCCCTTTCGAGAGTTGATATGCAGACTCTTGGAATGTATCGGGAGTGCAAAACGTGAAATAAGCAGCGTAGAAAGGTTCTGGCTCTACGACAAAGCCTGTGATATCTGACCAGTGTTTTGCAAAGGTCTTGACTAATGAAGTCAAACCAAAGACCGAAAAGACACGTTCGGGGTGAACGCGGGTTAGAAGATGATGGATGAGAGCCGTTATGCGGGGAACAAGCCAAGTAGCAGACTTTGAAGAGGAAGTGTAAGGTGTCCATAAGAAGACTGGGTAGTCGCCGAGAGTATTGGTAGTGCAAGACAAAATGAGGTCTAGCGTAGGAGCGGACCCGGTAGCGGATGTAGACCAGACAGTGAGCCAGAATGAGTCATCGTAGTTTTGTGAAGTAGATGGCGAATTGGGGTAGACTTCAGAGTCAGTGATGAACTGGCATCCAGTCAAAGCAGCCTCAGTGCTGATTCTCTTCAAAGCATGTGCGAGAATGATATTGGAAGAACGCTCGTGGCGGCGAAGAGTGGGGTATGCGACTGATAAGAAGTCACCGGCAGAATTGTGCTGGACAACTCGAATGGACTGAGAGTTGAAGTTGAGACCAGGCATTGGAGATAACTAAGCAAGTAGATGAGAGGATATAGATTGAATGAGGACATCCATGGCTCCTCGTGTTAGCATTATATATACCAAGACTGAGCAGTATTGAGATGGACGGGAAGAAAGTCGGTTGCCATGCTGTAGAGGATGTGACTCGAGTTGCTGCAAGCGCAGCTCTCAGGAGATGCGTTTCCGCATCGTCAAAGTATACAGCAAACGGAGCAAGCCTGAACGGACACCGATCTGTGACTGGAGGCTAAGCGATAGACACAATGGAAAGATTCCTCGATCACTTACACTGCAGTACAGATAACCATTTGTCAGCGTGAGTCAATTGCAACGTCGTCGGGTACCATTTTGCCATCGCAGATGCTCGCTGACAAGGATGTGCGAAAGTGAAACGAAGACTCGGAGGATGAACTCCTCCTGCGCCTAAGCGAATGTTCAGACGCTCGTCATACAGGTATTCCCAGCACATCCGAGTCAGACCGCATCGACAGCAAGTAGAGCATTAAACGCGCCTTTTCTTTCTTCCGCTGGCTGTCCACTGCAATGCACCACTTGTGTCATGAATATGAAACGCCTTAAAGCGACCAGATCTGATATTTCTGCGTTTGATACTCAAGTTTGGTCCTGAAAATCTCTACGCGCGACCGCTTTCTCACTTTGCCAGTGGTCCGGATCCTAAACTTGTCCTAAACAACACCGCATTTCCCTAGGTTCCTTCAGCCGACCTAATGGCATTTCCTTATGTTCAATTCCTTAGAGTGTCCATTACCGTAACTTATTGGCAAATTGCATTCTTCAATTTACAGATTCTACAAAGTATGCTATGCCAGCTGTGGTACTCTTCCATATCTGTCATCGTGACGCAGCGCTGATGAAAACACTGTTTAAACGCCTCGGATCCGGAGACTGTCTAATTTGGACTGATGGGAGTCACTGGACACCATGACTGACCTGATTGCCAGTGGTTGATGTCAGCTGATACTGTTCTCGATGACTGCTCAGCTATTGTTCAGCTTCAAACTTCATATCAGTCGATGTTGCAACAGCCCTGGCGAACTGACTCAGTGACTGAGATCATTGCCAGCAACTGGTTAGTCTGAGCAATCCGCTTTGATCACTCATCGGTACATGTAGCTATACCCACTGGCATATAACCAATGAATACCTATCAGGCGTTCAAGAACGTTCAAGTCTAGTAAAAAATCACGCAGTACCTCTTGTCAGCTCGGTACCGAGGGTATGACTATGATAGGATAGGTGACGAGTCAGTTCCTTATACCTGCTGTTCACCAATCGATAGCAATCAATTCACTCGCAGCTCGGGCACTGCATCGAGTCAGTTCAAATTTCCATCATCGCACAGTTACATTTTGACTGCGTTCGCTGCCAGCATTGATGTCAGTTTACCCACCTCTACACATTCATTCAGTGCGCTATCTAGTACTGATATGCAATTGGTTGCAATGATGACGTGTTTTGACCAAGATACTACTAATGACACATTGACACAACAGGGACGGATCAGGTCCACAAAACTGCTGTGCAAAACTGTCCGCGTCGATGTACCTGGCAATAGCTCATGATAGTCACATATACTGATCAAAAGTTGATTAGTTGATCATATCCATGAATTAGGGAAGTATGAAGTTTAGTGGCTTACGCACTTTCATTTGCTATGATAGCAACAGATCGAAGTCAATGCTAATTTCTGCCAGGATACGTGTCTAGTTCCCTGTAAGATTAAATCCATCCTCCACAAACCCATGTAGGCGATGTATTATGTCCATATCGACAAGCCGTGCATCCTTTTGAAACGAAGATGAGTCAAGACATCGACAAAAAGCAAACGTAAAGAAGAGGACGTACATCTCGTAGTCTGATTATGGTAGGAACAGACTGGATCTTCCAAGGCTCTCCGCGAAATTGATTGGAAGGTGTTTTCCAGCTGCATATTTGCAACTTGAACTTTTCGACGATCAGTACCGTCGCAGTAACTACTTACTCTGCCTTTTGACCAACGTATACGATTAGTGCAGAAGGGCCATCATTGTTTCCGAAAACACTCTGTACAGTGTCATCAACAGCAACGCAGTCCTGCACAGATATTATATCAACGGTTTCGTTCTGATCCATCAGAACGTACTGGGCACCATAGTTTTCCATCTGTTAGAGATGAATAGATAACTAAGTAGTCTCCTGGCACCGATTTCAATGAATTGGGGTCAGAAGGGAAGTCGACGAAACGCAGGGGCATTGTTTGGTGGGGTACGGTGAAAACCAATTTATTCGTAAAGTCCAGTTACAAGATGGTTCAGAGATGCTGTGAGCGATTATTCGCCCACTGTGGCAAGTCACGTGCTAATCACGCATAAGCGCGTCTCGTGGTAAAGTGCGGTCAGAGTCCCTTCCGCGTTTTCCTTTTACTCCCATCTGCAGCCTGCAGAGTCATCTTTACTCCCTTGTCACTGGTTATACTAATATGCCAGTGTTCGATAACATCAAATATCACCTCCCTTTGTCTCTTCCATCTGACCGTCGCAATGAATTATCTAGTGTTCTCGATATCAATGGCGCGAGGCTTGTCTCCTTAGACCGCGCAACTCATGTCATAACAAATTCGAGCCAATTTGAGGGCTGGCAAGATATCGCAGATGGCGTTTTTGTTATCTCAGTGCGTATGGACCCTCTCTTATACCTACATATCTCATTCACGTTATGCAGGACAAATGGGTTGACCGATCCATCATTATGGGTAAATCTCAGCCGTTCGTGTTTCTATTCGCCTCTACAAACATATGCAAGGATCTCACAGTTAATTGGTACAGAGAGCAATACTATTCCGCTGATCCCGCCATGATATTTTCTGGAATAGTGGCTTGTGCTACCGATGTTCGTAGCTGCTTCTAATATTCAAACGGATTTCACTTACCTTACCCTTATGGCATAGCTTCCAGCCACAGACCTCGAGGTTCTTTCCGCAGGTATAACCGCGCTAGGCGGCCAATGGCGGGGTGGCCTCACGCGGGATGTGACTCACCTTTTTGCCCTCTCTCCGGAAAGCGACAAGTACAATACTGCTATGCATTTCAAGGACCAGACAAAGATGATAGTCCTTTTACCCCATTGGTTCGATGATGCTGTCAGACTAGGTTTCGGTACTTTGCCAACAGCAGAATACGAGTGGCCCGACCCAAGAATTCTGAAACCGTCGTCTGAACTTGTACTGAGCGATTCCGACGCTGCTAAGAAACTGAAAAAGATCAGCTCTGAAAAGAGGTCGTTATACAAATCTGCGTTAATGACACCAGGGAAGGACGCTTCATCAGTATCACCTTCTCGCGACGTATGGCAAAAAAGACGGATTCTGCTGAGCCCGAGTCTAGAGTTATCAGGCGGCAGACGCGAAGCTGTGGAAGCTGGAATTCGACGAGCCAATGGTGTGGTCGTAGAATTTGAGGCGCAGGGTGGTGATGGAGACATAGAAGAAGAATTTCGCAAGGTTGACGAGACGGACATTCTCATCACGAGGTACCGAAGTGGTGTTCCGTACTTCAGGGTGAATCTTTCTTTTCTTCATCATGCAGTGTACTCGGTAACGAGCCCGTTAACAGGCTGCTAGAGCAGGGAAGACCATAGGAACCCTAAGTTGGCTTTTCCATGTGGAATCCAGTGGTACTATGTCAAGGCCTACCGATCAACTTTTACATTACCCCATACCCAAGAGACTCATTGAAGGATTTGCTTCACACGTAAGTTTGGTTAGTTAGAGTGCTCATGCCCAACTCAGCTTCCGTAGGAAATCACTATCACAAACTATACAGGCGACTCCCGAGACTATCTGAAAAGGTTGATATCAGCAATGGGGGCCAAGTTTACCCCTAGCATGTCTACAAGCAATACTATTGTCATAGCTGCATAGTGAGCCTATATCCCTTCTCTCTTGCGAGAATCAGCGAAACTGAAACTTATAACGCCAGCATATCTGGAAACAAGACAACCAAAGCTCGTAGTTGGTCGATCCCTGTAGTCAATCACACATGGCTCGAAGATTGTTTTGTGCAATGGAAAAACCTCACTGTTGGACTCGAAAAATACATCGTTTTCCCCCACGGCGTCGATTTTGCCCAGATACTAGGGGAGAAGGGTGTTGGAAAGGTGATTCTGGAAGATATGGATATTGACATTGAAGAAGATTTAGAGGCGGAAGCTGCTGCGAAATATGCTGTCCCGAAGTCGACCTCATTGGAGAAAGGAAATGGTTTATCCAAACCACCGGCACATGAGCATCTGGGTGAAACAGAGACGAGTGCAAAGGATGCTAGGGAAGTGGAAGAAGTTGTAGCTTTGCCAGATGATGATGGTGATGTTGTGATGAGGTCCGAGCCGACTCGAGAGGTGACCAAAAGTTCAAAGAAGGGCAAAAAGAGGAAAGAGGACGCAATGGATATTGATGATAATGAAGACGAAGCAAGGCCTCCTTCACCTAAGCCACGATCACGCAAACCACGGGTTTCCTCTGCTAAGAAGAAAATACCTGCTGCGGCCGGCGATGGTGCAGATGAACCACGGGAGGAAGAGGACGGAGTTTCCGCCAAGAAGCCACGGCGCAAGTTGATTAGACGAGCTGGACAGATGCGGAATTCGGGGAACATGTTAGATGCAGAACATATCGAGTCGACTGACGAGCCTGGTCCCTCCTCCAAGGCTAAACCCTCGGAACGGAACGCTGACAATGATGAGTCAAGCGGTCAGGATTTGCGTCCTATAGTTCATAAGCTCACACAAACAACCATACGGCAGCCTGAACAAACACAAACAGAAGATGAAGAGTCCGACCACGATGCCGAACGTCTAGCCTCGTCGCCCCTCAAAGGAAAGGCTCGTGACAACGCAAAAAAGCCGACCGGTTCACCTCAGAAGCTACAAACACCGAAAAGGACAGTTTCTGTATTGGTGCCCTCACTCCCCAAGGACTATCCTTCTGTTTCGAACTCTGCTAAGAAAAATAGTAATTTGGGACGGACGGACTCGTTGCGCGTCGAAGCAGACGAGGCAGCGGTGGGCCTGTCACCCAAACGCGGTCGTCCATCCAAGCGGCCTTGTGAGGAAATACCGGAGCATGGAGTTACCGAAACGCCTCGTCATGGAGGAGGGATTCATGAGACGCCTTCAACGCTGGCTCGATCGCTGTCTAAACGTTCTGCTGCTTCAAAGGCTTCTACAAGATTACGTAACGAAATCATGCCAGACGTTGTAAACTTCGAGCGAGAGCGAAAACATGCCAAATCGAAAGACAAGGATAGGGCTGCTGGAGAGAAAAGAAAGAAGAGAGCCTCTGACGCTGCTGATTTGGACCAGAGTTCTGAGGGCGAAGAAGAAGTGCAAAACAATAAGAGGCAACGTGTGGAGACTAATGAAACACAGAGGAAACAACGAAAAGGGGGAGATGAAGAGGTGATCCAAGTTGCCAAGCCACCCAAGTCAGCGAAACAGACGAGGGTAGCCGTTGAATCTGAAGACGAAAGTAGCGGTGAGGACGAGCAGATAACGAGTAAGAAGAAGGCGACAGTATCAACCAAACCACCCAACCCGAAGGGTGCCGGCATAGAAAACCAGGGGAAGAGGTAGCGTTTCCCACATCCCCTTTGTTTATCCCGTTATTGACACAGTACACGACAGTCGGGGATCTGAGGCCAAAGTGATTAAAATGATGACTACTCAAATCAGCTTATCGGACGACGTGATCAAGGCAAGTTTTCAAACGTGTTGTGTGATCTGTGCACCAACTGATATATTCTCTCCTAGCGGCTAGGAAAACTTGGTGTAAAAACGACGACCAGACCAAACGAGTGTACACACCTACTCACGAAAAACATAGTACGCACAGAGAAGTTTCTTTGTGCGATGGCCGTTTCCCCATATGTCTTGAATGAAAAGTGGGCTACAGCTTCTGCGGCTGCAAATCAGCTTCTTCGTGAGTTACTTTCCTCTAGCTCAAATTGTTACTAACATCTATCCAGCCGAAGATAAATATATTCTAAGTGATCCTGAAGCAGAGAAGAAATGGGGTTTCAATCTGACTGATGCCCTTCGTCGGTCCAAAGACCATGGATGTGGCCTGTTTGCGCAAATGACTTTCTACATGACGGCAAAAGTACCTATCGATCATAAACTATTAAAGAACATTGTAGCCGCCGCTGGTGGCCAGGTACGTCTTAACAGACTGTCCACATACACTTGCGAGGTTAATGACAACGTCACAGATTTCAACGCAGGCCCCTACGTCACGTATTTTGAAGGCAAAAGAAGGTCGATATGTGATTTCTTGCCCAGAAGATGCTTCGATATGGAGACCACTCGTCCGTGATGGACACCCTATATATTCTCCAGAATTGATTCTGAAATCAGTCCTCACACAGGAAATAGATTGGAAGGACACGGCAAATAAAGTACAGGGAACTTATTAAAAAACTTGTATAAAATGGATGTACGTTTACCCATGTATTGATTTCTTCTAAACGATTATCGTATATTACATACAACTAGTGGTATATGCAAAGTGAAAGGAGAATGCATGCAAGAAAGCGCTATAGGACAATATGTCGACACTTGACTATGGTATGGTATATATGTGAGCCGGTCAGTCCACGAGTGACATGATTAACACTAGGAAAGCTGGAAAAGACAAAATAAAAACATGCCATATCATAGGAACATAGGGTCGGGTATATAACTACAAGGATCGAATGAATAGGAGATGATTAAGTTCAGAACGGGGAAGTATGAATTAGTTTTTTGGTAGCGATATGGACGTTGTCTGCACACCGGAGCCACTCGCTGATGACGCCCGAGTCTGGGTATGCCGTTTCACCTGCGCTTCCATTTTTATACGCTGCTTACGGACATCATCATCTTTCAACTTCATTGACATTGTGAGGGCTAGAAATGCATCAGCGTTTGAAGGTAGACATGCTAATGGTGGGCGCGAGAGGTGTTCTAGGGCAGAAGCTTCGCTAGTGGACTGGAGGAGGAGATGACGGCAGCATTGAATCAATACCATTGCTACTCGGAAAAGGAATGTCACGCCTGTATGACTATTATAAAGTTTTCCAGATAGGTAGTGAAAAGAAAGCTGCTTACCATCATACAGGAACATATCCCACACCCTATGAAGGTAGTCGACAGGAAGAGTGCCAACAAATAATGTAGAAAACCTAGCAGATCTTTTCAGAATTGTTTTGTTCTTTGCAAGTGCAATGTTCTTACCAAGGACGACAGATGCTACTTGGAGAGATACCCAAGGTGACGAATAGTTTCTTGCCAACGGCTGCATCAGTACTTTCTAAAGCTTTACTGAAGAGCGCCGAGTCAACCTCCATTTGAATGGGGTTGGCAGAGAAGTAGGAGCGCAAATGAGTGTCCATCATGGAGACAAAAATCCAAAAAGCATCTTCTTCGGGTGCTAGAAGAAGCAAGTGACCCGCGATTGAGGTTAACCCTGCCAATAGCGGTCTATCAATAATACTGAAAATCAAACCAAATGAGACACCGTACCTGAACTATATTGGATGTCCGGTACCATGCTTAGGTACGCCTGCAAAAGTGACACTAAAGGGCCTTTGGCGTTGTGCAACTGTGCCTGATCTGGGAAAAGCCTTTGTGCATCGCGCTCAATCTCATTGAATACTGGGACCCGCCCTCGTTTCCCAAGCTGAGAATAAACATTGGGTAGAGCGCGTGCTTTGCTATCGGTTAGATGACACCAAACAAGGTAGCGCACAGAAGAAGGGACACCCTCTATTAGCAGCCGTCTGACTTTCTTACTCTTCCTCGCCTGTGCGGGAGGTGTTGTAGGCAGGAGAGCCATCCACTTCAATTCTCGGTGCCGATGAGCATCCATAGAAGAATGGGCATCAGTTGATCTCGAAGGCTTTACATCCGGAATAGACGGATCCACTGGGGCCAGAGGGGATCTAGGAGGCATTGCACCTGACAATATCGAAGATGTGTCACCAAATGGACTCGAGGAATCTGGCTTATGGTCCGAAAGCATGTCACGCCCAATCATAACCGAGTCCTGACTCGTCCTACCAGAGAGTGGCAATGTCGGCTTTATCAATTCGAAATCCATGTCCTGAACTTGAACAGTCTCATGTTCCTCAGTCCGCCCATTCGATGACGTTACGCTTGCCGTTTCATCTGCTCGCCCAAGTCTTGTGCTTTTCTTTCCCCGTAGCATTGGAAGACTCATCTTGGTGCGGAGCGACAGCTCGTGTGTAAGGGGCGATGAACGTGCAGATGGTTCTATAGGCGGAGGGGAAGTCATGAGTGATCTCGTCTCGCTTTGAGATGATTCCCCATCAAGTGAGCCGGAGCGTTGGGATACCCATGGCTGGGGCGAAATTATACTTCGGTGGTTGGACGACACCGATGAACTCCTCACAGATGCGGTTGGTGCACGGGGACCAGGAGGCATGGGGGAAAGCGGCATGGGGGGTGATATGTCTCTATCACCCATAGTCGGGACATGAGGAGATACAGGAGGAGGACTAATGGGGGTACCTCGTCTGGCGTCTGCTTGCCCTCCACTAACTGGTGGGGATGAGAAGGAAGCAAACTGTGTCACATCTGTGATAGGGGATACTTGTGAAAGTGGGCTGGTGGGTGATCTTGGAGAAGGTCTTGTCGGTGCTGTGTCGTTGTTGCGTACCAGTGATAGGGGAGAAGGTTTACTCGAGATGCGGAGGGGAGCAACGACGCTACTCAAACCAGAAGACGTAACAGCTGAAGCAGACACTGTTCTGGATATCTGTTGCGGGTCTTCACGGCTGAACGTACATATATTCTTATTGAAAAATAGCTAAAGTCTAAGGACAACACGGCTGCTCACCTGCGTTCAGCTTCCTGCGCTGCGGTAGTATTGAACCCCGAAAACGACCGTGAACGAGGTCGTGCGGCACCTGCCTGAGGAACAAAGCCTGTACGCTGGAGAGCACCATTACTGCCGTTGTTACCCGACATACCCATATTACTTGACGTCAATGTACCATTCCCACCAGGTACCGATACCTCATGCATACCCGTTATCATACTTCCATACTTTCCCTTATTCGATCCATCATCCCTCTTCAGTTCATCACTTGGAACTTCAAAGGTTTGGGCACTGTCGCTCGTTCCAGCAGTAGTCATTGCCCGCCGGATCCGTAATGGCGGAGTGTTTTCTGCATCCGTTCTCATAGCACCTCCATTGGCGGGGCTGATGCCTTCCAACCCCTTATTACTACCAACTCCACTGCTCCCACTCCCACCCATTCCTATTCCCATGGCCCCATTAACACTTGCGCCACCACCCATCCCTACACCCCCACCTGGGATCGGTTCCACCGAGAAAACTATTGGAACAGGCCCTATTGCACTTGCAAGGTCTGGCTCACACCGTGCATATAACGTCATCAGACCCATGCGTCCCTGCGCTTGTCCTTGCGCACGCAGCCACCCGATAATCTGACGCAAAATGTGGACAGAATATGGTGTCGTACCTGCACCTGCTTGCATACTCTGATTACGATGAACATTGGGCCCAGGCGGTGGAGTTCCATGAATAAATCTGGAGCCAGGAGGGATCTTCGCACCCACATGTCCCAAACTGGAGGCATATGGACCGGCCTCAGCACGAGCGTACATAGGTCCCTGTCCTTGCATGAGCGGCGGAGCTTTGGGCGCATTAGGGTGAGGAAGAAACAGGGAAGTTCGAGACTGAGGGTGAGCTTGCGTTGGAGCTCTAGACAGAGGACTTGGAAACGAAGGTGATTGAGGGAGAGGGACAGACGGAGACTGGGACGCAGAACGCAAAATTGACGGCGAAGGCTGCCACGAAGAAAGACCAGACGCTTGGCGCGGACGAAGTGCATCTGGAACGCTTCCACCAGACTGAGCTTGTAAGGCTGGCGTCGAGGTTACATCAGAACTGAGTGTCTCCGCCGTCTCACCTGAGTACACTGACGCAGAAGCGAGCGATGGACCTTCAACCATTGAAACACTCTCATCTTCATCCAACGGCATAGGAGAATCAGTTAGTATTCGCGGAGTATCTTCATCTTGATCCTCTTCCTGATGGTCAAGTCCAACATTATTATCCTCATCATCTTCCACGACAATAGGTCGCATCAGCGTATCCTCCGTTCCTCTTCCCTTTTCTGGCCCTCTCGGGTGCTCGATCCCCATTTGGATTGTCCCATCGCGCTCACGCTCATTCTCGAGCCTCATACGTAGTGCCGACGCGATACCTGCACCAGCACTCATACCATTACCCTTGCCACTAGTATTCATACTTGACACTGCAGCGCCAGTCCCATGCGAAGCAGTCGACACCCTCGTGGAGTTTACACCCGTAGATCCCGATGCTCGCGAAGAACTCATCCCAGAACTCCTCATTGAGCTACTCACCCCAGAACTAATCCCGGATCCCCTTATTGAATCTCCAACAGGCGACGAAAGCGGCGAACCAAAAGTCGTGTGGAGGAGAGGTGAGGCGATGGTCAGGGTGGCAGGACGATCTTGACCATTCGGAACTGAGCTCGTTGAACTCAAAGGTGGGCTACTCGTCGCCGGTGCTAGTGCTGCATCGATCGAGAGAACGTCCATAGCTTGACCGACGTCGTGGCTGCTGCCAGAAGGCGTTAGGTGAGGGGGCCTCTCTGAACCAGGCACGCCAGGGAACTGCATGGAGAGCAAGGAAGAGTGAGAGTAGACGGACTGTGTTTGCGACTCAATTGTCTGCGTCTCTGATATCGCGGAATAGAGTGAGTGAGTGGACGCAGAGGATGCAGCACGTGCATAAGCATGTTGAGTGGGAGGACCTGATGCTGGCATCGAATTCAGTGCTCCCGTTGATGGAGTAGTTCGTGGAGCTGGCGATGACGCCTCAGTTTCTCGCGCAGTAGGGGAGATTGGCATCGGTGGTATCTGGTCTTTCCCTTTACCAGCCAGCAGAGACCCTGAGCTTTGCGAATTACGCGTTCCTGCACCTGGAACCATAGAGAACCTGGAATACCTTGAATATCGTGCCCCAGGAGAAGCCATGGAGAAACGGGAATAACGATAGTCATCATATATATTCCAATCTTCTTCTTCCCCCTCAAGGTCGTCCTCATCGCCTGGATGACTCTCCATAATTGCATCTTTATGTGTAGACTCCGAAGTGGTTTTTGGTAATGTTGGTTGTTCAGGAGGATCATGTAGAGAGGAGGAAGGCTGCTCGTGTGGCGAAGGAAGATCATGAGACGGTAAGTCATTTGGTCGGGGGAATGGAAAGTCGACTTGATGGTGAGATGAGATGTCGTAAGGAGATGGCAGAGGGTTCGAGACAGGGACCTGTGAATGAACTGGAGCATCGTACGGAGATGGAAGATGATCGGAAACGGAAGCTGGAGTGTGGTCGTAGGGCGATGGCAAACGAGTCTCATCTGTAGTTTGCTTTTCAGGCGAAGACCGAGCGCCTTGAGAAGATGAGTCATAGGTTGATGGCAGGTTGTGGCCCTGCAACCCGTAGTCATAAGGAGACGGGAGTATAGTTTCATTTTCATGAAGTTGCTCATCCTTCGGTGAAGACGAAGATGGTTGATTGGTTGTAGTTGCCCTGTCATATGGCGAAGGTAGAGCGGAGCCTTCCCATTCTCTAGTCGCGGGTTGTTCTGTGCTACCCACTCCGGAATTCACTTCCATTCTGTCTTGAGACTCCGGGTCTTTCATATCCTGGCGTTCATCCGTATCATCATCATGCTCATCTGCATAACCCAACGTGGCCTCTTCTTCGTCCTCTTCATCGTCACCTAGCCCGTAATTTTGCTTATACACGTCTCCAGAATCGCCCAAGTTTCCCAAAAGCGACAACCCAATACCTGTCTGTGCGTCAGATAACCCAAAGGATATACGGGTACTCGGATCGGTGTATGATGTATCAGTGTACGAAATATCATGGGAACGGAAGGGATCTTGTGTGTACTTCACGGATGAAGTAACACTCTCCTGCTTCTCGTTCTGGAACGTACGCGAATCGGGTGGAGTGTACGGAGCGGAGTCGGCCGTGCTGGAAGTTGAGGGGGACGAAAAACTTATTAACGGGGGTAAAGCGTGCGAGCTCGAGCCATTATGAGCGCTGGAACTAGAGCTCGGGCCTGGGTGCGCATTCGAGACTGGAGCTGAGACAGTATCTGGATGCTCGTTATCTTCAGGCGGGGGTTTTACCTGAGAGTGTACAGGCTCTATAATCTGCTCCACTGTAGGACTCGCCCGAGCACCTTTGACCCGCTTTTGTTCAATGTTGAGAGGCATGACGGGCACTGGAGAATGTGATAGAGTCGCAGAATCACGTGCAGCCGATGAAGAAGTTTCGAGGTATGATGCAGACGGAGATGAATTCTGCGACATGAAATAAGAATCTATTAGCGGGGCAGAAGAGGGTGACAGCTGTGAGGCGGGAGAACGCTGTGAAGACGAGCGCTGCGACAAGGCTGCCCATTCACGAGGTGACGATGAGAATGACACAGGATGTGGACTAGAAGACTCAGATCGTGCTGCTGAGGGCGATTCGCGACGAGGAACAGAAGACGAAGAACGCTTGGCGATGATTGGCTTCTTCAGCTTTGAGTGGAAAACGACATGATTGCCGTGGAAACGGCCGACAACACCTTCACAATAGCCCTATGAAAAGAGATAGTTGGAAGCACTGGCGCTGGCCAGAAGACGAAGACAAAAACATACGAGAAATAGCGATTCTTCAGTCAGTTGCATCAGGACTGTAATCTCATCGTCCTGGTGAGCTTAAATGAGTACGCAGAGCACAAATACATGATATGGAAGTGGGAAAGCCGTACTTGAAGAAACATCAGGTCACCAGTTTCCTCTGCAATACAATCTATACGTGCTGTACATTTTCCAATGCCGCCTTTGGCTGCAAACCGTGTCCAACGGGCGAGTTCCGCTGCATCCATGGGTATTTAAGGACAGAAAGGGAGAGAAAGTAAGGGCTGGTACGAGTTTCAGGAATTTAAGCCAGTTCGCTGGTGAGAAGCAGGTACAATGCTTGATCGCCCTGTCCTGTTAACGGGTCAATTCGGGGAATAAATACGATATAAATGATTTTTTGCACTGAAACTGACAGATATGTTACGCCTTAACTCTGCGTTTGATATCTTCCTTTCGTTTCTGTGTTTTCTTTATAGTGGACGTCGAATGAGTGTTGGGATGAAAACCGAGCTTTAAATTGGTTTCGCGCACTTTTTGGACGCGTGCCTCATTCGAACAAACTACAAACACACACAAATAATGCTGTACCTTGGCTCAGCGCTCATCTTTCAAATTCTGTGCTAGTAAACTGAAACCAGTTCTGTCAAATAACCGAGGAAAACTAGCTATTCCTGGTGCTAAACGGCATCATAGTGGTTTCTGTCGCTGTCAGGCCATATTTATCCAGGTTGCAAGTATAGCTTGCTTCGTGATCCATCGGCGGTTCTCGCTCTACGTTGTATCCTGATACCTGCATCTCTCGGTCAATTTGAATGATCATTTTACAGCGCCTCACCGGCCTCACCTTTACAACTCATGTAACCCAAGACAATTGGCTCCTCGCCTCGATAAATTACACCAGGGTTTAAATTTATAGCTCCTTACAATCGTAACTGTATGGAATAGGTCATATGTGAAACCCATTGAATCCATCTTCATATCAAGGATATCTTTTTTCACTGGCGCCTTTTGGGATGGGCCCAAACAAGAACGCGCTACAATGCACCGTAAGTATCAAGATTCATTTAATCATTATTACTCAAGTTTACCTCTTTGTCGACAGCATCCGTCCACTTGAGTCCCAGTTTTAACAAATGGTCGTTATAATGTGAATTCACCATGTCGATAAAACCATAAAACACCTTTCGGTCTTCGTAAAAGTTGCGCCAGTTGCCACTTGTCAGATGCAACACGATATCTCCACGAAGGTTCCCTACATTTTCTTCTGTAAGATTCCTCATATCAATCAGGTATGAACAATCTCGAACCGGACACCACCAACGCATGTCTCTGCGAGGAGGATCAGGTTTGCGAAATAATGGTAGAGGAACCTTGTCGTAAATGCGTGGATCTATGTCATAGCGACTATCTTCATCTGATGATGACAGGGATGCCGATTCAGTAGATGACTCAGAGAAGTCTGTGTCATAGTGATGCATTTGCAAAGGGTCAGGTTCGTCGCCTGAAGATGGTGTAGGGGAGCGGGAGAGAGCTCGCGTCATGGGTTCTTTGCCTTTAAAACTTGCTTTCTTTGCATTCCGTATAGCTCTGCGCATAGTGGCGGCATCCTTGCCAATGATCCGTACACGATCAGCGATGTCCGAGCTTTCAGCTTCATCAGACTCTGACGTTTCTTCATTGATCTCGTCAAGTTGTGGCTCCCCACCTATGGGCCAACCCCACAAGATTCCTTCTCGTGCGGCGTTCTTTCTCGCTTTGTTCACTGTTGGAATAAATTCGCCCCAACTTTTGATATCAATCACGCGTCTTGGCTTTGGCTTTGCGCATTGATATGCATATATCCATTCTGCCTGCGATGCAAAGAGGCTGAATATCTCAGTTTTGTGGACGGATCGTAGATGTCTTGGGATACGAGTATTCCCATTGCTATCGACATTCGGGTCTGACTCCGTGAAGATGAGGCGACGGCGACGTGCGTTATTCGGATACGCGTAGTGTTCTAAATATTTCCGTACAAAGTATTCTGGGGTTCGTTGTCGAAGTGGTGTCTTTGCAGCGTCAGTACGAATAATTTCTTCCATGATATGGGTAAGCTTGTAACGCAAGAGGTAGTTCCGGGAAAGGTCCAGTGTAACCGCATCGAGGGTGGGAACAGAGTACAGCCTATGTCTAGTATAGTGTGAGTCTACGAACTTCGACTGTTCGATTTGTAGAGAAGAAACATACTGATCTTTCGAACTCCATAGAAGCCCATGCGGGACTAATTTAGCTATCAAACCACGTTGTTGCAAGGTGCTTGACGTAGACAAGATAATCACGTACATCGCAGGTAGACAGCAGGCATGCTCTTGGTGCCCTGTATCAAGACTTTTACGTGGATTTGCTGATCACTTTGCCTGATCTTTTCTCCGCCAAGAATATTTCGATTTCCATTGATTAACGATTCGAGTGAGATATCAAGATGACGACGCTGGCCCTCACGCATGCGCCACTCTGCCTCGCGCGTTTTTATTTCTGCTTCAATGTACTGACATCCTCGTTCAGATAGCCAATCAAGAGAACACAAGGTCATAACACCGCGAAAGCGAACAGGATGCGTCGTTGTACGCGGTGGAGGAGTGTTCTTTGTGGGGGGGTCCTCGGACTCATCGAGGCTGTGATAGCATACTATAGCATGAGTGATTCTATAATAACGACTGAGGTGGACCTACGAGGCTTACCCGATGGATTGACCTGCGCATTCGAGAAAGAGGGAGTGTAGGACAAGCATTTTGTTCTTGAAGCTCTGGCATTTGTCACTGAGAATATCAGAATCAAGGAATGGCCCTAAAGGCGTGGCAAGGATTTCTTGAATAGCTTGAGATAAAGACATGCGGGATAGACAACTGATGCACTTTGAGCATGTAAGAGGAGAGTTCAAGTTCCAAGGGGTCATTCCGTTCTCAGCCAGACTAAATAGAGTCTCACGGTACTAATTCCTGAAACTCAGGCTTACAGGGCTGTAATTACGCGTCACCACGACGGTGCACATCGTTGTTGAACGTTGAACATTCTGGCTCGCACGCAGGCTCTTCTTACTGCCCGCAGCGATATTAGGAAATGAATATGACTTCTACCATTCTCGAGCCTGTGACAAGCCTCACTCAGGTAGTCTCCAAAACCGTCGTCCATTCAACCATCTTTCCCTTTACACTTGCACCAACTCTTCATGCAGCGAGGTAAGTCATCGCTTTATCGATAGAACATGCCATGCCTACCACTGGAACAGGATATCGATCGCTTTTCAAGCTCAGGTCAGAGCCAGTGGAAATAAGCCAAATTTGACCTGGGCTATGTATCTCGCGGGTTTTCTCATCATGGTATTATAACTCAATGTCATGTCTAACCAGAGGTCATTGACAAGTATTCACAGTCATGGGGCGGGTCTATCTGGACGCATATGCTGCTATCTCTGCCGCCGCCGCCACTTTACTCATTTTCTCTTTGGATCAACTATCTCTCCGTTCATTTATGCCTGACCGCTTTCTTCCATATCTTCCCCACGGTATGTCCCACCTTTATTATCTTAAGCCGTAGATGATGTTAGTCCGAACTGCGATCTCTAGGCACTCGTTCCTCGCTTCTTTGATACTACTCTCATCCCCATAGATGCTATCCTTCGCCTTGGCTCCATTACCTCCTCTCTCTCACTCGTGCACAGCTATCCTGATCCACGACTCTCCCAATCCATATTTTTTCGTCTAATCATTGGAGCGATCGCCTCAGCAGGAGGCGGAGTAACTGCAGCTACATTCGGCGTGTGGACCTCCGAGTGGCGCTTGTCGACTCCTATATTTCTGAAAGGTAGCATCTTATCGACGGCTGACATCTGGGGCGGATCGATTGCTGGTTAGTCCCTTGCATTTTTACAAACTCTCTTGCTCACAAGTATGCAAAGCCTTTGTATATGACTATCTCACCGTGTCACGTCCGACTTATCCGACGTTTTTACTGCCTTGGCTGCCAGTGAGCCCAACAGAGCCATTCCTCACGCACGATTCCGCAAGATCAGCAGCAACGATAGTTCTCGCTTCTATATTTGCTTGGAGGGTTACTAAGATACACTGGGCCACTAAAAAGCCAAAGCTAGCTGAAAAGACCGAATGAAACAAGGTTCACGTTTCTAATAACCGTCGGACCTAAATACCGAGGAAGTTCGTATTGAAACTGATATACCATTGATTTCACAAGAAGAAATGTATACCAGAAATGCTCTGCGTGGCATATAGACGAGTCATCGTACTTACATATTGATACACTGTCTCATCGGGCACTGATTATCGTTCCACGAAGTGTTGTCATAAGCTAAGTATCATACTGAATATCATGTAGGTCATTACAATGTCGGAATGCTTTCGGTGAGGGAAAATACGTACTTGAAGAACCAATGAAACTGGTAAAGGGGACAAACCCCCTCTAGGATCAACGAAGCATTCTTCTACGTGCTGATTGAGGTGCAAGTTATCTTGAAAATGACACCTTGGTTCCAAAATAAATCTGTACTTCCTAAACTTGGTACAAAGGAAAAGGGGCGTACGTCTTTAACCGACCACATCTGCCTGGCGCCCTTCGAATATTTACAAGGCTAAAGATGGCACTGATGACCTGAGGCGCAGCCTAGGACATAACGGTTGTGATCAACTCCAAAAGAAAAAAAATTGTAATACCTTTTCAAACACCTCGGGAGACATAAGACTGTGACTTTGTTAGTTGCGAGGAAGTGAAGGCCCGTGAAGGATGGAGAGGTTTTCTTACCCCTTGTCACTTCCGACGCCAGAATGTTTCTGCCTCAGTCGTGCATAATCACAAGCCTGAGCAGTGGTATGTCAACGAGAGCACATATGAAGGACATCGAGGCATACTGAGTTTTTGTTTTCTTCGTGAATGCCATTCACATGAGCATTCTGGCCATTTCCGTTTATGATTCGAGCATCATTTGCATGAGCACTAGAAAAATCATTCAAATGACCGCCGCCATTAACGTGTGCGGGCGTGGCACTATTGCCATTCACATTTCCGGGGAGATGCTTCTGCCAATCCTATACATTACACAAACGAACCCAGATTCCTAACAAAATCGCCACTCACATGACGCCGGTTCTCTGAAAGGTATATTAGCGGGTAATCAATGGAGACTCGCATGATAATGACTTACCAAGTGCCTTGTAGACATAGGGTAGTATTTGTACATTAGCCTCTGGACTCTTCGCTGCAGCCAGTCTTTGCAGCTCCTGGCATGCATCGCGCGACCTGTCATCTAGATAATAGTCCACAACCGTAGCCATAGCACTTGCGAACAAAACAGCGGTAGGAATCAATTCCGAAAATAGACTATACGCAGCGTGTTCAATTTGGATATCGTACGCATCGCGCTGACGGTCAGCGGGGATAGCGGATAAAACCTCTTTTAGAAACTCTCCCCTCTCCTTGCTGCCTCCTAGCCAGGCAAGAACTGACTGGGTCAACTCGGCGAGGGAGAGCTTTAATCAACTCCGTTACCCCGATCTCCCGATAAATCAAAGACAGGCTCACAGTGCTTTTGCATATTTCCGCCAAACTGGCTTTAAGATGCCGTATAATCTCTGAAGTAGCTCGTGTACCTTTCTCCCGGTATGTCCAGTCGTTGACTTGGCCATTATTGAAGTACAGATACCTGGTCAGGATTGTAAGTTTGCGGTTTAGTTAACTGTGCCAAACACTATATAGAAAGGGAAAAGAACTCACTTGGACACATCAGAGAACATTCCATACCAGTCTTGCAATGTATACATTCCACGTAAGCTCGCACTGGCCTTCAGTGGCAACATAAGCTATGGACATATTTGTGTCAATATATCATATATAAATGCAGGAAGATAGCTATAACGTCAGTAATAACTCAAGAGGGACGAGGTGCTCCTGTAGTCAACAACTGGATAAGAATTTGAGCGATCATTCACCATGTTATTAACCACCCAATAAACTGGGACAAGGTTGATCACGTCCTTCACCACGTCGACAAACATATCGTTAACATCTGCTGGCAAACCGGCATTGTGGCGATTACACTGAATAGATTTCTCGGAGATAAGAAGGTGTGTAAACGAGGACAATTCCACTTGGTTCACGAGAGCCACATCGATCTAGATTGCAGAAGTTAGCATGCCCATTTTTTGTTACGGTGATTGTATGGATGAAAGGAAGCGAGCAAGAATACAAGAGATAGTAGATGTGTAGCACTATGCAGATGACAACTTACCACATTGTGATATGAGTCCAATCCGTTCATCCCACCCTTTGTGAGAAGCCTCATACGAGCCTCATACTGTAAAAAGAAGTCTTTACACATATGAAGCTCGACCCCACCGTTCTTAAATCCTACTCCATTTTTGATGCCTACATCCAGCGCCTCCCACTTGTACATCTCCTGGTTCACCCATCCTCTCTTCCTCACATCCACCTCGCATGTGCCAGGTGCACTTATATTAAGGTTCCTCCAGATGTTCAACTTAGGCTGCCCTCTACCACCAAGCTTATCCTCTCCAACCTTAGTATCCTTGCCAAAACATGACTCCTTTACAAACGATGGTACCAAAAAAGGAAAGTGCGCGTATCCGCTGCCTGCTACGTACTCTCCAGGAAGTGTCCTGAACAAGAGCTTCGTGAGCATACCTCCCATCGAACCATCTTCTATATTGGGTTGAATATCTTGGAAACCCCAGGAGGTTAGGTTATGAGCTGTTGCATCGAGTAGCGTGTGCGAATTGAATACATGAGTAGCTGAGCTGGAAGTTGAGGGATGTACGAAAATCCTCACGTGTGCAGTCCACCGTCAAAAACCTGTCTCCTCGCGTTAAACAAACAGCGTCGGCAAGTATAGCGCGCGAGAGTGTGTATCCTGGGCATAAACCTGCTCCAGGTATCGGGGGTTTGCATTCTTCTGCGTAAAGGCCGACCTGTGAATGGGACGGATTGATAAGCGAATGGGACGCTACGCTCCCAAGAAACAGCAAAAAAAAAATTGCTTGATACTTTTATACTTATGCTATGTAGTATAACGGAAGATGCAAAGAAGATAAAGGCGATTGACAAAAATTGCAAAGAATGGCGAATAAATAGATAAGTAGGAAGCACGTACGTATAGTTCAAGATTCTCAATGTCTTTGTATAGGTCTTCTGCTGCTTTCTGTGCTCAGCATAATAACCATTTGTTACGTTCCGTCAAGACAGTGCGGTGATCAGGATAAGGTATGAGTAATGCATGCAATATAGCACACAAAACGACGGAAATATCGGCCATTGGATTCGGTAACCAGTAAACCCTTTGTCACTACTGAGCACTCGTGTTTAAAGGACTCACGTGAATTTCAGGATCAGGGTTCCATTCCTTGAAGCTTTTGTAAGCTTGACAAGTACAAACCACGAACGTCAGTTTTGATCGGGGTAAGAAGTGAATTGATGGTAACATAAAATGGAAATACTTTAGTTATCATTTCTCTGAATAGCAGACAACGAGAGAAGAAACTTGAACCGACGTTTCAGTCTCATAAATCTCCTGAACTCGTTCAGCTTTGAAGACAATCAGATGAATCAGAAGTGTAAGCCGTCAATCTCTCACCGTGCACCCTCCAACACTCCTCGCCCACCTTATTCCAGCAATTTCTATCGGTTTCATGGCCTTCGGGACTTTACGTGCGCCAAAAGAGGAAGCCGGGGAAGCAGTGGCACGATGTAGGATATCCGAGAGCTCTGCAGAAGAGAAAGCACCGGAAGGAAGACGGTCCAAACTTTTGGCAATGGCAAGGGCGGGAGAAGAGATAGTGGCATCAAAACAGTAGGCGAAAGAATAAAAGCGTAGGGTCGAAGTAGGACTGTAAGTCAGCAAGTCGCAAGTGACACAAAAAATGGATGCAAACCTTCCAAACGTCCAGGTTTTGACACTACCTCTTGTCCTATCGTTCACATACTTTGTTGCGGTAGTTCTAAAGTCCGCTACGGGCATCTATTTGTGACCGAAATGAGAACAGTGGTGAGCTTGAGAGTACATTCGTTTGATGAGATCATCACTTGCCTCATCCGACCCCTTACCACTCACTTCCCTCATAACGCCTTCTAGCCACTTCTCTTCTTCCTCCGATATCGCGGCATGCCATCGATACATCAGGTTGAATTCCATCGAAACAGAACTCCCTTCGCCTCGTGGTGTCTGGCCTTCGCGTTGACCTCCAGAGGGCTATAGATGTATGGGATGTTTATTATCAGGGGCAAGAGCTTGGAACAATAATGAAAAGGGAACAGCTCACCCCACTACTTTCCTGGGAGCTCCATCCAAGCGGGTTTAATCTCCACTCCAGCCCATCTCTGACAAGGCCTAAAATCCCGCCCACGTAATCTCTTAACACAATCTGCATGAAGTAAGCTGTGTTGACGAGGCGAGCGCGATGGAAAATTTCATCGCATTGGGAGAGGAGGCGGGAGCGGTTAGTGTCGTTACTGTGAGGGGAAGTTGCGTCAAATGGCATAGAACTACTAATGGACTGAGCTGAAGTGGCAGAAATGATGGGGGGAGAAGATGGCGAATAATAAGTCCCATTCTCATTAATCGCGAGAATACGTTCGGCTATATACTATACAGTAGTCAGCAATGGATACACACTTACATTTGAGATAGGAGGACGAAATATGGAACCACCAGGGTATGGAAAATAGGAAGAGTGATGCTCACATTATGGTTCCTACAAAACAGGACCACGAGCGCCCCAAATGCAGGGTGCATTCCTACGACTCTCTTATCAGCCCATACGTCCTCCCATAACCGCCCCGAACCATCAAACCTCCTTATCCTACTTACGTCCTCCTCCGAGCTGCCGTATAACACACTCAGATCCAGATACGAACTCGCATCGTTGATGCGAGGGTTGTCCAGATTGGTGTGAAATATGGAGTGAATGATAAAATTGGCAAATGCGAAGAAGAGAGATGAAAGCCCGCCTGGATGAGACTGGAAATACGAGGATGATGCTTGTTGGGGAGAGGGAGGACGCCGGCAAAGAAGAGCGTCAAATACTATATCTGGATCAGGGAAAAACGATGGGAGAACCGTATTCATCGAAGACACGGAACGTGCGTAAGGCTGGCCTGCCTGTCCGAACGAAGGGAAGAGAACATTATTGTTCGATCCATCTGCACTACGGAATGCGTAGTTGGTCTGCTTTGAGGAAGCGTGTTTTAAGGGCTTTGGTAAGGTGAGATAAGTACTTGGTGGGTGGGGAAGGTCATTAAACACTATGTAGAAATATTATGATAAGTAATCATCCGGACTTACGTACAGCGGATATATGCCTCCAAAAAGTTGAAATATGGGTGCGTATATGTAGATAGTGCATGCTTGCAAAGTAAACCGCTCACATATATCAATGACAGTGTTCTGAAGTCTTCTCCCTAATTCCGAGTCATCCGGAAGACGAGACATTAGTACAACCAATTTCTCAAGCTAATATCTTGTGAACAAGGCGCATATACATTGTATGCAGCCAAGATAAAACACACCAGAAACTTCCTATCATCTACTCCCTTACCGAGAGCATTCGCAGCATCGGTAAACGCGGGCTGTTCGTGTACAGAGAGCCAGTTATTCAGAAAATCCAGATCAAGGATGCGAGCATAGTTACTCACGAGATCCCGCACGGTAAGTGTCGAAGAGTTCTCAAGCACCTTATCTAAGTCTTCCAGAGTCTTTGTGAGCAGGTCCGATGAGAAGGGACCGTGACCTAAGCCCTTTTGGAAGAGATGGATGGCGTTTTTTGCAAGTGGAATATATCCAGTCATGACTGTATGGCTAAAGAAGACGGCGGTTGGTGGTAAAAGGCTGGCTGGCACGAGAGTGAAGCAGGGGGGTAAGGAAGGAGAAGAGGAAGGGAGAGGTAGCTTTTATCTACTCGCACTGGTCGATGATCGTCGGTGACGTAGATAGAAGAAGTAGCACTTTGATCGTCGAATCCCGAGTTGGGAATGGTCGTCGGCGATCCATCGATCGGGGTCATTTCCTCTCATTCGAGCCCGATTAGTAGATCTAGAGTCCCATCATATACGACAAGAAACCGAAAGACCATTAGCGAGACGACATATTCTTCAAACTACCCTTGATCTAAGCGACGTGGCCATGAAATCAAGGAATAAATAATGGACCGTTGTTGAGTTTACTTACCAGATCAACCCAGAGACCCTTCCCAGAAAAAAGTGAGAACTTCAACAAGATACACAGCCACTTACTATCTCAGCTATCAATCAGGCTATCATAATCAAAGGCGCATATAATGTGCATCAGGACTGTGGAATGTTCCAGAAACAAGAATTAAAATGGATGTCAACATACTAATAGTAGCATATAAGGGTAGACATTACTGTCGCAGACTAAAACTTCACACTTTGAACAGTTCTCCCCATACCCTAGCAGCAGTATCATCCATGACTCTCCTCCATTCTTCTCCTCCCTCTGCATCCTCACTCTCGGCTTTTCGACTAGACACTAACGAGTAAGGGATTCCACTGTCGCCACCTGTGCTGACCCCCCTAACAAGCGGTAGTTCACCCAGGATATCTACCTCCAACCTTTTCGCAGTCGCGCGGAAGGAATCGGGGGATCCAAAGAGGTAATGGGGGGTCGAGCAGGAGGGACATAAAAAGTGAGATTGGTTGAGTAAAAGGCCCGTTATCTATGCCATGCGCGATGTTGGAAATTTTCGAAGAGATGAGATATACATAAACTCACAGGTACGCCGACTTTTCGAAACATAACAATTCCCTTCCTAACATCGCTCAACGCAACGTCTTGCGGCGTGGAGACGATAACGGCACCTATTAGATGATGTCAACATCTTGAATAAACTCTAACTTCTGTGATACATAAAGCTTGCAAAACTCACCATCCACATTGACAAGCTGACCCAATGTGAGGGGAACATCGCCCGTGCCAGGAGGCATATCAACAACCAAAACGTCTAACCCAGCCCCCGCACTTTGCCCACCATCCCCAGACCTCCAGTCAACATCGAACAAAAGTTGTTGTACTGCTTTTTGCACCATTAACCCGCGCCATACGACTGCTGTATCCGTGTTTCCGTCCGCGTTCCCTAATTTTGGGAGAAGATAACCCATGGACATGGTTGGAAGTCCATGATTGACTATCGGTCTAATTTTTGCAGCTGTCGCGAAAAAGGAAGAGGATCAAATTATGGAGGTAAGTGTTATTTCGAGTTGAAGTCAAGAAGCTACTCACAGTCGGTCAGTTCCGGCTCTTCACTATTCTGGAGACCCATAAGCGTAGGTACGGAAGGCCCAAATATATCCAGGTCAAGAATACCAATGCGGGGCCGCACAGTATTAAGATTGGAAGGAGAACGGAGAAGGGCGAGAGCGAATGCTAGATTGACTATTTACATCCATAAGAAAACTGTACCGCCATAACGAGAAGAGGAGAAAACAAGGCACTCACCAGCAACCGTGCTCTTTCCAACCCCACCTTTCCCACTAGCCACAGCTATTACTTTTTTAACGTTGGGGATGGGTCTCTTAGGAATTGGTTGGCCTCTGCGTGGAATCTGAGGTGCTGGGCCGCGCGGACTGTGTGGAGGTGAACCAGTGAGCTTAGGCAGACCCTACTAATAGAAAAAAAATCAGCTTGAATTGTACTAAGGAAATAAGAAGCTAGCAATGGAAAGTGCGTGCTCACCAGAGGATTGTCATGGCCTTTTGCAACGATAGATTGAGCAAAATGTCGTCTCTGGAACGTAACAGCTGTTAAGCCTTGTTTGTAAATTGTTCTTGAACAGAAAATCGAAGAGATGCTGTGCATTATTGTATACGAGCTGATAGTAAGAATAAAATTCAATGACTGCTATGACACTGACAAGAAAACATAGTAACTGAACGGAGTAGTGACATGTTTCGCGTGACGTATTTGTTGTAACGTACGTAACGCATGCCAGCCTCAACAAGCTGGTACTTATATGACTACGGTAAACGCGTTGGTAGACACTACTGCAGCTTGAGAGCAGTTGATGTCTCTCCTCACGGCTTTTATTCTCTTATCAGTAGCAGCTTACATCATACGGTCGCTTTCAAAATGGCTGCATCGCCAACCAACCCTACCATTCCACACCTCCGAGTCCTCTTCCACAACGCTCACCTTCCAACCAAGAAATCTCCATCTCCGCGTACAAACATCCCTTCTCAACCCCTTCCACGATTACCTCTCAGCTCTCTTTTCTACGAAACAACATTCACGCCTCGCTAGCGTCCTCGATGGCTTCTATACTCTTGGATCTATTCTAGGCGTACTGGGAATGGTAGCTGCACTCGGATTACTGCTCTGGAATACGGCTTTATTGGCTGGTGCTACATTCAGTCATTTCCATCGTTACTATTACGATAACACGCGACCTAGTGGTATAGTTAAAAGACATGCGGATGGCGGTACAGATGTCGCAGATGGCTCCTACGACAGTGCCTTTGCCCTTCGACCAATTGTAAGTAGTCCCACATCGACTAATGAATATATTTTATTGTTTCAAAGATCCCAGGTCTAACCGCCCCTTTCTCCGAATTGCCATTCATCTTTTTGTCCCTACTAATAGGCCAATTCGTGCACGAAGCAGGCCATTTCGTCTCATCCGCGCTGTACGTCCTTCCTCTCAGTGACTATATTCCCCTAAACATCATAGCGCCTCGATCTCTGCAGCCACTCCATCCCCCTTCTCTCTGCCGGTTTCTCTCTAGTCCTCGTTCTCCCTTCAGCCCACCTATCCCTTGCTTCCACACCCCTTTCCTCTCTCCACCCGAAGCAAAAACTGCATATCATCTCCGCAGGATGCTTTCACAATCTCCTCGCGTATCTTCTCCTCCTCTCCCTATCTCGAGCCGGGCTCAGCACACTCTGGTCCTACGTAGGCTACGAGGATGTATCAGCCTGGGGCAGGGTCATTGTCCATGTTGACGAGGTAAGTCGGGCTGCTTTCTTTTCGTTGTTGGCTCTTTTTGTAGTTTATCTATATTCGAGTGAGCGATGGACATTGAAGGACGTTGAATGCCTTCCACGGCTGGTACAAATATGCAGTGAAAACGCTTCCATACATATTTGTACATTTCTGCATCGATCTCACCAATAATCGCTTTTTTCTTCCAAGGAAGGACTCACCTCTCCGCGCCCACCTACCCATTGGATCAGTTATCACTTACTTAGATGACGTTCCACTGAACGCGACAGATTCCAGCGGTACCGACCCATGGGACACGTATCTTCTTCGCTCGTTAGGATCTTCCTACCCCAACTCGCCTGCTCAACTGGGATGGTGCGTAGACGCAGCATGGTATCAAGGTTAGCTTTTTGCCTTTGAAAAATATTTCATGGTGTGTTTGTTGAAGTGTCGTTTACCTTTTTACGTCAAATCTGCCATCGCTACCACATTCAATGCTAACACCATTTCTCAAGCCCAACCGGATCATTGCTGTTCCTTTTCATCCTCATCCTCATCAGCGCAGAATACCTCGAGCTCGCTCTCCTGTTTCACATCGGTTGATTTTCTAAATGAACACTGCATCGACCCCGTCCCTCTCCTTACTCACCCTTTCTCCACACCTAAATCACCCACGCATCAGTTCCATTCAAATACCCAGCGCCGATGCACCGCCAACTCGGCCTGCTTCAGCACTGAAACATGCATCCAACCCCACCTGCTTTCCCACTTACTTCGGATCACCGTGCAGTCATCCTACCGCCACGACGAGGGCGAACGTTCCCCGTCTGCATCTGCGCTGCCTGCATTCCCAAGTGACATGTCATCCAACGGCGCTCTGGGTGGTTTGGACGATGATGGGAAGTTTTCATTACCAAGTTCGATACCCTCGACTGATGAGCACGTCATCCTCTGGAGTGGACCAAGGGCTGAGGTGTACGACCAAGGTAGGTGTTCTCTGGTTTACTTCTGCTCCTGCTAAATTGACTTGGCCTTCCTCATCGTGTCTCTCTCTCACTGTGATACCACAATAAGTCGAAGTCAGTAACCTCCTTCCATCCTACCCGTTCCTACCTTCCTACCTTCCAAACGTTATCGCCACCTTTTCCTCGTACGTCTTTCTCCACTCATTATCTTCTAGAGATATTTCACTGAACAAAATTCTACTTATATGATACATGCTCCCTTCTAATTGGTCTCAAAACGATGTTGCGGCCATCTTGTGTATCGTCACCAATCCAACAAACCTGCTTCACAACTATAGGTACCTCCAACTGACCATGCTCTCGCTCTACCTCCTCAACCTTCTCCCCCTACCCTTCCTCGATGGATCGCAGCTCCTCTCAGTGCTCCTCCACCTCATTTCTACATCTTCCCAAACATCCCCCGCCGATATCGATCTGGAGGCGCTAGATTCGCGTGCTGATGATCGACGGCGAAACCTCCAAAGTCAAAGATGGGGAATGGCAGATTCTGGGCCGTCCGTGAGGGTGCGAGATATGGGAACGGCGGCGGCGGGTACGACGACAATGGTTTTGATGGGTGCTTGTGGGGCTCTTGGGCTGCTTAATTGGTTACTTGCAGGATAGATATATCAGCTAATGTATAGTACGATACGATGTGAACGGTTTTTTTTTTTTGCTTTAGATGCTTTCAGTTTATTCTCGGGATGGTTCATGTACAGTGGATTGAATCTGATTCTTTCATGGATACCTCGTCCAATATCGTCACCTTGAATGTATAACTCATTCAATGGAAACTGGATAAGTGCGGAAGCTCTAGCACTTAAACGACGCAAGAGGGACAAGGCTGATCATAGCGCGCATAAAAAGTGACGAGACAAAAAAAAATGGATGGCATTACAGTGCATGAATGCGTGATGAGGCGCAAGGCATTCTTCAAGTTTTGTGTTTGTGTAGGGCTGCATAGTGGCATAAATGCATGGTGATACTAACACTACTACCCTTAGGCTATCAACCGCCCCAGACCTCAGGCACCGATGTAGTAGTAAGACGAAAGCGAGTAGAAAAGCAGCACTGTGAGCGCTCGAGAAAGATACGCAAAGTCCTCTATTTTTTCTTTGGCGTCTGATCAACATCGATGACCGTCAGACCTGTGGGACAACGAAAAGTTAGCAATGAAACTCTCAAACTATTTGCAATTTTGATTTGTATGCATTTTGATATAAGTCGCATGGGGAAAACGCAGGGAAAACGGGGAGGGGTTGGGCTAAATGAAGGGTAAAGAGAATAAGACCTACCTGGAGGCATACTCTGCTTGAGCTTCTCTGCTTTTTCAGGGTCATCGAGGGAAAGCGTGTAAAGGTATCGCTTCGTTCGAACTTTGAACTTTGTCTGCACCTTTCCCCCCGCGACTTTAGGTGCTATTTTCTTGATGCGGGTCTCTGTTTCCGTGTTTGTTTCGTTGCGTGATACGAAGCATATGCGGGTGATGTAGAGATAGATTTGGGTAAGGCGCGGTGGGTGTGATTGGAAAAGTCAGGATGAGCAAAAACAAGCAAACAATGATGCAATCCGTGTACTTCAGTACGCTGCAAACACTGATGAAAACGAAAGCAACTCACGGGAAGCACCCTTCCGCCGGGTGATCTCGATGAATTCCTTGATATCCCGAACTTCCTTAGGCTAGACAACAGAGAAAGACAAGAGTTAGATGTACATTGTGTTACAGTTCAAGAGAATGAGGTGGCCATTCGGTGTGGAACTAGGACCACCATACTGTGGAATGTACTCACCATGGCGTACGGCGGTCTGTCTTGCGGGCTTGTAGAGTCGTTATCCCACTTGGTAGGTAAATGCCATGGTTTCAACGCACTGGGTGGCTGAACTTTAATTTGCCAGTTTTCACGGCTGATGCCGGACTGCAGACGGACTCGGACAGGCTGCTTCAAGCCTTCTTATAGGAGATTTAGAGTACCTTGCGAGACACTTTCTCAAATGAGTTATTGTCCTGATCTATGCAACTTCCCCGTCTGGTACAAGTCCGCGCAGAACTGTTGAATCGTCGGCATTCCTTAAGATAAGAAGTTGCCTTTGTTGTTATTGTCATCGCTGTATCTCTCTCTTTCGCAATTGTAACTAGCAAGCAACTGGGGGACTGTGGGCATATGGCGACTGGACAATTAGTCTGTTCCTCTTCTAATTCGACTCCATCCGATCATTTGTGAAAGGTACATTGCTAAATGGGATATTCTATGGATCTTTGTCATTCATGATGTCTTTGCTCTGTCCATCGTCGCCTTTATTTCTGCGGTTTATACTTACCTATACGGCTCGGTCACATACCAGTGTGCTGCCTATCACACCCTCGTTTGTCGATCTAATCCATGGGATATCACAGAATACAATGATCATCCAGCAATAAAGTAGATACCACGCCCTTCGTTTCGATAATCTTAGTACCGACTTGCCGCTGATAGGTATATGGTGGTGTCATTGTTTTGCATCGACATCGTTCACAGTATTTTCGTACGTTTTTTCAATGTCTCATATGCATTCTCTGTATTGTTATCATTATATTAGTACCATTTACATGGCCTGGGTACATTGGTATGGTTTTCTTTCTCTTGCCTGTGCTACACTTTGCAGCATGACAGACTATAATACACCTACTGATATAAACCGTAAGTCTTGCTCTGGGCTACAGTATTTACCGTTTACCAATGCCTTATTTCAGCGGCGCTTTGGTTATATGCTTTACTCCAATCGCCACGGTCTCGGTCAGCTTTATTGATGAATATGTTCCTGGGCTATTGGTAAGTGTGATGTCTCCAGTATCTATATATCGTCTGCGCAACAGTCGAATCTCTCTCAGTACCATTGTGGGGCTTACAAATTCGTCCCTTCCCCTCAGAATGGCTTGCAGCATCAAAGCATGGATAATAAATGTGTAGGTCCAAGCTGAGCCATATACACCGAGCCTGCGATAAGCTACCTAGGTTGGTCGAACTCCCTGTGCTGGGCGGCCTCGTTACAGGGTGATTGTCGATGCCAGCTAGCCTTGACCTATTCATCACCGGTACAAAGACCCTTTCTCCCTGCTCACATGCTCACCGATCGGTAGATGCATATCGCTGTTACATCTCGTCGTAGTCTCACTTACGGTCATCTTTACTTGACCACGAACTGGTTTCCACAAAGCTGATGCCGTACTGAATCGCTCGATCCGCTATGCCATCCAAAGTGGTCTCTTCGCAGATATCTTCTCACTGGGCGATCTTATCACCTTCCTCCGTTACCCTCCAACCAAATTGTATGGCATTTTCGCTATCGACCATGGGTTTTGGTTTTGTTAGTGTCACATTGCTTTGCTAAATTCAGACACTCCTTGACACTCTTTTCACATGCCAGGACTTACGACAATAAATGGCTGGGACTCGTGATATGGATTCAGACGTACGAATCAGTCGAGTGTACATCCCTTATCACATAATCATCATATTTACAGACCAACAACGGTCCCTCATGGCAATCATCATCGCGGTCACGAAATGGCAAAGCTATCCAGCTAAAAGAGGTAGAGGTATGGTATGCGAGGACGTACAAGGATCAAGGTCATTAATCATGGCTATATACAGAAAGAAATAATATTTTTGCCATCAACTTACTGGAAGATCGAAAAAATGAGGCTCCAAGGATACTGTCCTCGAGGTGACTCTTGCAATATGTTGTCCTAATGCCTGGCTGCCGTTCTTTTTGCAGCCTTCTGATCCTGACTGTGTGCAAGTCGATTTGATCCCTCTAGAATATCATCAATTGTCCAGCTGCCAGGATATGTGACGGTTACAATGGGGTAAGGGGACATGCGTTGGCTCGAGCCTTTTTATGCTGTCGGCCAGCCTTGCAGTATTCATCGGCAGCCCCATAAAGCTGTTCACTAGCTACGATTGCCTCTAAGAAAAAGGCTACACTAGTGCCACTTACTGCTACAACCGAAAATAAATGCGACTTTGAATTTTACGCGGTTTTTTGTCTTCAGTCGAAGTACTCAGAATTTGACGTGGTTTCGGTCTCTGCTAGAAGATGCTAGTTTCAAATAATTATCGACCGAGTAAGTCTTGATCGATATTATTAAACGAGACTCGTATTAATTATTACATGAAAAACGACTCGAGTAGATTGACACTGTCCCTTGATATATCCATCTCATTGTACGCGAATATAGCACTACAGATCTTTCTAGAATATACCGCACAAGACCCAAGATCAACATAAGCACAGACCAGATAAATAAGCAACGGTGTAAAACAGTAAGAGAGGTGCGGAACCACTCGATTAATTGCAGGGGGAACACTAGGAGGACAGCCAGGAAAATCTAGAAAAAACGTCAGCCACTCGAACAAGGTCATCCACGCAAGACGGGTACCTCTACTATCAATATTGACGCCGCACTGCAGTTTACTGCTCCGTAATTTCTAATACCTCATCCATGGTAGTGTAATAAGTATCTGACATCTCATCCAAGGCTGTGTAATAAGTCTCTGATGTATCATCCTGGAACGAAAAACCATCTCGCACGTTGACGCAGTTCCGTTCCACGCCTTCGAATTGTGCCCTCGCTTTATCCCTAAGGCTCGCGTTGAGGTGTTGTTCAATCAAATTCACTACGCCTAATCTTTCAATAGGGCGCGCAAGCATTAAAGGTGTAAATCCACTGTCGTCCTCCAAGTCGACGCGAATGTCGTCGTGAGAAAGAAGAAGCTGCACAATCCCCTCTTGTGTACAAGCATCCCATAGTTCATGTTCCTCACTGTCTTGTGACACGATGGCACAATGAAGGGGAGTTTGACCCAAAGCATTCTTCAGATTGAGTGCAATGTCATCACATGCCACAAGTAAAGCGGCCACCTCCTTGTGTCCAGAACGTACTGCACGGTGCAGTGATGAGTCTCCATTATCATCTTGCAAATTCGCGTCGATGTCATCTCTAGAGAGTAATTGCTTTACGAGAGAGACGCATCCGTTTTTTGCTGCTATACAAAGGAGTGTTTCCCCATTCTTGTTTTTCCAGTTCACATCAACGTCGGATCTTTCGAGCAGCAACCTCAATACTGCCTCATTCCCTTGCTGGAAACCAGAATTCTCGACGCTCTGAAGGTCGTTACTGTAATATATATCATCATTTAAAATACTACTGGTAACGGTAATATCACTATTATTGGGGCTTACCTCTTTCCACAGTTGACGTCGTCGCTATCTACACCTTGATAGATGGAAGAACTCGTGTCCAAGATCTCGTCCAATTCGCTAAAAGCACGGTACGCAGCAGCCCATAATGGCGGTACACTGCTGTCTGTCGGAAACATGTTCACGTCAACCCCGCTGCAAGCCAATAGAAGTTTCGCGGTCTTTTCATCACCATGCCAGGTCGCTATCCAAAGGGGTGTAAAACCACTCTGATCTTTCCAGTTGACGTTGAAGTTTACCGAAGCCCTTTTGACAAGCAAACGGGCTAATTCCTTGTGGTAAGGAGCTCGGAACGAGAAAGCCAGTAGCATACATGTCTCGGAGAATGGGAACTGTGCTTCCCCTTGATTAGCTGTAGGAGTGTACGGTGTGGAATCACAATCCTTGTGCGAGTTAACTTCTACGTCATACCTCGTTAATAGTAGCTCGACAACTTCGGCCTTCCCTTGATGCGCTGCACGTGAGAGCGGCGTCCAACCTTCGTGGTCCTGCGAGTCGATATCCACACCATCAATGGCCAACATTAGCTTTACGACCTCCACCTGCCCCTCCTGAGCGGCATACCAGAACGGTGTCCGTCCATCATTGTCCTTTGAGTTCATATCAACTTCATCCTTCGCCAACAGAAACTTGACGATCTCCACATGCCCCCCGAAAGCTGCTTGCGTGAGCGGCGTCCAACCATCATTCTCCCTTGAGTCCATATCAACTCCATCTTTTTCCAACAGTAGCTTGACGACCTCCAGATGCCCCTTATTAGCCGCTGAAGTAAGTGCTGTCCAACCGATATGATTGTTCTCGTTCACATCCACTTCGTTCCTCGCCAACAGTAGCTTGACAATCTCCACATGTCCCTGGTGAGCTGCTCTCTTAAGCGGTGTCCAACCTTCATTGTCCTTTAAATCCACGTCAACTTTGTCCCTCGCCAACAGCAGTTTGACCATCTCCACATGTCCCTGGTGAGCTGCTCTCTCGAGCGGCGTCCAACCTTCATGGTCCTTTGAATCCACGTCAACTGTGTTCTTCGCTAACAGTAGCTTGACGATTTCCACATGTCCCTGGTAAGCTGCTCTCGAGAGCGGTGTCCAACCATACTTGTCCTTTGAATCCACATCAACTTTGTCCCTCGCCAACAGCAGCTTGACGATCTCCAGATGTCCCTGTTGAGCTGCAAATGAGAGTGGTGTCAAACCGCCATTGTTCTTTGAATTTACGTCAACTTTGTCCCGCGCCAACAGCAGCTTGACAATCTCCACATGTCGCTGGTGAACTGCTGACGAAAGGGGTGTCCAATCTTCATTGTCCTTTGAATCCACGTCAACCTTGTCCCTCGCCAACAGCAGCTTGACGATCTCCACATGTCCCTGGCTAGCTGCTGACGAGAGCGGTGTCCAACCGTTAATGCTCTTTGAATTCACGTCAACTTTGTCCCTCGCCAACAGCAGCTCGACGATCTCCACATATCCCTGGTAAGCTGCTCTCGAGAGCGGTGTCCAATCGTCATTGTCTTTCGAATTCACGTCAACTTCGTTCCTCGTCAACAGCAGCTTGACGATCTCCACATATCCCTGGCTAGCTGCTAACGAGAGGGGTGTCCAACCGTCATTGTCCTTTGAATCCACGTCAACTTTGTCCCTTGCCAACAGCAGCTTGATGATTTCCACATGTCCCTGGCGAGCTGCTAACGAGAGCGGCGTCCATCCGTTATCGTTCTTTGAATCCACGTCAACTTCGTTTCTTGCCAACAGCAGCTTAACGGTCTCCACATGTCCCTGGCTAGCTGCTAACGAGAGCGGTGTCCAACCGTCGTTGTCCTTTGAATCCACGTCAACTTTGTCCCTCGCCAACAGCAGCTTGACAATCTCCACATGCCCCTGGCCAGCTGCCAACGAGAGCGGTGTCAAACCGTCATTGTTCTTTGAATCCCCGTCAACTTTGTCCCTCGCCAACAGCAGCTTGACGATCTCCACATGTCCCTGGCTAGCTGCTAACGAGAGCGATATCCAACCTTCATTGTCCTTTGAATTCACGTCAACTTCGTCCCTCGCCAAAAGCAGCTCGACGATGTCCACATGTCCCTGATGAGCTGCTCTCTTGAGTGGTGTCCAACCGTAATTGTCCTTTGAATCCACGTCAACTTTGTCCCTCGCCAACAGCACTCGAACCACCTCTATCCGCCCGTTCCGAGCTGCGATACCAAGTGGCGTGTCATAGCAAGTGTCATTCTTCGAATTGACATCATGACCTCGATCAAGCAGTAGCTTTACTATTTTGTCATGCCCTTCTTCCGCGGCAATGTAAAGTGGTGTTCTACTCTTTTTGTCTCCTCTCTCGACAGCAACGTTGTTCCCCAACAAATGATCGATAGTCTGATAAAGGCCGAAGTAGGCACACAAATGCAATGCTGAACCCCCGTCGAAGTAACGAGAATCAGGGCCATACATGTGTTCTAGGGCATTTTCAATATTCGCCTCACAGCCTAGAAAGTCGCGAATCACCATCGGAATTGTCTTCTCGACACTCCGTGCATGATGGCCCCAATTTTGTCGCGCATAAACGATGAAGTCTTGGCTGCGGGAAACGTCTGCAGGATGTGCTTCTTTCGGTGAAAGCATACAGAGAGAGTCAAGGCATATATTGGTGATTTGCACTTTGGGATCTGGGAAAGCCCAATCTCCGCGTTTGACGAGATATTCATGAGCAGAGTAATCTGATGAAAACAGATTTAAGCAATAACGTTTAGATCATGCACCAGATTACTTACGGACCAAGCGGCATACATTGTTCTCTCCATCAGCAATGAGTATACCAGCACAGGCGTCCAATATCGTCGCTTTAGCCATCAGATCATCAGCACTGATCTTACGCAGACCAGTTGAAAAGGCTATAGCTTCCTGGAGCTCCGTGAAAAACAGTGGTCGGGAGGCAAAAACAATCCACGTCATGGCTTTCTTCACTAGTTCTCTATGTCGGCCTTCATCTATCCGTTTCATGGTTTCGTCGTAAGCACTTCCCACCTCCTTGGGGAGATTATCAAGAGCGCATCGGACCTCATTACGAGTAAGTTTGTGTGCTAGTAGATCCACGTGCAGGCGAGATAGCAGGAACCTTGACTATTATGTTAAAATCTGGCGTGTGAAAGAATAGGAATAACTCCAATGAGTACTCACATGCCTTGACCCTCTTTTGTCAGCCGCTCAATAAATTCTCCTCTAAAGGCTCCATCACCCAACATCTCGTTCAATTGTGTCCGTAAGCAGATGCGGTCTGTGATATAGTTGCGTACATCATCTTCATGCGCACTGATATCCATGTGAAGAGCATCACGAAGGACCACCTTGATCAATGACATGTCACGAGAAGTCACCAACAAGCTACCTTCCAGAGATTTCAGACAGCGCAGTATCTCAGAACGAGTATCATCATCCTCGGTAACTTCGTCTAACGCGTCGACAACGATGAAGACCTGGGAGTATTGTTTGATTTCGTCGATCAAAGTGTCGCGAACCTCGGATAGAGTTGGACGAAAGTCTTGTTCTCGATGACGTTTGAATTTACTTTTGATGCGCCCGAACGTTTGGGGGAAGTCTTGTACAAGCTGCTTCAGCAGGCTTGCAACAAGGTTACAAGCAGTTTGCCTTGAACGGTCGTTATAGCTGCAATAAGCGTAAACCACAGCCACATCGTCCTTTTTGTTCTTCTCGAGATGGTTAATGATGTATGATCTAGTAGAGGCGTACGTGATGACTGCTTAAGATAACTGATTTGCTGCAGGACTTACGCAAGAACAGTCTTCCCGGCACCCGCTAGTTGATTCGGCATATTAGGGAAAGGACCATGTAAACCGCGATTATAATTTATGATACTTACGAATCCCAGGGCACCAAAGCGTTTTCACATCTCCTTTCTGCCACAATTTGAACCTCTCATCATCGAGCACCCATCCTCCCGTTCCCTCTCGCCAAGTCTCACGAACTTCGCTCTGCCTTTGACGAAAATTCAGAGGAGACAGCCAGTTTTCGAATTCCTGGCGTTCTTTCAAGGTAGCCGAACTATCAACTGCATTATAATCAGACTACATTCAGGCCGAAGACGAAAATATATCATACAGTTATCTTGAGTATAGTGTTTGATCGTCGTTTGATTTGTTTGATAGGCATGGACTTCATTGTAAATATATTAGACTACTTTCAAGCCACCGGGGAAGATATATTGTCCTTACCGTTATCTTGAGTATAGTGGTTCAGCGTGTGAATTGCTTGAAAGGCATGGATTTTGTTGTTGATTTGACAGCCATGGACGTCGTTGTTTATTTGATAACCATTGCCATAAACTTCGTTGAATTTGCCATACCGAGCGTCGACAGGATTAGATGGCTGATTTGTTTCAGGGCCATGGTCTTCGTTGTTGGTTTGATAGCCATGGTCATGAACGTCGACAGAGTTAGACTGTTGATTTGTTTCAGGGCCATGGTTTTCGTTGTTGACTTGATGGCCATCGCCATGGACTTCGTTGAATCTACCATAGCGAGCGTCGACAGAATGAGATCGCGCCACCATGCCCTTGACATCAACACCGCCAACACGCGAGAGCGAGGACCCCGGAACACTCATGTCACTTGTGAGGTCTCGACGAATAGAAACGACCTGCTAGCCTGCACGAGGGCGAGGCGGGCGGGCGGGTGGCTGGCAGCGCCAGTGAACTGAGATTCGATGTTTCTGCGATCGATGGGGCGAAGATACTCTAGTTTATCATATAGCGTGGACAAATAGAAGAGAAAATGTGGTTACATATAGGCTGTGCAAGTTTAATTTACGACTTGACGCCCACCATACTGATAATTATAATGGTGATGACTGGGACCCATGGCATGGATCTCGGCATATTCCTTATCAAGGACGTCTGTCAGTATCTTTGATTTACTGCAATAGACTGATCTTATATCTGATAGCTACAGGACTGATATTCATGATCTTGGAATGCTTCAAACGCACGACTATCAGCGGAATTAAAGTGCGTAGTCCACAGATACCTTTTCAGCAGGCGCTGACATTGACAATACCCGGAATGTCTTGCCAGGCCAATGTGTTTGACTACATGTTCATCTAAGATGCAAAGTATACGCGTTTCATCGGTCTTCATGTCGCGGCCAAGGTATGAGAAATCTACAATTATTCTCTGTATCCTGATAGCAGCCAAACACAATTTGCAGTTATCAAACGCCGTCCAAGGAAGCTTCCTCACTTGTGTCCTCAATGTTAGCAGAGGATACTTGGATATCGTACATGCGATGAGTCTCACTGCCGGTATATCACGAGGCTGCTTTCTTCACCATTTTCGTTAAATATGTCACTGACAATACTGCCAAGCAAACGATACCCTTCTCGAATCACACATTTAGATAGTGCCTTTCCGAAATTGTTATGACCAGCTGGCCTACCAATAAAGTTTGCCTAGCGTCAATTTCAGGCATAACCAAGTTACTCTCATCCCCTCATCTACCCCAGATCAACTACAGCAATAGTTCAGTGCCTATACCTACACCAAATACATTACTCCCCGAGTGCCTGCGATATGTCAGTCCAATCGCCACTCAAGAGAAAGTGCACGTCTTTGCCCACCTAAAGGATACCTTGTTGATGACTTCCAGATCGTATCCTGCCCAGTGGACTTTGCGGACCTTGCTGTCATCAAACTGGCGAAGACTGAACTTTATCTTCAAACGCGCGATGTCTTTTGCTCCAATGGATTCGTGTACGCTATCAACTATGGATACACGCAAGCTCAGGTTATTGTTCTCTATTTCTTCAGTTCTTTTTTGCAATTGAGCGTGGGATCCGTCCTATTGAAATAAGCTAGTTTTGGAAATTTTGGAATGATACACCTTCATCAAACAGCGAGCAGCAAGACTACGGTTGTGGTGAGCAATCTAAACTAACGGTGATGCGTATGGTCTCTCCCGTCCGTGTCGAACGTGATATGGCATCAACATGAATCTTGTCGATCCACTAACCGCAGAGATTTCGTTTTCACACCCACAGACAGGGGCAGGAACCAGCTAATACATTTTTCGGATCATGCAAACGCTCACCGTGATTTTGAAGACTTCGCTCGAATGGTAATCTATCTCACCCTTGAAGCATACTGCTATCACCGTGTAAGCTTAGTTAATCAAGCTCTACATATCATCAAAACATCGACCTCCTCAGCTCGCGTTTGAACTCCACAAACGCAGGACGCGTTCTTCGTTCATACATGATCAGCAGTCTTCTTTATGAAATTACTTCCTTGGAAACCTTGACTTTGGAAACCACCCCACCTCACCTGGCTTCAAATATGGTGACTAACTAGATAAACATCCCTGGTAGCTTGATGAACCTCACCACTTCACGATTCCAAATATCATCAAGACGCTAGAGCGGAACTAACACGAACCTCCAGCCATCTTCGCACTCAGCGAACGATGACTATAACTGTGTCGCTGATTTGGTGGCGCAGGCTCGCACTGTCGATGCTCGCCACAGCACCTTCAACGAAATTCACGGTCAGTAAATCAACATCACCGGAGGTCTCACATACATCGACCCAATCCACAAAGGCCCTTGGGCTTACCGTATTTCTATCCTACAGTGATACCTATACAATGCGAATAACCAGCTCGTGACCCCCAGCAGCTTGTTACATGGCTCTCTCCCCTCAACTTCCGACAAACCCAGAACGACATTTATGCAAACCGTCAAGAATGGACTTGTGGCTGGGTATTCGAGGAATACAAGTTTAAGGAGTGGCATCAAGGGAATACGAAAACACTATGGTGTCCTGGGATTCGTAGTAGTCTTCTCATCACCACACAATGGTCTTTTAGTTAGCTAATGGATTCAATCTACTAGCTGGTTCTGGGAAATCCGTTCTTGCGTAAGCACCTCGTCAAACATCAGATATTCATCTTTGTTAAAATCATAGACTTTTCCAGATCATCCATGGTCAAATTTCTTGCCGAACAACATAAAACCGATGGCATCGCTATGTCTTACATCTATTGCAACTATAAAGACAAAGCAAGGCAGGCAGTGTCTGACCTTCTCGCAAATCTTTTGAAACAACTTGTTGAAGGCTATATTTCCACTTTCTACAGCGTTAAATCCAGTACCACTATCACGAACAATATAGTTTTCGCCCAAATCTATCTGAGTTTCATGATACACTGATCTCGGAAATACAGTCGTTTTCCAGGGTCTTTGTTATTGTGGATGTTATGGACGAAGTTCCGGAGGATGGCCACGTCCCTTATGAGCTACTCTGTAGGCTCAATGCGCTCGGAGCTAGTTTACTGGTGACTTCGCATGACATCGCGCCAATTGGTGACCTTCTTTGTGACGCCCAACGTATGGACATATGAGCACATACAAGCGATATACAAAAGTATATTGAAAGCCGTATCCATCTAGGGACACGACTGGGCAAGTGTGTAGCTGGCGATTTTCAACTAAGAGCAGAGATTTTTGAGCAGATCGGCAGGTGACACGTTAACCCTGAATCTTGCTCAATCTGATATTTGACTTCAGGTTTTTTTTACCTCGCCTACAATTGGACTTGTTAGCTTCCACACTTACCCGTTAGGCCGTCACAGATGCTCTAGTGTTTGTCCATGGAGATGAAAAGTGTTTATGATGTATCGATGAGCCGGATTAACGATTTGGACGAGGATCTTCGCTCATTCGCTACAAACACTCTCCTGTGGATAACCAAAAGCTCTCCAATCATTATCGGTTTTGGAGCTTCGATACGTCCTAGATTTTTCAACAGACAAGCCCAAAAGAAGTGAGGGTGATCTATTGGACGAAGCCACTATACTTGAAGCCTGTGTTGGCCTGGTTGCTGCTGATAAAAAGCAATCTGTATTCCGTTTAGTTCGTGAGTTTTCTGGCTCGTAACTCTGATTTTGTTTGCATCTAATGATTATTTCCACAAGACTACAATGCACAACAATATCTCGAGAAATATACATCATAGTCGTGTTGGAATCCTCATGCAAGGATCAGGGATCACCAGCGAACGCCTAAGGATTTTATCATCGTTATTGACATTCCCCCCATTTCCAAATCGCCTCTATAGATGGGAGTGGTTATCCGGCGGCAGGGCCTTATATCACTATGCAGCTACACAGTGGGGTCATCATGCACGTAGTGCTGTTGAAGAGATGGTCATTCCGGATTAGCTGGTGGCTACTGTTGAACTCTTGGACCTTGACACGTGTCCATACTTTGAGTTCGCCTCCGCTTTGTCCCTCACCAATAGCAGCTTGACAATCTCCTCATGCCCCTCCTTAGCTGCTTTCAAGAGCGGTGTTTGACCGTCATTATCCTTCGAGTTCACCTGCACTTTGTTCATTGCCAACAGCAACTTGACAATCTCCACATGCCCCTCCGAAGCTGCGTGCATGAGCGGCGTCCAACTGTCATTATCCTTCGAGTTTACTTTCACTTCGTCCCTTGCCAACAGCAGCTTGGCGATGTCTACATGCCCTCCCGAAGCTGCGTGCATGAGCGGCGTCCAACCGTCGGCATCCTTCAAGTTCACCTCCACTTTGCTCATTGCCAACAGCAACTTAACGATCTCTATATGCCCCTCCGAAATTGCGTGGATGAGCGGCGTCCAACCGTCATCATCCTTTGAGTTCACTTTTACTTCGTCCCTTGCCAACATCAACTTGACGATGTCTACATGCCCCCCCGAAGCTGCGTGCATGAGCAGCGTCCAACCGTCATCATCCTTCGAGTTCACCCCGACTTCGTCCCTTGCTAACAACAGCTTGACGATCTCCGTATGCCCCTCCGACGCTGCGTGGATGAGCGGCGTCCAACCGTCTTTGTTTCTTGAGTTCACTTTCACTTCGTCCCATGCCAATAGCAGCTTGACGATTTCCACATGCCCCCCCGAAGCTGCTTGCATGAGCGGCGTCCAACCACCATTATCCTTCGAGTTCACCTCCACTTCGTCCCTCGCCAACAACCGCTTGACAATCTTCACGTATCCATCCCTAGCCGCTAGCGAGAGCGGTGTCGAACCATACATATCCTTTGGGTCGGCATCTATGTCATCCTCTGCCAATAGTACTCGAACAACCTCTATCCTCCCATTCGCAGCTGCGATACTAAGCGGTGTGTCATCCTCATCATCATCATTCCTCGAATTGACGTCAAAACCTCGATCAAGCAGTACCTTCACCACTCTGGCATGCCCTTCTTCTGCAGCAACGTACAGTGGCGTTCTATTCCAGTCGTCTCTTCGATCGAAAACGGTGCCTTTCCCCAGCAAGTAATCGATAGTCTGATAAAGACCAAAGTAGGCACACAGATGCAATGCTGATCCCCCGTGGAAGTAACGAGTGCCATGTATGCGTTTCAGAGCATTCTTAACGTTTGCGTCACTACGTAAAAATTTGCGAATCACTGTCGCATTTTTCTCCTCGACCCGCCCACGCGCATGGTGACCCCAATCTTGTCGAGCATAAACAAGGAACTTATTATTTTTTGATTTTTTCTCGGGACGTGTGTTTTTTGGTGAGATAGAGAGAGCAGCTAGGCATATTTTAGTTATTTGCGCTTGGGGGTCTGGAAAAGCCCAATCTCCACGATTTACGAGATATTCCTGAGCAGAGTAATCTGATGAACACAAATTTAAGCAATAACATTTGGATCATGCGCCAGACTACAGACTACTTACGAACCAAACGACATACATCGTTCTCTCCGTCTTTTTTGCCACCAGCAACTAATATACCAGCACAGGCTTCCATTATCGCCGCTTTATCCACCAGGTCATCAGCACTGAACTCACGTAGACCAGTTGATAATGCTAGAGCTTCCTGGAGCTCGGTGAACAACAGCGGTCGCAAGGCAAAAACAATCCACGTGAAGGCTTTCTTAGCCAGTTCTCCATGTGGACCTTCATCTATCCGTTTCATAGTTTCGTCGTAAGCACTCCCCACCTCCTTGGGGAGATTATCAATAGCGAGTCGAACTTCATTTCGAGTAAGTTTATGTGCTAGTAGATCCACATGTAAACGAGATAGCAAAAACCTAGATTAGCACGTTAAAATCCGGTGTAGGCAAGCATGAGAATAGCTCTAATAAGTGCTCACATGCCTTGACTCTCCTTTGTCAGCAGCTCAATGATTTCTCCTCTAAAGGAACCAGCACCCAACATCCCGTCTAATCGTGCCGATAAGCGAATGCGGTCTGTGATATACTTGCGTACATCATTTTCGTGCGCATGAATGTCCATGCGAAGAGCTTCGCGAAGGACTGCCTTGATCGATGATATGTCACGAGAAGTCACCAATAGGCTACCTCCCAGAGACTGCAGACAATGCAGCATCTCAGAACGAGCCGCGTCATCCTCGGAAATTTCGTCCAAAGCGTCAACGACGACGAAAACCCGGGAATATCGTTTGATTTCGTTGATTAACATGTCGCGAACCTCTGGTAGAGTTGGACGGAAGTTTTGTTCTCGATGACGTTTGAATTCATCTTTGATGCATCCAAACGTAGCAGAATAATCTTGGACAAGTTGTTTCAATAGGCTTGCAACGAGATTGCAAGTAGTTTGTCTCGAACGGTCCTTGTAGCTGCAATAAGCGTAGACCACAGCCACATCATCCTTTTTGTCCTTCTCAAGATGGTCGATAATGTAAGACCTGGTAAGAATGCATGATAGTGATCGGGATGAATCCCAGTGACCAGTCGCTAGACTTACGCAAGAACGGTCTTCCCAGCACCAGCTAGTCGACTCGGCATATCAGCAAAATGGACCATGTTGATTTCGACCGCAACATTATACTTACGAATACCAGGGCACCAAAGGGTTTTCACATCACCTCTTAGCCACTGCCTAAATTTCTCATCCTCCAGCACCCATCCTCCCGTTCCCTCTCGCCAAATTCCACGAACTTCGCTCTGCGTTTGACGAAAATTCAGAGGAGAGAGCCAGTCTGTGAGTTCCTGGCGTTCTTTAGCTGGATTATCGAACGGGCTACATTATACGATGTTCGTGCCACTGAAGAAGATCAATCGCACCATTATGTTGAATATAGGTGTTGATTGTCGTTCTATTTATTTGAGGGCCGTGTATTTCATTGTTGACTTGATGACCATTGCTGTGGACTTCGTTGAATCTACCATAGCGAGCGTCGACAGAATGAGATCGCGCCACCATACCCCCGACGTCGCTGACAGAGGACACCGGAACACTCATGCCACTGTCGAGGTAGACAAAAAAAACGGCCTGCTAGTAAACTGGAACTTGAACTCGACACCTCTGCGATGCGGAGAAGATATACTGCATGTGCACGGGTGAGAAGAGGAAATGTGGTTACAACCTTAACTTATCCACGACTTGACGCTTACCATATTGATAATGGCGATGACTGGGACAACCATGGCATGGATTTAGACAGCTTTCTTCTCAAGGGCGTCTGTCCACAAATGGACCTTTTCAGTAAGCGCTACTAGTAACAATTACTCGAATTCATGCCCTATTTATTCATTTCTGCGACCCCTTTTCGTTTCTTCTTGTCCTTCATCAACGTTTTGCCAGGCCAGCGTGTCCAAATCAAGGTCTGAATACATTTTCATCTAAGATGCAAGGTATATACACGTTTTGTTAGCCTTCATGGTTCGCAGCCAAGGTATGAGAATTCTACAGTCATTCTCTGTATCATGATAGGATAAGAGCCGAGCACAACTTGCAGTTGATAAACACCATCCAATGAAGCTTTCTCACTTGTATCCTAAATGCTAGCAGAGGATATCTTCACATCCACAGACGCCGCCAGGGACAGGAACCAACTAATATAACTTCCGAACCATGTAAACGTTCACCGTCACTATGACTGAAAGTTTCGCTCGAATCCTCCTATCTGGTCTTCAAGTACATATCGCATGGGACGAAGATGTTACAGAGTCCAAGTCAACACCAGGACGTGCAACCAAGGTTTGATACTGCAAACCTGAAGCTTGAAGCTCAAAGCTTAAAGGCTGGATAGACAAACTCAGATCCTTACCAACCTCAGTTCGAGTCTGAATTCCACAAACACAAACCGTGTTTTTTGTTCATAGGAAGTACATTATCAGTACAATTTTATTTTTGAGATTACCTCCTTGGAAACCTCGACTTCGCTTGAAATTACTCCTCCTCACCCAGCTTCAAATAATACGGTAACAAGCTAGATATACATCCCTCCCTCACCCACCTCTCCCCTCTTTTTCTTGGCTACATCCTTTCCCGCTCCTCCTGTTGTCTCTTCGTCACGCTCCTCCCACGGCGTCACCTTCTGGCCCAGGACACCGAGTAACAGTGCGTGGACGGCGCGCATCGTATCAACCGACCAGAGACTGGGACTTTCGAGCGTCGATGCAGAGGAAGGAGCGAGCTGGGTTGGGGCAGGAGGTGGGATTTGGGGGTTAGGGAGAAGGAGGAGGGTACTTGGAATGGGCGCCGGTTTGACAGGTTGGGATGACGGTGACGTCGATGGCGAGAAGGCGCCGAAGTGGAGGATGGACAGGAAGGAGGCGGACGTAGATTGAAGGAGGTTGGGTAGTGCGAAGAGGTGAACTGCGGGGCCCTATTTGTTTTTATTATTTCATTTCCGCGTAAAAGTGGATTAGTTGGCAGTAAGCAAATTATCTTATGAAGGAAAATATAGAAGAGTATACTGACCAGATTGGGGGTGCAGTTTGCAGAGAGGTATCGTATGGGAGGATCAGCGGATGGATTTGGGTCCGGATCTGTAGATATGTAAGTTCGCGTGGAGTACGAATCTAGGAGTACGACGCTGGGGAAAGGGAGTCAGTTGAACACCGAGACAAAACTCATGAAACCACTCTTTTGGCGAAATCGTACCTGGTGGGGTTTAAGTGATTTAACACGGCTTCTGCATAGGTGTGCATCGCCCATAGGGGCAGACGGACCATAATCTCTGACATGAGGACGACGGTGGATGTCCATGAGGGCACGAATAACAGTCCTACCTGCATTTCCATCAGCACCATGATAATATTTCCAGCAGGGAGAAAATAGATAATATGTATCATGCACGTTGGAACTACAGTCCACCGACACGCACCTGCTTTTCATTGACGTACACCGCGCCTAGCTGTTCACCGAGTCCAGCACCTCTAGCCCAAGCGAGACCAGCTGGGCCTGAACCAATGTAGAGAGACGTGTTGGAAGGGATTTTACCGACGATCTTGATGGTTGGCGATGGCTGGGTTGGGGAAGAAAGAGAAGGACGTGGTGCGGGATTGTATTCGTCTTCCTCGTCATCTGATTCGAGTGCGTGTCGGGGTGGTGCCGTATCTTGGAGGGGATCCACGTCCTATATGATGCGTTGTTATGATCAACAATGTGCATGAATGCAATCGTAGACTGTGATAAGCTCACCATTGCGTTCTAGTAGTTCTTACCTGAGTTGGTATTACAGCATGCGCACCTGAGTCTGTGGCGCTACAATAACTTGAACAATCGCAGTCATCACCTCTAATCACAGTTGCTACTACCTACTACAACGACACGATGAAGATCTTTTCGCTCTCAATTCTCTTGACGACTTCCTCAGGCCCGAGCACGCTGCTCTCGACAGCGTCTGACCTTTCCTCGTTCTCGTTCTACCAGCGCGGCTCCGTTGCAGAGTTCATGACCTTCTTCTCTCGCACTGTCGTCGAGAGGACACAAGCCACCCAGCGGCAGAGCGTACAAGAAGGCAACTACACTGCACATGTTTGGAACAGAGGCGGCCCAGAAAATATTGCAGGTATCGTATTTCTCTTTACCTCGCTGTCACTCGTTCTAACATGTTCGTCGCAGGTATCATCATCACGGACCATGAATACCCTGTCCGCCCCGCTTTCTCGCTTATAGCGAAACTGCTCGATGATTTCATCACTAAAGTTCCTCAGTCGACCTACACCACCTCTGCTGCTCCCTCGATACCCTTCCCAGAAATCGAAACTTATCTCCAGAAGTACCAGGACCCCCGCCAGGCTGATGCTATCATGCGAGTACAACAGGAACTAGATGAGACGAAGATCGTGCTCGTACGTCCTCCCACATATCTTTATTTCTCCCATCGCTCTCCACTACATTGAGTTGCACCGATTGCTAATCCAACGTCTCTTCTATAGCATAAAACCATTGAATCGGTTCTGCAGCGTGGAGAGAAACTGGACAATCTCGTAGACAGGTCACAAGCGTTATCTGCACAGAGCAAGATGTTCTACAAGACCGCTAAGAAGGTCAGTCAACCTCTCCTCCATTTCGTTTCCTATTGCCTATCACCCAACTCATGCCCTCGTCTAGCAAAACTCCTGTTGCGTCATTATGTAATGGGCAACCTGCTTCCACTGTCCACCTTATCCACACTGTCCCACCCATAACTGTACATTCATAAATGAGACAGACGATACACTACCTACCTACAGTGCTCACGAATTATATGTTTTCACGCCTTTGCTTGGTGTGCGTAGGTCTTAAACGAACCCATGCCACCCTTTGCTCGCATGAAAGAATCTACCTTCCAGAAAGCAATCGGCAATATATCACCACCAACCAATCATACATTGTAGGCAGCGTGAATTTTAACCGTTATCATCGTCATACTTATTGCGAAGTCCCAAACTGTCAGTCAGTACTTGTACTGATATTGTCACATTATCATCGAACTGCAAAGTATATCTAAATTATCTGAGTGAAGTGTCCTGCAGTAAAATGTATCATTCTTCCAACTGTGTGATCCTTCTAAAAATCTAACTGAACAACCACACAACATAATTCCAATAAATATTAGAGCAAAGAAAATCCGCCAAAATCCAAATAGGCTTCCTCCAACGACAACTTGCGCACGACTAAAGCTTCGACGATGAGTCTAGTACCTCCTGTTTCTTCGCCAACAGTGCTGTTTACACCTTCACGGGCGTAGGAAACCGGTGGAGAATGCATGGACTCTCTATCGACTCCGGATGCACACACCAACAGCTCAGGAGGTAACGTAGAATCAACGGACTGCGGCTCCACAGTGACATGCAGAGATTCCAACCTTGCCACCAAACCAGCTGAGATTTCGTCTACCACCTGTCCCTCCCTCTCATGACCCTCCACTCCAGCCAGTGGGCCAGCTCGCTCAGTCGGTACGTGGGTTAGCAACGCCACTCGTTTCGCATCTCGTCTACGGTCCCTCCCGAACCGCCGGTTGAGCGCCTTTGGTTGCTGCTTGGCCTGCGCACCATTGGTAATATCTGTGGAGTGGGGGGGTGCAAGTTGATGTACGTGGTGTGGAGCCTTTTTGGTTTTGGTGTTCACCATCCGCTTATCATGCTTAGTTTGTGGGGAAGTCGCCATGGTTGTCCCTGTACAGGCTATGTGTGCGCGCCGGCGCATTGGGCGTGGTTTGTATACTGATGCGATTTCGAGATTCACTGAGAAGGGCGCTGGATCACACACGGAACCTCCTACTCCGTCTAGGACCTCAACTTCTGATTCTGCGTCCATGGTAAAGATAGCCAATAGGGAATCATCCGCCGACTTGTTCTTCGCTTCGGCGTCAGAACGAGGCTTCTGAGGGGAGATTGGATCGTCGTCTACATCTGTAACGTCGGTCGTCGAAAGATCCGTTTCAAAGTCAGCATCCGTAGTAGACGTAGCCGAGTCATCTTCAACTGACAGCATCAGCGATTCTCTCTCGCGTCTATGCTTAATGCCCCAGCGGTCGCCTGGTGAGCCGTTCGAGTCGGCGAGCTCAGCGGGCACTTCAACTTCTTTCACGACGATGACAGAGGCGCCGATCTCTCCGGCCATCATTTCTAGAGTTTCTAGGGATTCTTCGAGCTGGATTCGTGGAAGGCCGACGAGTGCACCTGAATCGGCTACGCCGAGTTCGTAGTATGCCTGTCCACCACCTTCGAGAAGTCGCCACTTGAGTTGCGTAACGAGGCGGGCGAAACGGGCGGGGGAGGGCGAGAGTAACTGCAGCTTGTACTCTACATTTCCCTGGGACAATAAGAGAGTAAATAAGCTATTCTCGGTGAGAAACATAGAGGAAGGCTCACCTCTTCAGCTTCTGGTACGAGTTTAGGTATGTTGCGCTGTAGAGTTTCCCTCTCCCTCGGCGGTGACGGGGGTGTGGAAATGAGCGAGTCCCATGGACTGGGTACGCGTGGGCTCTCAGACTCTGATTCGCCAAACATGAAGTCAAGAAACAGGCAAGAAAATATAAGTTTATGGATGATTCAGAGTGGTTGTGTATAGGCAGATATTCGAGTGACCATGGTATTCGATACAACACTGGTTTTCGTTCTGTGTGGTATTAAGGAGAAAGTAGAACAGCTTGACTGGCGCTCAAAGTAAAGGAGCGATGACTCTATCTGTCACGTGAGAGTGTGAGAGCCACTTTCTAAACGTGTAGTTGTGGCCACGAAAGACGGCATGAGCGGCCCTCAAAGCGGTTATTCAGTATAAGCACTTGACCTGCAACCACCATCCTTTCGCAGTACAAGGTATCACTTTCTTTGGTGCAGACAGCATTCCTCATGGCTCCTGGAACGTCCTCAGTAAGCCGCCTAAGTACTTCTCCTCACGCTTTAACCCAGGCTTCCTATGACAGATGACTGTGAAACGAATTCACCGCGAAGTAGCTGACGTGAAGAAGGAAGATTTAGGTGCCATCACTCTCGCGCCGTCCGCTGACAACCTGTTTCATTGGAAGGGATCCATTCCAGGTCCACAAGGCAGCCCATACGAAGGAGGCGTCTTCAATGTGGACGTGTATCTCACTCCTGACTACCCGTGAGTTGCTCACCGCGAAGGTACACCTTGTCGTCCTCACACTTATTTGAATTTCTCGCCAGATTCTCTGCTCCAAAAGTTACGTTGACCACTCGGTATGCAACCAATTTCCTTTTTTAAATAGCCTAAACTGAGTGGGATGCATAGCATATATCATATGAACATATCCGACAGAGGAAACATATGTATTGATATCCTGAAACACAACTGGTCGCCTGCACTGTCGCTATTCAAAGTAATGTTATCACTTTCGTCACTTCTTACAGACCCAAATCCTCGTGCGTATCTATGTTCTACATAATCAGGTTCACGTGCTGATATTTAGTTGGACTTCTCAAACAGAGGATCCACTGGGTAAGCCAATCCAACGCTCATTTAGCGTTGCTCTTATGCTCATTTGGGTCTTGTGGCTTCGTGCTCCCACTTTCCCCATCAGTTCCTTCCATTGCAACCGAGTTTATACGCAATAGAGAAATGCACGATCGCACTGCACGGCGCTGGACCGAATTATATGCACTTCCTCCTCCCATAGTCGCTACATCTTCGTCCAGTACCTCACCATCAACCTCGACGACAGCAGGTAGCAAACTCAAAGGCAAGGAAAAGGCGCCTTCAATTACCCGTTCTTCAACTTCAAGGATCAGTACCAGCGCCAGCGCCACACAAGCCGAAACGATTACACTATCAGATTCAGAAGACGACGCCCCCGTTTCGTCGACGACTAGTTCCTCTCGCTTATCGGGGAAGAAACGAAAACGAAACGTAGAAGTGGTAGATATAGACCTTGTGGGTGATGAGGTTAGGAATCCAAAACGCCGGGTGGGAGGAAGTGGAGGAGGGATTTCTGGGAGGGAGGCTCAGGGTACTGGGGAAGTGATTGTCATCGAAGATTGATTTGGCATTGGAACATTATGTGTTCGGGCATAGAGCATAAATATCGGCCATAATTAGGGCTAGGGCTAGCTTGGCTTTCTGTCAGCGACGGAACTTTGCAGGGGAATAAGTTATTTTGTTGTATGCAAAATGTTAGCGATGAGTTCAATACACGTTTTCGCCACGGGCTTCAGCTTTCCTTGCGAATGTTTTGCAGCGGGCTGGCCTTTTTATCTTACTTGCCTTATTTGGAAATCGGGCTTTGCCGCCAAGTTTTTTTCGTTGGTCACTGGTACGGCCAGAAAAGCTTACCAGAACTATCAAACAGTCTTGTGTTCTCAGTTTCCAAACATCTGTCATCGCAACTATGGCCAAAAGAAAACGAGGAATGGATAAGACAGCCACAAGCCACAAAGTGAGTAGTACTCTGGTATTTTTGCAGGACAGAAATTCACGAAACACTAGAAGCATCGAGCACCAGTAGAAGATGTGAAGGACATTGACGTGGGAGCTGGAATAGATGATGAGGATATATTAGAAGGAAGCGAGGTAGGCAGTGGACCAGCGGAGGGTGATGAAGTAATGCAGGGAGATGGTTCGGAGGGGGCCGATGAGGATGAATGGGGAGGCTTTGGTGAGGATGATGAAGAGGAACAAGATTCCACCACAGTTGTCGCGCAGGCTGAGCATGGAGGGTCGAATAACAAGTCAAAGCCTCCCACTGGACAAGAACTCCGGGCCATACAAGACGCGTCACTTTTATACCGATCCAACTCTTTCAAACTACAGGTAAGTCTTTCCGGGTTACGAAATGATAGGGATATGGCTGACAGACATCTTGGCGTTCCCTTAGATTGATGCGCTTCTCCCTAATGTACGACCAAAAGGATCCCAAAAATCCCCACTTGACCATTTCTTGATGACGCTGCACACATTCTTAAGGTCTCTCCCTTCAATACCAGCTCAACATCCTCTTCTTGCATACAAATCCCTTGGAAAACAAGGTGTCGCTGTACCATATACCTTGCCATTCCCAACGCGGGAAACAAAATGGAAAGTCACCTTCGAAAAGCCTACTGATATCACTTTAGTGGGTAGCTGGGCTAATAAGATCAGCGTGAAGGGAAAAGATGACAAGCATTTCGGAGTTGATATAGCTGTCGAAATGCCCGAGGTGAGTGAACAGGCACTCTAATATATTGTATATTGAAAACTTTGGGTGTTTTACAGAGTCTATTCCAAGAAAAGGACTACCTGGATGGGAGATTTTTCTTCAAGAGGTCGTATTATTTGGCAACAATTGCTGCTGCCATTCAAGACGAAAAAAGTGCACTCAATGTTGAGGTGTTTTACGAAGCAGCGCTTAATGATCCTCGATTGACGACCATTGTGCTTCGTCCGCATAAAGGTAACATATATATATTTCGTTCCTATATACTCTAACAAGTCATCTAGATGACAGCCAGAGCGATTTCTCCAACCTACATGCTCAAGTTCGCATCATTCCCGTTCTCCCATCGCCCTCTCCAATCCCGTTCCATCGACTTTCTCCCTCTCATACTAATATCCGAACCAGCTCAGACGACCCTGCGGAGACCCAACTCTCAACCCCCCTATACAATACTACACTACTCCTGTCATCGTTACCTAAAGCGGACCTTCTTACTAATCACAAGCTGAAGGAAATATCTCCCGCTTTCCAGGATGCTGTTATGCTTCTGAGAGTATGGGCGAACCAGCGGGGATATGGAGAAGGATCCCAGCTGTGCGTGAGGGGTTTTGAAGGCAAGGGATTTTGGTGGGCTGCTTTACTGGGGTTGCTTATTCTGGGCGAGGAACCAAGCAGCACAGGTAAAACGAACGTCCGTCAAAAGCCTTTGGGGCGGGGGTTGAGTTCATATCAACTTTTCAAAGCAGCTCTTTATTTCCTATGTAAGCGACAACTTAATTATTGTTTTTCCATGACAGTGATAGATCTATGTCCAATAGCCAGACATGAATTCAGCAAAAGTGCTATATTCGTCAAGTCGAGTGAAGGTCACACTGTATGTATCCATGTTGGAATTTGGACAGACCACTAACGTGAATCTATACGATAGTTCCCACCAGAAGAATACGTTCATCACCACTCCGCCGTTTTCGTCGATTCATCATCGAGGGTAAATATTTTGGCCAATGTACCTCTGGGTTCTCTTGAATTGGTGCGAAATTTCCTTTGCAAGGAATTCCCATTATTTACGGCGTTGCTCGCATAGCTCAGACATGATGCAAGGAAAACTCTTGAGATCTTGGATCATCCAACATCCACGTCAGATGATCCGTTTACGCAAGTTTTCTTGAGGGAACAACGTCATTTGTCTACACGGTTTGATGTCGTCCTTCGGTTGGTCTTTGAACACACATTCACTCGACGTTACCTGATCTGTATTTGTATGCAGCGTCGAGCTATCACGCGCTAAGCTTTCGTCATCTGTCGCCAGTTCCTCCGAGTTGGACCACGGTTCATCGGACAACGCCCTTTTGTCATCGCTATCAACTGTTCTGCATCATGGGCTTGGTAATCGTACACAGGCCGTAGTACTTCTTCACCCGTCGTCTGAAGTCAGGCTAATATCTGAAGTTTACCCTTCGCGGTTAACCTCCATCTACGTCGGCTTGATTTACGACTCGGACCATGCTTTCAGGCTGGTTGATCATGGCCCTTCCGTCGAAGACCAGGATTCGGAAGAAGCTAAACAATTTCGTAATTTCTGGGGAGAGAAGGCCGAGCTTCGACGGTTCAAGGATGGTAGGATTACTGAAAGCGTCGTTTGGGAGGTGAAAACGTCAGATGAACGAGCCCATATCCCAAGCATGGTAGTTCGTCACTTACTGGGACGGCACTTCAGTCTCGTAAACGAGGACATCCAAACCTGGCAGGCACAATTCGATTCATCACTACACTTTCCCGATTCAGTCTTGGATCTCCACGAGTCGTCTCGAGGATCGACTGGTTTCAAAGCTGCCATATCTGCGTTTGATAATATTGTGAAAGGTCTGAAAGCCCTCGATGACCAACTGCCTTTGGCGTTGCTCAACGTGAGCCCCGTCTCTGAATACTTGCGATACACTAGTACATTCAGTCCACTTCCTATACCTGCTTCCTCGTCATTGGCACTTCCTGAACCGTTACGCTATTTACCGCCAATGGACATCATCCTTGAATTTGAAAAATCAGCCAAGTGGCCAGATGATTTACGGGCGATACAAAAAATGAAACTCGCCTTTTTTGAAAGCATAGCAACTGTTATCATGAAAGCGATGGGTGGTGTGAAGGCCACTGTGGTTGTCGGGGAGACGTCAACAAAAACGTCTGCCATTCAAGACCAAGCTTCGCTTGAGATCATGACACCCCAAGGCTGGGCATTCTCTGCACGGATATGGCACGATAGGGAAGCAACGCTTCTTGACCGCATCATTAATGACAAACCACGCAATCGTAAAGTTGGCCAGATTACCGACGTCGAGCATAACCCAGAACTTCACGAAGCGCGACAAGCCAAAGAATTATACACCCGCCGTTTCATTCATGCTCCTCAACACCATCGCGCCATCAACAACCTCTGTCATCGATTCACTGCATTCGCAGGAACTGTCAGACTAGTCAAACGTTGGTTGGCCTCTCACTGGCTCTTGCAGTGCCATGTCAGCGAGGAGGCAGTAGAAATTATCTGTGCACACATATTCCTTAGTTCTGATGGTGTGGGAACGTCCGTGACTGATGCTAGTGCTTGCGTTCCTAGGAGTAAAGAACGTGGGTTTGCCCTGGTCGTTGAATACTTGAAGGAATGGGAATGGGAGAACCCTTTGTTCGTTCCGCTGTATTCTACGAAGGATTCTATTGTATCAACGAAACCAACTGGTGCTGTCGTATCTGCATCCTCGCGAGGCGTGTGGTTTATCTCTACAGAACAGGATACGGAGGGTCGTGTTTGGACTGCTGGTGGACCAGACTTGATAGTAGCGCGTAGAATTCGCAGTTTGGCGGTAGCAACCTGGGATTTTTTGTGTGGGATTGAGAATAGCAGTGGCTTTACCGTGAAGGTATATCGTCTCATCCTCTTGCTATGTCATAGAGTTCATATGATATCCACAGGACCTCTTCATTCACCCTACTGTTCACTACGATATCATCATTGAGCTAAACTCTAGCGTTCTTCCCCGTTATTTCCAAAACGTGGTTGCCGACCCTGGTGTCTGGTCAAGGAAAAACGTTTCTCAAGGTAGCGACATGGGCACTGTGGTGCGCCCAGGATTCGATCCTGCCCGACTCTTCTTCAATGATCTTGCGGTTTGTAGTGGCCCATCCTACTCAAAGTTGTATTATCTAATTTCCTGTTGTAATAGCGCACATATGGGGAGACATTGAAGTTTTTCTATGACCCCTACGGCGGTAACCGCATAGGAGCAGTATGGATACCTACCTTGAAAAATCCCAGACTGTTTAGAGTCCTAGGAGGATTCTCCAGTATACCAAACAAAAAGGTGGGAGGTTATACGTATCAGTCCTATAACTATTCTTAAACGTCATTCTAAAGGAGAATGAGAAAGCTAAAGATAAAGGACTAGTCGTTCTTAACGAACGTGCCGTACTGGACGAAATCGAGAGGCTAGGCGCAGGTTTGATCGAGAGGATCGTGCTTCAGAATTCTTGATACATCGTCATGCGCATTAGTCTCTCACCATATAAAAGCCAGAAAGCACGTCCCGTGCTGAACGCACTCGAAGCTAAATGCTGAACGTTTTGATTAAAGCACATGTATTAACTTACAATATTCATAGATGGCTATATACAATAGGAGATGAAGTATACGCTGAACCCTAGGCAACGAGGTCTGCCGTCTGTTTAATAATCGCTTTCGCAGACTCAGAGCGGGGTGTGATGGTAAACCCAAATGGTTTCGGATGACTGTTAGGCCTGACCGATTAGTTCTCTTTCGCCCATAACGCTACCGGCAACTTACCATATCATACCTGATTCGAAGGCAGCTTCCGTCTTGATTGGGCGTCCATTTTCATCGAAGCCAGGAGATATATCGAATACTGTCAATAGACAAGCTACGGAGATCCAAAGTTGGGCATCAGCCATGAAGCGCCCTGGGCAAATGCTGTATTTTCCTAATCAGAAAAAGCCAACGGATATCGCGTTGCTACTTACCGCCTTCCATAGCCAAATGCCGCTGTGGCCGGGTCAAGTGCGGTGTTGTCTTCCTCTCCGTCTGCTGTTAGAAAACGTTCTGGCCAGAATCTCATCGGTTGGGAATAATTCCTCTCATCGTGCAGTATTGTCCTGAAACCCATGATTATTGATCGAGTTGTTAAATAAATTACGAAGGACGTACCAGGTGTTGCCAATGATGGTCGTCCCAGCAGGGATGAAATAGCCCTCGTAAACATCATCACTAGTGACCATATGAGGTAGACCTAACAGTCACAGTTATGACTGATAAACCTCAGAAAGTATTGATATGCTCTCACCAAGAGGAGCAACAGGATTCCACCGTAACACTTCCTTCACAATTGCGTTGATGTAAGGTAAAGTTGGCCTATCATTGAAATCTGGAAGACGACCCGGCCCAATGACAGAATCCAGTTCTGCCCGTGCTTTCTCTTGGACATCGGGATGAAGCACCATTGCAAGGAAAAATGACGATAATGATGACACCTCCTGCAACGAATCAGTTAGTAAGCTTGAAAACAGGGAAATGGACCAAACACAGTACACTTTCTGCGCCAGCTACACGACGAATCACTGTTATCATTATCTCAGGCACACGCAAAGGAAGTGTTCTCACCAGCATAGGCTAAACCTGCGCAGCCCCTGATAGTTTCTACTTGGTCCTCGGTATTTTCCTTGTCCAGATCGTTGATGAGGTTTGAGACAAAACACGGGGATGCTTTTCCATGGGACTACGAAAAGATGTATGTGCTCGTGTCCCATTAACTGATGAACAATGAACTTACCAGCGCATTCTGAACAGCCTCAAAAGGCGCATCTCGCATTTCAAGAACAGCTTTCTTCCAAGCTATAGCTTTACGTTGAAACCCAGCCCCGGGCATCCATGCCGGGACATATTTCACTGTAAATGGAGTACTTAGTACCTGATGAAAACGGAAATTTACGACATCCACGTACAAAAGGGGAGGACGTCGACGAGGAATGCACCGGGAGCTGCGGCTTTCGCCATCCCATCAAGGGCTTTCTCAGCAATGTCGATGTACCTATCATTACGTGGTGCGATTTCGATGCCGTAAATCACGTTCATGATGACGCTAGCCGCATTACTAGCATAGATAACGATAAGTACGAAAATATCGATCATACTAGTTGCCTTCGGAAATACTCACTGACGCAGGTGCTCGATCAGATCGCTTGGGGCGTCGAGGATGTTGCGAAGGAGTGCATGTGCCTCCTTGCGCTGCACAGGCCAGTACGTGGGAGCAACGGCAGGTCGGAACTGGCGCTCGAACATTTTCCTGTGCTTCCGCCAGCGTTCACCTATAATTGATTAGACTATCAAGATGTACAATGAATTGGCCGACCTACCATATGGCATATGGCCGAAACTCCAGTCCCAACCCATCCTGACAGGCACCGTGATTGTCAGCGGCCTCATTGTGAGGATACAACATCAAGTCAAACGTACAGATCATTTATCATTGGTAAAGAATTACGGTCGGAATAATTGGTTGACCGCTTCTCGAATAGATCATTTGCTATCTGTGTAGAATTAACAAAGAGCAGGTGGCGACCAAGAACATTTGCATAGACTAAGTCGCCTGGTATAGCGAGCAGCATCAAGAATGAGGATATTGGGAGTAACTATCATAGATCGTGGCACATACCATATCTCTTCGCCCAGTCATTATAAGTTGCAGCCTCATTCTTTAGAGGGAGGTCTCGAAGATTGCCTATCAACGGTAGGGGTTTAGGGCCTGGAGGTAGAGGAAGTGCACTCTTTTTCTTTCGAGTCAGCAAATAGAGCACAAGCGTAGCCAACGGCAAGAGCAGGAGTATGTGTCCCATAATGGCGAATAAGTCGAAGTGTGTACGAAGGAAACCACAACAGAGGTAGCCTTCAATCACGCAGCGCAGTCGTATTTAAGCTGCAAGGCATTTTTAATTTCGGTACCAGAAAGAAGAAATCAAGCCACAAACGTGTTGAAACACCACTGCCGCTGAGCGCCATCTAGCTAGAGAACATCTAAGGGATCAGACTCTGGGCTGAAGACAATACAGTGCCAAAACCTGCTATTGTCCAACAGTATCTGTGATGCGGCGCGACGAACCTTGTCCCCAGCCTTTCGAAAGACACTATACTGTTTGTGGTAATTACTCCACTTCCTGTGCAGCCACAGAAAAACAGGGTAGTACCGTTGATAAACCACGAGCATGCTACTTGGTATGTTCCATAGTCAACAAAGTAGTCAACAAAAGGATGTTTCGGATGATTTACCGGACTTACTTTCCATGAATAATGACGCACTGTAAAATGCACCCGAGGGCGTCAGGAAATATTTGAATCAGCCTCTCGCTCAACGACCTTGCAATAATTTCCGGGCAAGCATGGCAGATACAGTGGCCCTGGCTAGCCAGATCAACATTGAACTGGTTTTGGTGGTCCGCCCCATCAAGGATGCAATGCACGCTGTGGTAAGACGCAAAGCAAGGTCCGAGACGTCTAAGTATGCGCGCCTAACCGTGACATCGGCAATGAGCACAAGAACGTGGCAAACCTTCAGTTTCGAAGACAATAGACCACGCCCACAAACGATTTTCTATAGAACGCCATAAAAGGAAGGAAGTGTTCAACTTAAACTTGAACACCACCAAAAATCCTGGCGGTCCATAATGCGATTGACGGCCAAGTGCTTCAGGTAACTTACGACTCTGTATCATGCATATAGTGCGGGGCACAGAGCCACGACGGAACCGTGAGGTATTGCTGTAAGGATGACTCTTATTGGGATCAAAAGCATTGGCAACAACTCCGCTATCCATCCACTGGCACCACGACTTGAAACCTTAAGGCCTCCTGGTAGAGTGATCCGTTTACAAAATGTACCGCATGTGATAATTGCAAGAATTTTCATCTTCAACCACTCCGGATCATGGCCGATGTGATAACTAAAGAACTTGCAGGACTTTCGTGACTTCACATCTCGGGTGCAGTAAATTATGCAAGGACATTAATATGCAAGGACACAGTACGTGATTGGCTCAACTTAAGTCTAAAATGGGACCGAATTCCGAGACAAGGACCAACTCTCCACAGATTATAATATAAATGCATACGACCCGCGTTAGGAGCTATATTCTGACTAGTATGGCCATGTAAACTATCTGCAAGACAGCTTCCAGGAAAAGGAATGTGATGCGTCTTTTGCGTTGCGCAGGATTGACAGTCCCAACGTTGGCGGGTGTATTGATGGCGTCGGGTAATACAACAGAGCGCAATGAACGAAGCTGTCTGCTGGTGTGAGATAAGTAAATGTGAAGGGATCGAAAAGCCCACCAAAAAGAATGCATTGGCAGAAAATGAATACAAGAACACTATAGCATATATCGTCGTCCCGAAATTTAGTAATCCTGCGAACAAAGTCAAAATCACGCTGCACGGGATGTCAGTCGTGAATGATGCTACGGAGAGAAGAGTCGCACCCAACAAATTTGTAACCTCCATATGCGATCAAATCAACAACTTGACCGGAACCTTGAACGTTGAGCAGGTAGCAGCCTCCTTTGACAAACACGAAATCAAGAAGAACAACGACAAAAGCCCTGGATGCGGAGGAGCCCAGTATTTGTGGATGGAAGCGTTCCTGCAAGCCGGTTTGCAATGCTGCAACTAGGATGTAGGTGACCAAAGCCATGACTAGATGATATTCGTTGTCAATGTGAAAGCATCAAATAAAAAGGAGATTACGAACGTGGTATATACAAGTCTGGGCTATTGATGTCTTCCCGTGGAGGTTGCCATTCACTGTGGCCATTTTCTGCGCGTCTAATTTTCCGTGGCCAGGGCTTGTGGCGCCAAGGGAATATCACAAGTTGTAACTTTCGAATAACATATGAATTCGACACGTTGAAGTGATGCTTGAGCATGGTGAAAGGGACCATCCCTCCGAACTGTAAACATGACCCACGCGTGAAAAGGAATGTAGATACTACTAGATAGATATGAAGATACGTTTTTCTGAACATACTCTTGACCAGCGGCAACTGCACTGTGACCAAGCTGCATGCCAAACTGAGCAGTAGCGTCGTTCATTCCCCAGGCACCGAAATCAGGCACCTGTTGCGAGTGTTGTTGTTGCTGAGAATGCTGCATTGGAACCTGGTGTTGAGCTTGGGGCCCTAGGGGTTGAAAAGGTGCATGATACATAGGGCGAGCGTTGCTCTGGGCATACTGCGGCTGCATGTGCACATTGTTCGGCGGCGAACTCGTGAATCGCTGGTATCCCTGGGGTGATGCGGGTGTTGACGGTGGTTCCGGAATAAAAGCTGGGTGTGTTGGAACAGGATGTTGCAAGGGAGGGGGAGAACGAGAATAATAGTTGGCCATAGGACACAATTGCAAGGAAATACCGCAGCCAATGTAATGCCACGACGTGCCAAACATTGAAATCGTGTCCATTGTGGGAAGCACCAAACAAGACCAAAGCAACCCACCAAAAAAGACATAAACGCGCCAACGTTGCTCTTTACAACGCGTCTCTCATGTCTTCTTCAACCGTCCGTGTCACGGACACCCCTGCCATCAAGAATGCTCCCTTGGTAGGGCTCGCTGAGGGAAGTGGCCATTTCAGCAACTATCATCTTGCTGCGCTCGTGCTCGGCGTGCCATGGGTTGTTAAGCGTTGGCTACCCTTGGTGAACCGTGGCGGTTTCAAAACTTATGTTTTCATGGTTTTGTTACTGGGCCTTCCTATCACTGTTGGTTACTGGACGTTGATGAGCATGTACGGAAAGCGCAAGAACGAAAAGGTCTATCTTCCAGGCCGAAACATCGAGGACTACATTACCATAAAGGACGTTGAGTTGAAGGCTCGTTACCACGGCAAGGAAAAGATCCCCATGCAAGTCTTCCATGATGCCTACTTTGATGGCAAAATCGAGTTTAACGGTGCGCAATTCTTTTAAAACACTCGTGTTTTCACACTGAAATTTCTGGTTTACAGGTGATGTCCTCGACATTTTGGAACAACGCCATGACTGGGCCAAAATGACATTTACTCCGGAGCTGTTCAAATATGTTTTCCTCAACCTCATCCCTGAGGTTATCGTTCACTCTCAAAGTCAGGATGAGGAACAAGTTCGTGACCACTATGACCGTAAGTGGAGTGCTGCGCTTTTCAGAATTCGTGCTAACTCGTGTTTAGGAGGTGATGACTTCTACCAATGGTAATCCTTTCCGTCGACGCGTGTTTCACGTATTAATAACTATGTTTAGGTTCTTGGGCCCTCGCATGATCTACACTTCTGGTGTCGTGTTAGACCTTTCGCGTGAAGAAACACTTGAGGAGCTGCAAGACAACAAACTCAAAATCGTTTGTGAAAAACTTAACCTGCAACCAGAAGACCGCCTGCTCGATGTTGGATGTGGTTGGGGAACTCTTTCAGCATTCGCCTCGAAGAATTATGGTTGTGACGTTACTGGTATCACCCTTGGCAAGAATCAGACCAAGTTTGGCAACGACCGTATCAAGGATAATGGTGTCACCCCCGACAAAGCTCGCATTCTGTGCATGGATTACAGGGAAATTCCTGGTGGGCCTGGTCACTACACCAAAATTGTGTCTCTCGAAATGGCTGAGGTCTGTCAAACTTTCATATCACGTTCTTTTTTATACTTATGTCTCATAGCACGTCGGTATCCGTCGCTACGGTGCATTCATGAGTCAAATGTATGACCTTCTCGACGACGACGGTATCTTTGTTCTTCAAGTTGCTGGTATCCGTCCTCACTGGCAATTCGAGGACCTCATTTGGTAAGCTTTATTAAGCCTACTACTGACGCTTTCTCTTACCTTGGATTAATTAGGGGCTTGTTCATGAACAAATACGTTTTCCCTGGTGCTGATGCAAGTTGCTCTCTTGGATGGGTTGTTAACCAAGTCGAGGCCGCTGGTTTCGAGGTCAAAAACATCGATGTCCTAGGTGTTCACTACTCTGCCACCATATTCAGATGGTACAAGAACTGGCTCTCCAACAAGGACAGTGTCGTCGAAAAATATGGTGAACGGTATGTAATTGTTCGCAGCTTTAGTCTTCGTCTACTCAATGCTATGATATAGATGGTACCGAATCTGGGCTTTCTTCCTTGCGTACTCCGTTATTACCTCTCGGTACGTTTTTCTTCTTATAGTGCGACAATATATTGTACTCAACTGTTGGGAACAGTCAAGGAGGTGCATCAGTATTCCAGCTCACCCTGCACAAGAACTTGAACGCCTACCATCGTATCAACGGTGTTGCCAACCATGCATCTATTCATGTTACCTCCGACCGTGAACTTTCGTAGGTGTTCCGTAATAGTTACTCGTATACTTATTTGCTAATGGTGCTCATCGTTCTAGCCCTGTCGTTTAGACAAACCCTTACCCACCGGATTCCAGAAGGCTCTTCTGGACGAAAGTAAATATGACGATCTTTAATGTTGCTTTGCTTCTTAGACTATACCACGCTGTTCTGGAATAATTTCGCTATTCATATTTGTCGGATTTTGATACGCCTGATGCTGTTTGATTTGCCTTAAGTTCACATTCCGTGAAGATGTAAAGGGTTTTGTTGCCGTTGCCCGAACTAAGCTCCTGTATGCGGGGTTGGGTTAAGTTGGCAGTTCAAATCGGCTTCTGCAGAGTGAAGTCTAGTGAAGTCCATCCAATTACTCCAGATGACTTACAGAAATAGCCTGATCATGAAAGACATTTATTGTAAGAGGACGAGTACGATTTTAGATGAACTTATATGGAAAACATAAATGACAGTCTATTTCTCTTTGGGCCATCCCACTACTGAATAGGCTGCTATTTCGAAATATTACGCACATAGAAGTTCGACTGACCTTCCACTGAATTGAAGTGAGTTGAAATATTACACTAAATCTCAAAAGAAAAACAAAAAAAAAGCTAAACTAATGTGGTTAGACTCCGACAGAGTACCTATAAAACTAAAAAATGAACTGAGAGACAACAGATGAGAAGCCAGATATGCTAACGGAAAATAAAGAACATACCTCAGTGTTGGATGGACAACGAGTATAGATAACGCGACACGAGTGAAAGATAAAAAAAACGGACATGTGACCAGACAGAAACGATGACGATGAGAAATAGAAGTGTGATGACACCAAGTACTTCAACAATACCTGCGTCCTACGGGCCCAGGAATCATCTTGTATATTGAAGACCTTGCAAACAATGTGACACAATGGATTGAGTGGGGTGGGTATAAGTATGATTTATAAAAAAAAGATAAAAGATAATTAATAATAGGTACATTTACGACCGAGAAATGAAGACTCCATCAAAGTACCGCACCATGCCTTCTGCGCCATGTACGATGGCCCCTACCACACCATCTGGTCTCACCACCACTACTCTCGTATCACCCCCTACCAAGTAATGTTTGTATGCATACCCATCCTTGTCTTCTAGAACCATATTTGCTGCGGCAGAGTCTGCCTGGGTGGATGGCCATGACCCAGCAGGCAGCACAATGATAGACCGCAAGACACTCTGCTCATAGCGACTGAGCTTAGAGATGATCTGGGAAGTCTTGGCAGCGTCCGAAGCAAAGATGAGGACGGTATGATATCTTGGACGGAAAATGTCAAAGAACCGCGCGGCCTCACCGCTCTTCACATCGACCAAACCAGGCGCATCAGGTGCGCGATCGCCAGCCTGCAGCGACCCATCCTGGATGAGCCCATACGCATCTACAGGCACGGCCTCAGACGGCGGCACCACCTCGTCGATCACGATTGGGCTGCTGCGGTAGTTTACACCGAGCATGAATAGCTTCTGGTCGCGTTCGAATGCCTTTTCCGTGCTGGTGCTGCGTGCAGTTATTTTGTTGAACAGGGCAGTAGTGATGTTGAGCATCTCGGCGATGACGGGAAGACGCTCCGTGGTGTAGGTGTCGAGGAGCGAGGCTGGAGCGAGGCCTTTTTGGACAAGTGCGAGTTTCCAGGCGAGGTTTAACTACAGACTAGTGAGCTACAGTTCATGGAAAAGTAAACCGCTTATACTTACAGCGTCCTGAACACTTGAGTTGAGTCCTTGGCCACCAGCAGGACTGTGGACACTGAAAAGGTCTTAGAGGGCTATGTCAACGATAGAAAAAATGACACGAACTGTGCGGCATCTGAAACAACAGAGTTATGTCAATCATTGAGCTTAGGATGCAACCCCACATAACTGACCTCCTGAAACGAAAACTCTGCCTTCTCCAAACTTGTTCACCATCCTGATATTGGGCCTAGAGGAGCAAACATCAATCAGCAAGGACAAATTTAGAGTGCATTTCCAATACGAACCGGAACTCTGAAATCCAAATCAGCTCCTCAAAAGTCAGTTCGGTGGGGATCAGCGAAGCTATGTACTTGAAGACCTCTTCATCATTTGACTGTAGTTTTTCGAAGTCGATGTTTGACTCGGATATAATGAACTGATAGCCATTGGGGCCAACCTCCTCCGTGGGCCGCAAAACAATGCTACAAGGACCACCATTATCAGCTTGGTGGGTACAGTATGCCACCGACCCATGGATAATTACCGATCTGTACTCCCACCCCCGAAAACATGCCAATACTAGGGTGTGTGGTCGTTTAAGTCAGGTATAAGAACAAGGAAATGTAGTGCAAACCTCTCTATCGAGACCTGCCATGCGGATATCTCCGGTGATCGATCGTGAGTCCTCCCTAGTTTCTCCAAGGAATGTCAATCCGAGTTGCTTGCGGACGACGCCTGCAAATCAAGTATGAATAAAGACTCAATTACAATGGTGAGGAGCAACGTGCTCTTTGCTCCATCGGCTCCGATGAGCCATTTCGCCTTGATGATCTCTGTGACTTCTTCGCCATTTTGTTTCTTTACTACGTGGGCTATCACATGGTCAGGGAACTGTTCAATCGAGCGAAGTTCAGTGCCAGTCTCTACAAAGCACGACAGTTTCTCGAGGTGGCCACGCAAGATCCCTTCGAGAGTTTGTTGTCCAAGTAAACAGGGGTTAAGCTATAGGACATGTGCACATCAGAGTCAAGGTTCAATTCGCGTAAAGCATACACACGTAAGGAAAAGCAGGTTTTGGATCTTGATACTGTGCCAACGGGAACGTGTTGAGATGTTCGAAAGTTCCAGGCTTGTATGTGCGCATGCACCGCAATGACTTTGCATTCTGATCAACTTCGGGGACATCTAGGAATCTGTACAATTCCAGCGAGCGGGGCTAAGCAAATTCGTGGTTCAGATCACGCAATAGAGTGTAATTGTAAACATACGAATATTCCGGCACCACGTTGTCCAAGACGATATTTGTCCTCTTTCTCGATGATGCGGACAGGTATATCATTGCGGAGAAGGGTGAGAGCTGCAACTAGCGCTGAAGGACCAGCACCGGCCTGTAAAGAAGAGGTTTCAGGGAGAGGTTTATACGACAAATAACACTCACGATGAGGACAGGCACTGCAGCCATTGTTGATGACGAAATTCGAAGATGAAATTATAGGTAAGTGTGATAATCTGATGGCGAGAATTCAAATGAAGATAATGTCTTTGTTCAGATAGGATCGGAAAGCTTTATACGACAATTATATACTGCCTTGATAGCCTGAATGGGCATCATAAGCATCTAGAAAGCAAACGAAACTACTACGGCCGACCTGTACTCAATCCGAGTCATGTTCACGGAGGCGACGAAACCGTGACACGCGCATCTTCGGCAGAACACACCTTTGGTGAGATTTCTGTTGACATTTACATTCCAAAACTGGCATGTCAACGAGTTCCCCATGTACTGTAATTATAAACATATCTGATCTTCGTCGCAACGCTTACGACACTCTAGTATTTGCGTATCTTATCGGCCAATTCGCAGGATGGCGCTTAATGCCATTCGTGGTTGGTGAAAGTGATATACTGACACATAATTTTGAGACAGTATGTGTGAATCTAAGAGAAAGAGACGACAACGCAACATTCATGCCAATGGAAACAGCAAGATCCCGACTGGACCTCACCTAATTCTCCATATGCCCCCACGTGAGAAACATTGATTAAAACCAGGAATACCCAGAATATAATACTGATCACCCATGGGTCCCAGACTGTCCAATACTGAAGAATTAGCTGGGCAGCGCTGAGGTTGGAAGAAACACGGTATCCTTAAACCAATAGTTCCATGACAGTCCAAGTCCGTACGGTGGTGAGAAAAAAAGGTGTTGCGTAGGTGTCAAAAGACCCTGTAACACACTATTAAGGACATATTATAAGTGAACTGAAATGTGCATATTGTGCAGGCAGCTCGACGAGAACCGCACGTCAGAATTTTGCTTCAAACGGAGACAAATTTGTACATCCTGACACTGATAGCTCTATGACAAGGCGCAAAATGAAAGTTGACTTACCTGCAACCGGATACTGCATAGCCATCTCTCCTAGAAATAAAAGTGTCACGTAGACGAAGGCAACAATTCCATAGCATGTCAATATGCAGGGCCTCCCTGTGCCGGCGAATGTCCCATTCCGAGGAACAAGCCAGTTCCAATAGTACCTATTGATATTAAGCATGGGCGTAAGTAAAGCTGAATGCATCTGTGAACACTTGACTCACCATGCTATTGCGATAGTCCTCGAGGGGGGGGGGGGGGGGGGTCCAGGCGAATCTAGATGTATATTATATATTGGTGGAACGGGGAAAACACCGCCAGGACTGTAAGATAATCTAAGATTCCATGTCCTCGCTGCCTGGGCGGTTTGTTTCGGACAGATCCTATGATATGCTTTGTAGCTGTTTGGGATGATGATTGCGGCTGGTCGTTTAAGTCTTGAAGCTTGAATACCCATTGATTTGAGTCCTTGACGCGCTGTCGAAAAGTGAGAAACGAGCATGAAGGCAAGAAGAAAGCGAGAATAGCATCGAGCCATGGCTTGTTGCATCACCGTGACACACCAGAATTGCTTCTTCGGAGTATAGGCAGACACTATTGCGCAATATTAGTCTTCCTGTACATGTGCTCTCACGTGCTGGTTTATCGATATGAATGTAACTGTAGTAACATTTATAGGGGGTCATACGATAACAACATAACAACACTGACGAAGAGATATGGGGCAAGTCGAAGTCGATCTCAAGGGCCAGAACAAGTAATACTTCGAAACTAGTTAGCTCCGCTTGATTCTCTCTGCTGGTGCCGGTTGCCGCATCCATAGGAGTCTGTCTTAGACTCCTGGCCAATTGCGTACATAAGCTTACAGCCTGAGTAACTCATTCGCGCTTTAGAGTTGTTCACCAAATGTAGTTTCCCCGCATTGGATCTCGACTCGGAGCATTGCACACACAAACCACACTTACAGCTTGGAGCTGTATCATAATAAGCACGAACTGTAACTTCTTAACGTCTTTCGTGTCGAATGTCGAGGTCGTCGTCCACGTCTCAGTCCGCTAGAAACCATATCCCACCTTCCACACGCGCCAAGGCCCACAATTTCAACGAGTACGCAAACGTAGACCGCGATGGAATACCTTCAAGCTTGAGCCTCCTTTCTGCTCGGAGACCTTCCTGGACTCCTTCTCCGTTCTACGATCTTCCAGGCCCTCATGGTCCAGATAGCTTGCAGCCTGGACTTGCTTCGTATCGCGATGTCCCATCCTTTGGGGTACAACCACCTGTGCATCCGTCGCCATCCCCAGACGACAGTGGAAACTTTTATCAGAGACTTCAAATTGACATGAAAGACTTGGTGGGAGACGCAGTTGGCAACGTGAGTTGCTTAATCTGCTTGTTCGTTATCACATTCTTTACCTTCTGCCAACCATATTGCGACCAACGGCACATGGGAACGCGACAAACTGGAATTCTTTTCCGCTCATATATCTTCTCTAACTCACTGGCTGACATTCCTGATTATATGCGCAGATGAGTATCAGTCCTACCAGCCGTGATATTGTCCTCGCTGCGTAAGTTCTTCCTACTGTTGTCACTCAGGAATTTCGTCTCAAGGTGCACATAGCCGCCGGGGCCTATTTATCATAGACCTTCAAGCACCATTCGAGGTGCCCCGGTTTCTTCCTCAGGGCGGAACGTGGGATGTAGCGGATGTGCAATGGAACCCCCATCCTTCTCGCGCAGAATACATCGTATCTACATCTAGCGAGAAACTGTGAGTATGATGCCTATTATGCTTAGATGGTGCTTCTGACTATCTTCGAATAAGTCTCATCTGGAACCTTCTACTTGTCGGCAAAACTTCCATCGACTATATTCTTCATTCACACTATCGCGCAATTACAGACATTAACTGGCATACATCGGAACCAGACACTGTGGTTAGTACAGGTATTGACTCATGGCTCTGGTCATGGGATCTACGAGAACCACGGAAGCCTGTGCTTGGTAGGTGACGGCTTTTAGCTGGTTGAATTGCGCCTGACAGTCATTCCTTCAGGTTTATGCGCATTTAATGGTAAGTTCAGCTTTGAAGCGAGGTAACAACCCATGAAATAAATGACTTCGTAGCCGCTGGAACGCAGGTCAAATGGAATCGTCAAGATGCCAATGTACTTGCATCCTCTCATCTAAATGAAGTCCTCATATGGGACCGTCGAGTACGCCCTCATTATTTTTGGAATGTTCTTCTTGCTGAAAATCTATTCTAGAAAGGATCACTGCCCACATCTAGGATAAAAGCCCACAAAGCTAAAATATATGGTATAGATTGGGCTCACGAGAGGCGGAACGATATCGTCACTTGTTCTCTCGACAAAACGATAAAGATATGGGATACTAGTGACTCGCCTAATGAGACTGGTGGATTTGAACCAAAAAATACAATAAAAACCAGATATCCGGTGTGGAGAGCACGAGATCTTCCTTTTGGTCACGGTGTTCTTAGCTTACCCCAAAGAGGAGAGACTGCACTAGAAATGTGGGCAGATTCCGACTCGGGGACGCCCGTAGAAGTATATGAAGGTCACACGGACGTTGTGAAGGAATTCGTCTGGAGAAAAGGAGGCCTGGGTAGGTTTCCTTATTGAATACCCACCTTGTTACTCAAACATTTTCCAGAGGGAGGAGAATACCAGTTAATAACGTGGTCGAAAGACAGAACTCTCAGATTCTGGCCAGTAGACTCGGAAACCATGGAGGTTGGTTATTGGTGTACGCCTCTAAAATATAAGTAACTCATCCCGAACCCTACAGAAAACTGGTTACGTCTCCGGGATGAAGAGGACTCGGTCAAGATTTTTCACAGATGCAGATGATAACCAGTCCTTTCGACACCCTCCGGAGGGGACAGACTTGGCTCCATCTCTATCTGCGCCCGTTGGTCACCGCGCTATTTTAGCTGAGGTACGAGCGCCACTCCCCCCTCGCAAACTAAATCCAGTGCTACAACCACACCACGGATCTGCTGCACGTGCGAGATCACATGAGAAAGGCATCATACCTCCAGAGCATAGCACCAATCATGTCTCCCTGCCGATACCCGTGGCTACGGCTACACGACATGGCGGTACTATGAGTCGAGGCAACGTTGGTGGTAAGTCTGCGCGAATGGATGCGTTTACGTGGCTGGCCAATGTGAAAGTGGGAGACCGACGGGAGAGTAGCTCTGGACCAGGCAGTGGTGCGGATAGTGGGGACGTTTCAAGAATAAGTTCAAGGTCGAGGCCCCCTTCTGGCAGAGACCCGAGCACCGCTCCTGGTCGCCGCAAGAGGAGCGAAAGCCGGGGGAGAGGCAACGAAGAGCATCGGGATGGGGACGTCAACCAATCCCTACAAGATGAGTGAGTACTCTGTGCTTTTCCGATGTTCCGCTCTAATTCTTCTCCAGAATTACGTCTGTCCTCACTAAACTCGCTTCCTCTAAAATAAAGCTAGAGAAAGTAAGTAACGACTTTAGCTTGTCTCGACTGTCTATGACCTCATATTAACAGCATGATCTGACGAAAAGGCGTACTTGTACTCTTGGTTTACATGGACCTTGGGGCGAGTCGTCTTCAGTGTTCATCCGCGTATCGTTTAAGTTTCCAAAGGAATATCCACAAAGCTCATACCCAGAAGGGACGCCCGATATCGACGTTGAACGCAACCCTCTTATCTCCATGCAGAGTCGTGCTTTCATGCTACGTCGTCTAAAAAGTATTCGTGAGGGGCGAAGACCGTGCCTCGAAGCATGCTTAAGATTTCTGCTTTTTGGTAATGAAGACGAAGAAGTAGGAGGCGGAGCTGCTATGGGCTCCGAATCTTCGTCTGAGGACGAGGCGGTGGTACCACGCAAGCCGCGAGATGTCACCGTCTCGTTACTGCGAAGCAACAAAAATCTCGCGGAACCTCGTACGTCTCAGGGTGTCTTTGGTCCCAATGGTAAGTGTATTTTATAATAAAATGGCAAGTATTCATGGTTCGATAAGGTGAATTGGTGTGCTTCTTCCGGGCACCACCCCGAATCGTTCGGAATCCCCTGCGAGAGATATCCACGTCTTCAGCCGCCGCAGCCACTCACTCCCCGGAGACAGTACCACGATTCTTCCAATCACCAGCGTTACTTGCAGACGCTGTCCGTCGTCTTGGCCTCGCTGCAACGGATCGAATGGTAGACCTAGCAGACCCGAAAAGAGCAGAGGATGGCGATAATATCCTACGCATCATGACCAATCTTTTGACGTTTTCGCAGCAAAAAGTTAGGAGAGAATCGGAATCGAACTCATTGGATGACATCCCCGCCAGTTATTCACTGATTCCAATGCGACGAAGCACCATATTCATCAAGTACCCTTCTGATATCACGAACGCCAATAGGACGGTCGCTGCAGAGTACATCTTTGAGTCCCAGAATTTGGCAAACTTGTGTGAGACGAACGCACATATAGCAAAAGTCAATGGCCAGTTACACCATGAACGTGTCTTCAAGACGCTACAGGCACTATTCCCAAGCTCACGCACTCGAGACTCTGATGGTCGTACGGTGTCAACAGAGAGTGCGCTCCTTTATCACGTTGCTATTAGACTGTAAGCGGGTGATAACTTTTGTGGGCTTATGTCTGATCAAAGATTCAGGTATAACGAATTTTCTGCTAATAAAGATATCCAGATGCTGGCCATGATATCCATCGTTTTACTAAAGACATGTGGTCCATCACTGGTAACGCGTGAGTAGACTGGTACCTTGTCAGACATCAACTCATGGTCTCATGATGATGCAGGAAATCACTCTTCTGACGTGAAAGAGCATGTCTCTGCTATCTCCAAAGCTGGTTTAGATTATTTCAGCCTCGCACGCCCCAAAGAAGGTCCTAGCGCGGCACTTTCTCCAGGTTGGCCCCGTTTGCCATCAACATCCCCCACTGCGCTCCCCCTATCGGCCTCAAATTCATCGCGTGGCTCTTGGTCTAGTCTATTCAATCCTGGCAGCGTGCGACAATTCATGTCAGGTGTGCAGGAAGTAGTCAGCACTCCAGCAGAGGCAGTAAGTGCAACAGCGCCGTCGCTACAAATCCCGATCCCTATGCTCAATAATTTCAATAATAACTCACGACGAGCTCAGGGCCCCGATTCTCCTGTTCGTAGAAGTTATAGTAGAGACACGTCTGTAGCGTCGAGTTCGCCGATTTCGAAGTCATGGTCCGAAGCACCTATGGTTAACTTTCCGAAAATGACCGCCCCGTTCTCTTCTGCTGGACATGCTCGCCGCCCAACCTTTTCGCAGGTTATCAGCCCCAAACAAGTCATCCCGGAGAAGAAAAGGATCGTGTTCAATGAAAATGTGACGGAAGCTGTACATAATTCCAGGTACAAAACTCGTTCCCCCCTTAATCTCTGGGTTGCGTTAATATCCGCCTTAGGCCACTTTCATTCAGTCCGCAACTGCTTGACCAATTTGCATGTCACGTCCTTGCCTACGCGGAGATACTGTTCGCCTGGCAACTATTGCATAAGCGTCTAGAGCTGTTGAAGTCCGTGGGCTCACACATATCTGCCTTGTTACCGGTCCACACCCGACGGGAGCTTGGCTTTGGTGCGTTGTCACTTATCAACTTGTTAGATATACTTCCATATTCATCGGGGAACCCAGATATACTACACGCATGTGCCATGTGTGGGAGAACAGGTACGGAACGAAATGCTGAGTCATGTCCCTCTTGTGGTGTGCATTCTCTACGACCTCGTTGCTCAATCTGTAGACTGCCTGTGAAAGGTAAGCTGCAATGAATCCAATCTTGAGCTAAACGTTCGCTTACAAGATTGTATGTTGTAGGTCTGTCGCGCAGCTGCCCCCAGTGCCTTCACATTGCCCATCTTACATGCTGGAGGGCTGCGAAACTGGAATTCTGTGCTACGGGTTGTGGATGCCATTGTAGTGGCAAAGAAAAAAAACGACCGAGCCCGGTCCAGTCTCCTGCATCCGCATTATCGCTATTAGCATAATTTTGTAGACATTTATCTAATAGGTAGTGGTATAGTTGTATCGATAATTGCTTTCTGCTCTGGGCATAGACACATATGCAATCTAGTATTGGAACATAAAGCTGCATTGTAGAAACGAGACGCTCTACTTCAGCCTGGTTGCGTCACATCGAGACTTGGAAGGCTTCTGGTTCTGCAGTGATCGAGTTCAAGTACAGTACTCAGGCTTATTGGGCCGAGATGACAGCCGGACTCAAGCGCATTAGAAGAGTGTTGGCTATATCATAGAATGCTTCTAGAATTCGCTTGAATCCCCCCCAGTTCCTAGAAATTGTAGGACGCATCAAAGTAAGTGCGAGTGAGAAATGTTGTATTGCAGTATCACAAAATTCCAGAGTTGCAAGGCGTTGTTTGATTCCCTCAGAGTCAACTTGTCATGAACGAGATAGCACATAAAGTTACGTGATATGAGTTAGCACAATAGCTAGAAGTGGTTTGACGTCTTTAAATGTGCATAATCGGCAGCCAGGGCTGTTGCCAAGCGACCCTGGTTTTAGCTGCCGCAATCAGTGACCACGTGGTCCATGAACTATTATAGTCCGTGTCGTTCAACCCAACATTTTGTTTGTTGCCTTTGCTCAGTCCAGTTCCCATCCCTCATATTTGAGCTCATCATCGTCTTTCTCCTCGACGGTATCATCCCCTCCTTGAACCTATTCACGCTCATTACAGCCCCCCCCTCATCTCCCTCGACAGCCATGTACGCACACGCATTTGCCGCCATCCTCGCTTTGCCCTTCGTTGCCCAGTGTAAGTCTCTTGCTTTCAGGTTGACGTGGAACAGTAAAAAAAAACTTGCTAACGAATCGCCACCACTCCAATAGTCGTCAGCGCTCAGAGCTGCACTCGTAACTACACCGTTCAAGCAGGTGATATCTGTGACAGCATCTCTGCTGCTCAGAATGTCTCTACGTCAGTCTCTGACGTTTCCATGTTTCCCCCCGTTATTTACCGGATCTTGCTTTTAGCTACCAGCTCGCTGTAGTTAACAACATCGACGTCGACTCTCAGTGTGACAACCTCAACCCAGGCGAGAACCTCTGCCTTGGCTGGAGCGGTGACGACTGCACGAGCACCTACGTCGTCCAAGCAAACGACGACTGCGACATCATCACCAGCATGGCTAACATCAACGATACCATCCTCTACATGAACAACCCCCAGATCAACTCGGACTGCACCAACATCTACATCGGAGAGGTCTGTCCCTTTTCTTTATTTCTCATCGTTGGAGGGGAAAAAAAAATATGCAAAGATTGTTTCTCACGTCCGTTAGGTTCTCTGCACTGCTGGTACCGTTTTGGTACCCCCTGCCCCCTCCGGCACCGTTCCTGGCTCTGCAATCCCCCCTTCTGCAACAGCCGCTAATGACCTTCCTTACTGCGACGAGATCGATGACAGCAACTAAACGCTGCCATCCTTACCTCCCACTTTAACCCCTAGGAGGGGGAGGAGCTCGATGATGCCAGCTCTGGAAAATGTACAGTTGGCCTCACCGTTCTCATTTTCTCCATCTTGTTTCATCAGTATTTGGAATCATCACGAGTTGCACTGCTATACCCAGCATCTCTCTCTCTCAAATTATTGTTCGTTTTTATCGATTACCCTATCTTTTTTTTCTTTCTATCGTGGCTGTTTATACGTACGTATTTCTGGAAATGCACTGTACATCGTTGGAAATTTAGGGCGGTCCTGTGGATCGACTTTGTGATCGTTCTGATTATTGCATGTGAGGAAAGCACTACTGATGAAAATAAAACCATGAAAGTAAATAAAATATGGTAAGGGAGTGTGGATGTATCGAGTACATCCATATGCATTAAAGTCTGTATAAAATAGGCATCCATATCGCTCATCATCAAACTCTTTGCTTCTCCTATGCCGATGGCTGTGGGAAAGCGCCAGGGATAGTCTGTCGACGACGTTCTGGGTGATGATAATACGTGCCATAGCGTCGTTTGGGGGTAGTGATGAGAGGCGTCGACGGCGACGACGACGTCACATCTTGTGGCACACCCGCCACATCCTGTTGAGAACGACCCATCTGATGCCCATAATCTTCGTCAGAATCGTCCTCTTCGCCCAGCCAATCGTCATCTTCAGGCAGCATGATCACCCCCGAGGCAGGATCGAAGCTCAGGCGGTGGTTCAGGCTGCTTTGCGACTGCACCAACTCGGGGCGCGCGTCGTCCCATGGGTTGTCTGATGAGAACCCTCCGTGCCCGTTCTCGCCCACTGGTGAGGCGGGCTCGGCGGGTATCTCGTCGTCGACCAGTCTTGGCTCTACGACAGAGGACCGAGCTTTGCCGCGCAACAGACTGTAGCGCTTTCGGAGCGTGAGCACGATTCCTTGAGTAGGGTCCTGGGGAGCTCGAACGCCTCCCACGCGAAGAGCATTCACAAGCGTTTGTCCTTTCTTGAGAGGCAGCCAAGGTTCTGGGAGAACTCCTGTCAACGCAGGGTGGCCGTACCTCCGTTTACCCGTGCTATAAGACAGGTCAGAAAAGACATATTCGCGAGAAAGGGAGCACCCACTTTAGAACACCACTGTACCAGTTGGCCATGGGAGGCTGGGACTGAAATTTTGCCGAGTTTGAGTGACTGTCATCCATCATGCCAGACGACGGTAAGATACGACTCACGTAGTCAGTTCTCTCATCTTCTGGAGCGACGTAGAGTGTCTCATCGTTTTGTCCATAACGCCTTCGATTCAGATTGCTATCACATATATCAGCATCGTTGAGTATAATAAGTAAAGCATATATGCTAACCTTTGTGACCACGTCACAGGATGTCCCTCCCTGAGTCTTGCAACATCAGCCGTCTCCTCTCCCCGCTCGACTTCAAATACAGAGCTGAGACATACAAACTTGCTTAGCGGTTTAAACGTTTTGTCGATGTACCACGACCACAGAAGCGTTCCCAGGATGAGCGGTGCAAGAAGGGACGATAGGACGTAGGATTTGCGAAGGATAAAGATGCCGGTCATGAACACGAGGAAGATAAGGATGCCCCAGATAAGGCGGATAAAAGTGAGTGGCCAGGCCTGTCCTTGAGATTCATACGGCTTATAGAATACTGCCCAAAGGGATTTGAATCATATGCTACCATGTCTCAACGAAAAATACGGCAACTTACCGAAGAGCAGCTTGTATTTGTACACAACATAGGCCATGCCAAAGTATATGGCGCCGAATATCACGATCATTGGCTGGACGACGCTATAGAGCAATGTGATAACAAACATGAGGATGGCTTGGGGATAGACTACGCCATAGTTGACCATTGGAGGTGCGTTGAGCTCCGCAAAATCTGATAGCGGTGAAGTTAGCAATCATCTTCGTCTACGATGAAACGCTGGCGAACGTACCGCGAGGGGTGCGTGTAAAGAAAATACGAAGAATCAAGCGGGGCAAAACGATGCCCAAATTCAAGAGTTGCAATGGCATAATACCGAGTCCTACCAAAAAAAACTCTGTCAGGTAGCATTGGAAGATTAACAGAGGACTTTACCTTGGAGGATGACATAAGAAAGGAAGAAATGCCTGTATGAACGAGGAAATTAAGTAACGCCATTGGAAGCGGGCTGAATATCATTACCTTGCTCTGCCTTGAGATAGCGCCTCAGCCAACTTCTCTGGGATTTTGGCAGGAGAATTTGCCAGATCTTGCACCAATTGCCAATAGGTGCTAGCCAAGAGGAAGATAAAGACAACGTTGACAAGAAGGAACAAGAAATATCTAGTGGGCCATTAGACATTATCCACGACAGGAACAGAGAGATACAAACTTTCTCATCAATGAGTACTCGATCCAGCTGCGTGCTCGATAGCCTTGCACATACGTGAGTGCTATACAAGGAAGGTGTGAGTAAATGCTGAACAAGGGTGTTGTTTTCCTACAATCTGACCTTCAAGAATAAAAGGTAGTAGCGCATTCAATGTGATCATAACCACCGATGGTAAGGAATTCTGTACTATAGCCCTTATTTTGTCATTGCTGTCAATCAAACGACCTAACCAAGGAAGAGATTTTTGAATCTCCTTGTAGCTGAGTAAACTGGCAAGAGCAGTGATAGGGAAAATCCAGAAAAAGAGTAGTAATGCCATACAGCCCAAAACAATGAGCTCTCGTGCCACACTTGCGTTGGGTTGGAGAGACATGTTGGACCAGATAATATCACGTGGTTCAGGAGCAGCACAAGCTTTGCATTCAAATGGATCGGGAGCATTGGCAGTTTGTACTGCGATTTGCTGAACTCGACGTAAGCAAATTTATGGTACGCGACTGACCGGTTACTCACCGCGCTGGACATTTTTTCAAACGTGATGAAAGCAATATGAGTAGCTTTGAACCTTCCTGTTCTTCTCCATTTCTTGACTTTTTCATCTGCCTCCTTGAACTTCATTTCCAAATACTCTAATGCGTCGACCTTCTTGCTGAACCATCCTGGGCGTATTGTGGGCCTTTGACGATGGGGAACGACGAATCTGCTAGGCTGATTCTCCACGAACGAAGGTTCGACGTCGGACAACGGAGGCATGACATTCTCCGATGGGTCGTATGACTCCACTGTACTCGGGTTGCCCACGTATTTCGTCCACGCACTCTCCATCTTGAGAAGGGCCTGGGTACGCAAGTCGATCAATCGTTTCAGGGTATCTACCTCCCTGCAAACAGTGACGCTCTCGACGCTCAAGCCCATGTTCTCGAAGTACTCTGCAAGTGTCCGCTCAGATTGCAGATGATTTGGCAGCCTTGTGACCATGACGGTGCGTGCGGGGATCGAATGTACGAGCTCGAGAGAGTATAGCTGACGAGAACGTATGAATCGCCGGTAATTCTTGTAGATAAAGCGTAGGGCGAGAAATGTAAAAAGGTAGGTGAAAAGAAAGTGGACGGTCAGGTAGGAGTTAGCGTCGCTAATGAGGTCGAGCCAGTCATGACTCGGGGGCAAACTATCATCCGGAACGAGAGACGGCCAATCGCTTTCATCGTCATCACCTCCGTCACCAATGCCGATGTTGTTCTACATGCTATAAATACTCAAAGTATGCAGAGATACGGATGAGTGCTAACCTTCCAGTTCATAGGCATCAGTATGGCAACCGCAAAAACAGAGCAAAGGGAAAACAGGTAAAACGACATCTTGAAGAAATTGAGGAGCTGTGTGCAGTTGTGGGTTATTACGTCCAAGATCACTAGGATGTAATGGAGCAAACATACCACGGCCGCATCCAGGCCAACGATTTGCAGGACAGTATATTCGGATACCCTGAGAGTTGGCATTATCCACCCAAAGAATGCTTGGTGCGCGTGAGCTTCGTGTGGCGAGAACCCTAAAGCGAACAGTGAGGTCGCGATGACTGCACGGTAAGTGGAGACGCACCCTTGAGTTTTGTACGGGGTGCAAAAAGTAGAGGCCATCTGGTTCTACAATATGAGAAAAGCAGAAAAGATGTGACACCGATCGACAAAGAGAGTAGAACTTGTGTCGTGAACCAGGGGCCCTCGAACTTGTCTAAATGCAGTGAGAATGACATATACTGGAACGCGATAAAACCGTGCCACTTACAAGTCGGAGGAGATCCTGGTGGAAGTTCTGGATCGCTGTCGTCACCATCGCCTAGGACGGCGTTCGCCACGGAAGCAAATATGCTGAAGGTATCCATGAAGGAATGTCACCGTGGAGGCGTGCTTCAACTTTGCCGATCCACCAACGGATGTGTTTGGCAAGAGCCTTGGAACACAACAACCGCCATCAAGTGTAAACATCGGTGTTCCCACCGTGCTTCACTGTATATAATGGTTCGATCTTACACTAAGTACACCTCGGGCAGGAGATTTATTGGTCGACATGCGAGTCTAATTAATATTTCAATTCAAGAAAAATGTTATACAACATGACGAACAAACTAGTTGGCGAACGATGAGATTCAGACATGACTGCAAAAACACTCAAGATGATCTCAGGCAGGAGTAATTGTGAATGCGCCATGACCATCCTTTGTAAGGTTCCAGGTGGTGGATTCATCGAGGTTAGTTGGGTTAGCATCCCAGATGACATGGGACTGGATACCAACAATGTCGAACACCTTTTTATCATGATTTGATTTTACCGTGTTGAGCGTGTATCCCTCGAGATGCAGGAGTAGTATCAGCTTTTCCGAATTCTTGCTGTGTGATCAGTACGTAACGTAGCCTGCACTGACTGCTCGACTCCTGAGCTTTATGGTTGCGATTTCCCAGAGGTTTTGATGGCATAGCCAAGAGAAGGGACAGCATGAATACAATACACCAAGGCGGCTGTTCGATTTAAGCCTACATAAATACAGGATGAGTGATACGTTGTACGGCGCAGGAGGCCGATCCAAGACGCCTGCGACACTGCTGGTGTGATCAACAGCCAAAACAAACGTCGCGCAAAGCTTGCTCTGGCACGGCAGGCGGGCTATTTGACGATGGGATTGACGCCTCTGGCAGAAAGGTAGTCCTTGGCAGCGCTTGAGCTCTGTGGCAAGGGTCGTCAAAGAGGATAGGGGAGAGTGGGATGTATGGTTTACCAGTGCTTTTATGAGTTCATACACGCTCTTGTCGTGGAATCGAAGAGCGGTAGCTGGATCTGTATACGGAGCCTGGTGTTGGCAGTTAAGACCAAGGAAGGAAAGTGATGCAGTGATAAGATACCTCCAAGCCTGTTATGTCACAGTAGTGTCTCTGGGGCAAGAGAGAGGGAGGAGCCTCGATGGAGGAATCTGGAGTCGATGGGGGTTGTGAGTTCAGTGGGGTGTGCGCACGTAGGACGACTCAACAAGTGGGGGATATCGTGATCCGGGTCGATCTTGGTAGTCTCTGCATCGACGTCCATAGGCAGGGGGTGCCTCTGGGGCCTTCCTGGCGGGCGGCGCTCCAGGCTTTCCGGTCGCGCTTCCTGGGCAAGAACGGGCTTTGAGGTTCTTTTGTGCGGCGGTTGAGTTCTTTTGTTGTGGGCTGGGGTTCTTGAAGGGGCGGGGGAGTGTGGAAGGTAGGAGAGCTTTTCTTGGGAGAGTCTGTGGGTCGGGGTGAGAGGGTGGAGGGGAGGGTTTGTGAAAACTTCCTTGGGAATTGAGCTGGGCCCTTCCGCGA